GTCTGTGTGGTGAAATCCGTGTTGCTTTCCGTAGTGATCTGGTGGACATCTTTGCTCAATGTGACAATTCCCATGTCTACGCATGCCCGAAATCCCAGTAGTGGCTGCACATCTTTGTTCACTATGAAGAAAGGCAACGAATGGTGCTGCTCAGAGGTTGCGCTAGACTTTTTCACTGCCCGTCATTTTGACGGACAGGATCGTAAAACTTCTGTCAAAATCCAGAATTACCCGTCGGCCTTTACACAACTCTGACGAAGGGGGATGGGGGAAGCATGCTCGTGAACTGTCAACGGGGGGGAGACAGTTCACATGCGCCGTGTTATGCATGGCTGCTGCACCTCGCGGGAGCGTGCACAGCGTAAAGCCAAAACTCACAGACATTTCAATGATTTGTACGGCACAGTTAGGTTTGGAAACGGTATGATTTCCTTTTTGGAGGGCATGCATAACACGGCATAACACCGGAGCCTCGCTGCGGGGAAACTTTGGCGCTGTTCCGAGTTTGTTCTAATCTGTCAAAATGACGGACTGCTTTCAGATTTGTCCGTCATTGTTAAAAAAAATCCGTCATAGACGGAAAATATTCGGTTAATATTCTGGTGCTGCTCCTTTAAGCAGCAAGGCAGTGTGACCAGGCCTTTGGTCTCAATCCTGCTTCCTCCATAAGCAACAAGGTTTATAGCAGTCTCTTGCTTCACAAGTTGCTCGCCATTGGTCACTTGTGTGAACGTTTCTTGAGACAACACATTGCATTTAGCTCCCGTGTCAACTTTCATTTCAGTTGGTATGCCATTAATGTGAATTGTAACAAATCCTTCTTCTTTGTCTTTAGCTTGAGGATTAACACTATTAACTATTAACACGTCTTTCGATATCTACGCCATCCACGTGATTATTTCTATTTGAATGACTGTAGCTGCGTGGTTTGGACTTGCAGCATTTTTTGTAGTGATTAACTTTTTCACAGTTATGGCACTTTTGCCCGAAAGCTGGACACTTTTCTCGCATTGCTGCATGGCTGCCTCCGCAATTATTACAGTTAGAGATGCTCTGGGAGTGAGTGAGTGACTGTGGCTTTGGCTGTATACCTTCTGCTAGAAACAGGTCTCACTGCATCAACACTGGTAGCTTGAACGGCTAACGTCCTGCTGCTTTCCTCTGTCATTTTGTGTATACGGCAGACTGAAACAGCTTTAGCAAGTGTCAGTTCACTGTCTCTCAACAGAGTTTTTCTTAAAGAATCATTGATTATGCCACATACTATTCTGTCACAGATTAGTTCCTCAGCTAAATCTCCAAAATGGCAACTTTTAGCTTTTATCTTCAGATCGCTGATGAATGACTCAATACTCTCACCTTGCTTCTGATTTCTTGAATGAAACTTGTGCCTTTCCATTATTTTGTTATGTTGAGGGTTGCATATTTCACTGAATTTCCGTATCAAACAGTCTGGGTCCTCCCTTGATTCAGCTGGGGAGATCACCGCACCGTCGGGGCCTGGCACGCGCACTTCAGCTGCATACATAAAGGATCGTTCACGTTCAATGGCTTCTGGTCCAGCGAGATTGAGGAGGATGTAAGCCTTAGTCCTGGCAGCCTTGTCTGGGTGCGCTGCGGCGATGAAGATTTCATATTCCCTCTCGAAGATCCGCCAGCTCTCCGCGACGTTTCTTCAAACGTAACAGGGTCCGGACGGCGAAATCCATCCGCCATTGTAGCTGGGGCTAGCTTCAGCCAGCTAGTTAGCGTTAGCACGGTCCGTGGAAAAAAAATTCTCCAGACGAGAGGAGAGGCTCGTGCCGTCTTCTGACCAGTGGCGAGCCGTGACTTTTATACCTAGGCCCTCTGACCCCCCCCCCCCCTTCCCTCGAAAGAAAAGAAGCGATATTACGTCACAGCGTATACTTCAGCGGAATATCAAAACAGCGGCCCGGGGTGCAAAACGCATCAATGACAGCGACCCTCTACCACACAGAACAACACCATTTATATAAACACCTATCATGACAGGGCACCCACAGCCAAGTAACAATTACAAATGAATTAAGTCGGCACGGCGGCCCACATTGAAAATGACTTAGGCCTACCTTTGATGATCAAATCACTTAAACACACAGTCCATCCTCCTGTCCTATTGGATGAAGCACTTGCGGGTCATTCAGCTGATCCTTTGCCACTCCAGTTTATCATTGTAGGCTAACTCAATTTTGAAAATGACTCGATTAATAATTTCGCAACGATGTCATCATCACTATCACTGAAGTGAGCCATCATGAACAAACTATGCTAATCATCTATCTATGATTCGAAAATAATAAAACTAGGGTAGACATGTGGATATTATCCGGCTGAACAAAACGTGCATTTATCTAACAGGTTCGTTTTCCACAGACCTTATTTCAAGCTATTTTCCAAAATCCTATGGAGAAATCCCACTGCTTTCTGTCGAGGGAATCCGAGCGCAGCTTACTTCCGGGTTTTAGGACGCGTCACTGCACCACTTGCATAGACCTCACAGCGGGCAGAACTTGTCATAAAGTCCGGGAAAATAAAGCCCGCCCATTTAGAGGGAAGATATGATTGGTCAATTGTACTGTCATTTGACATTACTCTCTCGTTGAGTTACTATAGCGGGCCCTCTGTGAATGTAGAGAGGGACCAACAAGCTCTCCCGTCTTCACAGTAACGGCCCGTCTACACTACAGGCATCGAAAAAGCTTGAAGCTGGGCGTGTCTGAGGCTTGGCGATTTCTCGCGCCCAAGGCGACCAACAACCAATCACATGAATCTCCCGCCCCCGACATACAAAGCAATAGCAATGTTAAAACGAAGTAAACTGGATATAAAATCCCCAAACAGGCGAAAACCTACCAGTTTCACCCACTGTCTCTGCCACCTCCCTCCATGCCTGGTTCCTCCGGTTTGTATCCCGGTAAATAGTTCTGGTCGGAAAGAACCGGGTGATTTGCTCCCGTAATTTCTCGTTTGGAATATGAGGAAATTAACTGCGGTCTGGCTCTCCCAGCTTGCACGCGGTTTGATTGGCTAGCGCTTGTACTGGCGGGAATTGCAAAAACGGGATTTGATTGGCTGACGCCAGCTTCGAGCAAGCATCGAGCCTCAAAAGTTGAACATTGTTCAACTTTTGACGCCGATAGACGCTCGCGATGCTTGCAACGCCTTGCCATGCTACCCACAATGCAGTTCGGCGAAGTTTGAAAATATCCTACGTCACCCCATTCAAATGAATGGGCGAAGCGTTGAAAGCATTTGTTGACGCCTGTAGTGTAGACGGGCCGTAACTCGCAGAGACGGCATTTAACCCTTCACATTCCAACAGAAACTGAACAGGCAGATTCGAAGGATTCATTTCTTTGGAAATATTATTTTAAATACAATTAAATCAAGTTATTTTGGTAAAACTAATGAAAAATGTAACAACAAAAAAATATAAAAAATAATATTTAAAAAAAAATGTTTTTTTTAATGTTTTCAAATATTACTTTTTAGAATATCTTAGGCCCTCACAGAGGGCCTAGAGGGCCCTGACGGCTCGCCACTGCTTCTGACACCATGTAGAAGTTGTCAATACTTCTTAATACATGCATGTGTGTATGTACAAGGAATACACAATGCATAGGCAAGTGGTGGCTTTATTTATGACCACAGCATGTACAGTGAACATGTACGTTGCATGCCGACTAACAACTGAATGCCTATTACCTTAACACGTCACCGTGTGGCGTACCAGCTACGGTGGCCTGCAAAGGACAAACTTAATCATATGAGAATGATCTACAGTAGACAAAAAAAGCAAAAGGAAACTGAACGTGTTTTTACTGTTTTAATGGCGTATCAAGAGCACAACTGAAACATCACATCTGAAACGATGTAACAACATAATACACTTTTTGGGGATGCAGCTTGGGATGTGAGAAGTGAGGGACACGGCTTAGAACGGGCATTCTGTCCTGCCAGTGTTGGCAGGACATTAATTAAAATGTCGAACTCTGACTTCATTTTAAGGACATGTCGGCCAGGGGTGTAGAGCTATATTTGTTTAAGCACCGGATTGGCAAAACAGGAGACTCTGTGCACCAGTCTGCCTTGGTCTATGAATTAATGTCCGTGACACTCACAGTAGGCCTATCTGCTGCCCACAGCTCTTTTATAGAAGGAAAACCTCCTTCACTTCATGAAATCTCTGCAGCACCAGGAGGCAGCCTCTGAGAAGACGAACGTGCAGTGCCTTTCACGCACCGCCTCGCTGTGTTTATCTTCAGAATCATAAGGCTAAAGAGCGACCGCAGGCTGATGTGTTTTTAACCATACACACCTCTACACACACACATGACTTAAACGCAGACTTTTGTTCCTCCATGTTTTGTTGTTGAGTCATTCTATAATTTAGGGTACATTTCACATCAACAAAACTGTAAAAAAAAAGTTATCTTTCTCAATAGAACAATCAGTGGTTCAAGTTAGTATATTCCTCAGTGTAACATATCCACTAGCAAAGCTTAAACTTTTTTTATTTTATTTTTTATTTGAAGGGAAAGGATGTTTTCACTACTCAGTTTGTCAACTATGTTACGGACAAACTTGATGTCATTACAATCATTTCATTAAGTCCTGCACTTCAAGTAAAATCCAATTTGAAAGGCTCTTGAGTCTATTCTACCATATATCCAAAGATTTTTAAAAGATTCAAAAGTAATTGTATTAAAGTTTTGTTTTTTCATGTAATATGTTCAGCACTGTCATTAAGGATAGGGATATTTTCTATTATAAAACTACCATACAGGTCATTTTGATAGTTTTAAGAGATGTCACGTAAAACTCCAACCTGTGTAGATGTACATTATGCTATAAAGGATATCAGAAGCACTATTTTATATATTTTAAATTTGAAAAAATGAGGTGCAACATAGTTGACAATGAAAGTCACACATTTGACGCAAATAACATAGTTGACTGGACACATTATTAACCATCAGCACTATGTTTATTTCAAGGAAGAAGTGCAAAATTAAATTGAAACTTTCAATTAATTCAATTATGAAACACCAAATTCATACAAAATACATTACATTTGAAATGTACTAACAAGCAAAACAAAAAATCACACAGTGCAAATTAAACATTCCCTCTGATCAGGTTGGAACAATTTCTTCTAATTCAGACATTCAGAATTCATTTCTAATTCAATTCCTACAGAACAGTCTAAATAGTTTACATTTACATTAAGAAATTTGACGGTTTCATCAAAAGTGACTTGTATGTCAGACAAAGGTCAAACCCACAGTAGAGGAACAAATAAAGAACAGTTTTTAAAGTAATGGTTTTGTAATGGGTTCAAACCAGCACAGGGGTCCAAGTGAAGCCTTACCGAAAAACGAAATATTAAAGAATAGTACAGTAACATTAATATTCAACAGAACAGTACTATTCAATTGCAACATTCAGTTGGACCTTTTAGAAACTAGACCAGATGTCTTTGTCAATCTCCACGTGGCGTGAGGTCACTGACTTTGGAGGAGGAATCACTCTCAAAATGTCCTCAAAAGGGTACAAAAGCACATCCTCTCTTAGTGTCCAGAAGAACCGGTTGACTCCGGCAACGTGCATGCACTTTACCTGCACATGTGTGTCCATGACCTCCTGAATGACTCCTGGGTAAATGTCTTCATCATATTTAAGGGCACACCACTGGCCAATTGAATCAGGACCCCACAGCCTTTCATTCTCTTTGCTGTTGCCTTTAGGTGCTTGAGGCAGCGAAGGGGTCGTTTGCTGAACCTCAAAACTAAAAGTATGAGTGTCATCACAGCGACACTCATAACTTTGTCTGGCGGTGCAAGGGCAACTTACATCTCGATACAAGATCTCTCCTGGTGCCCCTGTGACCACCTGGTGGATACGCATAGTTGAAGGCACTGCTGGCAGATGACTTGGCATCTTGTTAATTGCTTCATCCACAAGATTCTCTCTTTTGTAGAACACCCTAACTGTTCCGCTGTTAACCAAAGCACTGTAGAGATGTTCTGCTGAAGGGATGTCATGACCTTGGCTAACAAGCCTGTCAGCCATTCGCTTCAGGAGGCCTCCCACTCCATCTGGAGCACCCTTCCCATGGCTTGCTTCAAAAAAGTTCCATGTCCCCCTTTTGAAACCACGGTTCATCAGCTCTGTGCTTAAGAGGAAGAAGTTTCCCTTCTGTCTGTATTGCGTGCATGGACCGTCACTGAAGAAATGCACCACCTCGACAGAAGGATACGAGGCCTTCACTTCATCCAGGATGGGGGACAAATGTGCCCAAATGGCAGGTGGGCCTTTCTCCTTTGATGCCGAAATTGTGCCAAAGCACATGTGCTCTGCTGTCCCACCAACATGAAGAATTCCTGTGTGGAGCGTTGCTTGCTTCTGGTTTGGGGCTAAGTGCATTGCCTGGATTTCTGCTGCAAGCTTACATGAGTAGTTCTCCAAAAAATCCACATGAATCAAGCATTCTTGGTTGGTCATGCTTTTTCTTAATTCACGGTAGTGGGTGAACTGGCTTTTAATGTTAAATGTATGCCGTTTGAAATGTCTCAATTGGCCTTGAAACATCTCCAGCAGATCCGCCAACACTATGTCCTTTTTCTTCTTCACAGTGATTTTCATGGGGACCTTGTCCTTTTTACCATCTTTGTTTTTCTTTTCTCTGATGACTGTTTCAGTTGACCACTGAGTGAGTTCGACATTTGCCTGAAGGTTAACTTCTGCTGCTATGGCAAACTCCTGTCCTTTGCAGTGGGGACACTCGTTGTACATGCTGTCCTTTGAATTTGGATTGCAGCTTATTGATGATGTCAGGTCTTCCATGTCCACGCTCCTAATTAACTTGAGAGTGTGAAGCTTTTCAGCCAGAAAGGAAAGATTCTCATGAACCTTGCAAAGACAGGTTTGTCTGTCTGCAAGTGTTCGGTTAACTACCCAGAAGGGACGCATACGACAGAACAAGGAGTAAGAGAGATTGTAATTAGGATGTTCAGTGAGAAATTTCCTGTGGAGGTTTCTCAGGGTATGATTAAAAACCTCTTCTGTTTCTTTATCTTCTGCCTGGTGATTGTTTGTGCTTTACCTGCTGTCAATCGGCTGCTTTCATCCCTCGTCAGGTAAGCAATGACGCTGTCTTGAATTCGGAAGCATAGGCTTCGGTACTTTGTATTGCCTTGAGCAGGATTCTTGTTCCTCTTTCTGGAGATGTGTAGTGCTGTACGAACTTCTTTTTGTAATCCATACTTTTTAAGGATCCACCCAGTTAGAATTTGTGACATTGCCTGCCTGTGTGTTCTCCTTTTTGTGGTGGCAAAGGCGTCCTTGATGTTGGCCATGAGGGCATAATGAACAAGCAATGATCTCCGTACTTCGCCAGAAACAGGGACATTGTGTAGCAGTCGCCTTGTTTTTGATGCCGGGGACTCTGAGACCGCACATCGTCTTTTGCGTAGTTTGTCTGTTTTTTTGGTTTGTTTCCCGAGCAAATGTTTCAGTTTTTGTATTTCTCTGTGTAATTTTGAGTGTTCTCTCCTGGCCTTTTTTCTTCCAGCTTTTTTCTGTCTGAAATAAACAAAATAAATTACGTTACAGATAATGTGCTGTGTATACAGCATATTAATGGAAACCTTCTACTTTGTTACACAATTTTCCTGTTGAAAACATAAACCTGTTTCTACCTTGTTTCCTGAGGTTGATGGACAACTTCAACTTGGCTGTCTGGACTGTCTGGTGGTGTAGCTAAGTTGTCAAGCCTGTGCTATCTTTCTCTGCTTCTCTGCTGTGCCTTCCTCCAATAGGCCCTCTTGCTTCTTTTATCTCTGTCACTCATCTCTGCCACTGTTTTCACCTTTCCTTCTGATCTGAACCTGTGCCATGCCTCTCTCTGCTTCTCTAAATATGCTGCCCTTCTTGCAGGATCAGCATCTCGACGAGCCCTGTATCTCCGCTGTTTCTCAGCTGCTGACATCTATTTTAAATAATTGGATAAAAAAGTGTGTTGGACATATGTAGAATGATAATGCTGTGTAATGACGTCTACATGTCATACAAATTGCCAACTAGGTTACCTGTCAACTAAGTTACCCAGTAACTCAGTTGACAGGTAACCTAGTTGACAATTTCCCTATTTTGACCCATCATTTCAATGGTAGGCCTTGCCTGGATGACCACATGTCATTTTCTTGAACAGGTTAACATCACATTTGAACATATCATTGAATTAAAATCATTAAACAACTTTAAACCATAACAATGTACGTAACATTGTTGATGGTCAGTTAATATACTCATTGACAATGTGCTATTATACATAGAATATTGTAAAAAATTAGAGGACACTCACCACAGTGTGTTCAAAATGTCAGCCAAAGAGGAACATGGCATCATGTGATGCTGGTGACATAGTATTGGGACAAACCATTTTTGAGTTAAAGGGGGGAGTTCTGTTTGTAACATAGTTGACAGAACTTTTGCGGACATTCATATATTAAGATATTTAAATTATTTAAATTATTTAAAGGAGGAAATCAATTAAAAAAATATGATTAATCTTTAGTATTTATACTTTTGAAATAAATGAATAATAGTTTTTATTTACTTTAACCCTTTGGAGTCCAGGGCTAATTTGGCCGTTTTCGCATACTTTTGATTTGTCTTACTAAACCCCATTAAGAAATGTTTGGCATGTCAATGTTTGGTATCTTTTTTTTAAGGACAACCTCACCTATATAACCTGATAGTTATTTCTGTCATTTTGAGATACTATATGAACATTTTGGACCCAAAATCACAAAAAAACGTAAAAACAGATTTTGATAAATGATATTATTTTTCATATAGGTAACACAAACATACACAACGAAACCATTTGAAAGCTGGAAATATATACATGGGATGTCACTATGATAATGTGAAAGTTTGATTTAGGTAGCATGAACCTATATACAAATGTTATGAACAAATAACAGGTGAATCCATAGGCTTTTTTCCCTCGTTTCTCAAGTTCTGTCAACAGTGACACAGTAGGCACAACAAAACTAACTTTAAAAGCTTAAATAATGTACATGTGATTTCGTTCTGATATGGCAAAAGTGTTATTATAAATATAATACAAATATATATATATATATATATATATATATATATATACACATTATGTACAAAAATCTGTTTTTTCTGTCTTTATCTGTGCCACGCTTCAAAGCAGTTTCTGTCAACTACGACTCTTACCTCATTTACACCAACGGTGTTTCAGGGCCGGTTCGGAGCTGGAGCTTGAAAAGCACCGGGTTTTCCTCTTCACACCGCAGTGGAGCAGCCTCTTAGCTCCGGAATCCGGTTCGTTTCAAGCACCAAAAAATGGTCCGGCCAGAGCAAAAGCACCACATACGTCACGCTTACGTCGAGGCGGGGGCAGGGGCATAGACAGATCAACTCCTGAACAACAACAAAAAGCCCGCATTTTATCCAGTTTGTACACAATGATGGAGAAACTTAACAAGAGTTTCAGCCATAGACTGTATAAAGGTTTCTGCTCACGGTGAAGCAACGTGTCTGCGTGTTAAGGTGGAACCTGAGCATTCACGTTGATCACCTCTCATTATAAATCTATAAAACTATAAATATTAAACTTTACTTCACGTGTTTATTTGAGAACAGCTGTTAAATACCTGGGTGAAGGTTACAGTTAATGTAAATGAAAGATACAACGTTACTCCACACTCATGGTTCAGTCCACCTTAAGAAATAAGACCGACCTCGGAAGCAGTTGTGTTTTAAAAAAACCTTTATTGACACGAGTACACTTTTTTATAAGAATATAACTAAATCACAGAAATGACTCCGGAAAAGCTGCAGATAGAGCCATAAGAAATGAATGCAACTGATTTCATCCGCGCGGTTTGGCTTTATGAAGCAGGCACGCAAACGGTTACGTCATGACGCAAACGATGACGCAACGACGCATTACCAGTCGGACTCTGGGCGGTGTGAAAAGAGCCAGAGCTAAACCGAAGAACTGGTTCTGAACCTGAAAAGCTCTAGCACGGAGCTTGAACTGGAGTTGCGTTGGTGTGAATGAGGTAACAGAGGGCAACATCACAGGCTCCTCCTCCTCCTCCATGTCAAAAAACAAGCTTATAGCTTGACTCACGTTCAGAGTTCTCTTCATTATAGTTGAATCTTCAAAACTCTAAATCTATCTATCCATCCATCCATCTTCTCCCGCTTATCCGTGGTCGGGTCGCGGGGGTAGCAGTTCCAGCAGAGAGCCCCAAACTTTCTTTTCCCTGGCGACATCAACCAGCTCTGACTGGGGGATCCCAAGGCGCTCCCAGGCCAGCGAAGAGATATAATCCCTCCACCTGGTCCTAGGTCTACCCCTTGGTCTCTTCCCAGCTGGACGTGCCTGGAACACCTCCCTAGGGAGGCGCCCAGGTGGCATCCTAACTAGGTGCCCGAACCACCTCAACTGGCTCCTTTCGACGCGAAGGAGGAGCGGCTCAACTCCGAGTCCCTCCCTGATGACCGAACTTCTCACCTTATCCCTAAGGGAGACACCAGCCACCCTGCGGAGAAAACCCATCTCGGCCGCTTGTATCCGCGATCTCGTTCTTTCGGTCATGACCCATCCTTCATGACCATAGGTGAGGGTAGGAACGAAAATGGCCCGGAAGACTGAGAGCTTTGCCTTCTGGCTCAGCTCCCTTTTCGTCACAACGGTGCGGTAAAGCGACTGCAGTACCGCTCCCGCTGCTCCGATTCTCCGGCCCATCTCACGCTCCATTGTTCCCTCACTCGAGAACAAGACCCCGAGATACTTGAACTCCTTCACTTGGGGTAAGGACTCATTCCCTACCTGGAGTGGACAGTCCATCGGTTTCCTGCTGAGAACCATGGCCTCAGATTTGGAGGTGCTGATCCTCATCCCAGCCGCTTCACACTCGGTTGCGAACCGATCCAGTGAGTGCTGAAGGTCGCAGACCGATGAAGCCATTAGAACCACATCATCTGCAAAAAGCAGTGGTGCAATCCTTAGTCCACCGAACTGCAGACCCCCTCCCCCATGACTACGCCTCGAAATCCGATCCATGTATATTACAAACAGGATTGGTGACAAAGCGCAGCCCTGGCGGAGGCCAACCCTCACCGGAAATGGGTCCGACTTACTGCCGAGGACCCGGACACAGCTCTCGCTTTGGGAGTACAGAGATTGGATGGCCCTGAGTAGAGACCCCCCTCACCCCATACTCCCGCAGCACCTCCCACAGTAACTCCCTGGGAACTCGGTCATACGCCTTCTCCAAGTCTACAAAACACATGTAGACCGGATAAGCGTACTCCCAGGCCCCCTCCAGGATCCTTGCGAGAGTAAAAAGCTGATCCGTCGTTCCACGACCAGGACGGAATCCGCATTGTTCCTCCTCAATCTGAGGTTCGACAATCGGCCTGACCCTCCTTTCGAGTACCTTAGAGTAAACTTTCCCGGGGAGGCTGAGTAGTGTGATGCCTCTGTAATTGGCACACACCCTCTGATCCCCCTTTTTAAATAGGGGAACCACCACCCCGGTCTGCCACTCCTTCGGTACTGTTTCCGACTTCCACGCAACGTTGATGAGACGTGTCAACCATGACAGTCCCTCAACACCCAGAGCCTTCAGCATTTCCGGGCGGATCTCATCCACCCCCGGGGCTTTGCCACTGTGGAGTTGTTTGACGACCTCAGTGACCTCCCCCCGGGAGATTGGTGTTGATCCCCCGTCATACTCCAGCTCTGCCTCTAACATAGAGGGCGGAGTTGTCGGGTTCAGGAGTTCCTCAAAGTGTTCCTTCCAACGCCCTAACACTCCATCAGTTGAGGTCAACAACGTCCCATCCTTACTGTACACAGCTTGGATGGTTCCCTGCTTCCCCCTCCTGAGGTGTCGGACAGTTTTCCAGAACAACTTTGGTGCCGCCCGAAAGTCCTTCTCCATGTCTTCTCCGAACTTCTCCCACACCCGCTGCTTTGCCTCAGCCACGGATGAGGCTGCTGCCCTTCGGGCCTGTCGGTACCTTGCAACTGCCTCGGGAGTCCCCCGGGATAACAAATCCCTGAAGGCCTCCTTCTTCAGTCGGACGGCTTCCCTGACCACCGGTGTCCACCAGGAGGTTCGAGGGTTACCGCCCCTTGAGGCACCTAGGACCTTGAGACCACAGCTCCCCGCCGCGGCTTCGGCAATAGAGGCTTTGAACACCGACCACTCTGGTTCAATGTCCCCAACCTCCACAGGAATGCCCGAAAAGCTCCGCCGGAGGTGTGAGTTGAAGGCCTCCTGAACTTGGGCCTCCTCCAGACGTTCCCAGTTCACCCGAACTACACGTTTGGGCTTACCAGGTCTATCCAGAGGCTTCCCCCGCCACTCGACCCAACTCACCACCAGATGGTGATCAGTTGACAACTCCGCCCCTCTCTTTACCCGAGTGTCCAAAACATACGGCCTCAGGTCCGATGATACGATAACGAAATCGATCATGGACCTTCTGCCTAGGGTGCTCTGGTACCACGTACACTTATGAGCATCCTTATGTTCGAACATGGTGTTTGTTATGGCCAATCCATGACTAGCACAGAAGTCCAGTAACAAACCACCACTCCGGTTCAGATCAGGGGGGCCGTTCCTCCCAATCACGCCCCTCCAAGTGTCTCCATCATTGCCCACATGTGCGTTGAAGTCTCCCAGCAAGATTAAAGAGTCCCCTTCAGGAGCCCCATACAGGACTCTTTCCAGGGTCTCCAAGAAGGCCGTATACTCTGAACTGCTGTTGGGTGCATAAGCACACACAACAGTCAGAGTTTTCCCCCCCATAACCCGCAGGCGTAGGGAGGCGACCCTCTCGTCCACTGGGGTAAACTCCAACAACGAAGCACCTAACCGGGGACTTGTGAGTATCCCCACACCCGCCCGGCGCCTCACACCTTGAGCAACTCCGGAGAAGAATAGAGTCCAACCCCTATCCAGAAGTAAGGTTCCAGAGCCGACGCTGTGCGTAGAGGTGAGCCCAACCAGATCCAACTGGTAACGCTCCACCTCCCGCACAAGCTCCGGCTCCTTCCCCCCCAGAGAGGTGACGTTCCACGTCCCCAAAGCCAGCTTCTGTCGCCCGGGTCTGGTCCGTCGAGACCCTCCGCTTTCACTGCCACCCTTCTGGCAGCGCACCCGACCCCATTGATGTTTCCCGTAGGTGGTGGGCCCGCGGGACGGAGAAGCGGAGGTGTTGCCCACGTTGCCTTTTCGGGCTGGGCCCGGCCGGGCTCCGTGGCAAGCCCGGCCACCAGACGCTCGCCGACGAGTCCTCCTTCTGGGCCTGGCTCCAGAAGGGGACCCCGGGCTTCCTCCGGGCCGGGTATCCTCACTTCTTGTATCGTCTTTCATGAGGTCTTTTGAACCAATCTTAGTCTGGCCCCTTGCCTGAGACCAATTTGCCATGGGAAACCCTACCAGGAACACAAGGTTCCAGACAACACAGCCCCCAGGTTCATCAGGGCACACAAACCTCTCTACCACGGTAAGGTGCTGGTTCTTCAGAGAGGAAATCTATCTAACTATATCTAAATTGTCAATGTTTGTCTGTCACTTTACTTCAATCGCAGTCTCCCGCCGTCTCTCTTTGTCTCCCGCCACCTGTCTTCGTATATCTTCGTCTCTCTCCATTTCCCGCCGTCTCTCTTCGGTTCCCGCCGTCCCTCTTCGTCTCTTTTCGTCTCGCTTCGTATCATTCCGTTTACCTGATTCCCTCACCCCCTCCCTGGTAAATACATCCTGTTGAGCAGAATCTACAGTTTCCAGTATTTTCCGTTTCGTAAAATGATAAAATACGGCGAAGATATTAAAATATGTGCTTCCATTATTCATGCTTTTGAAATAGTAGTATTAACTTTATATCATCGTATCTCCGTGTTTATTGGGTCTTTTTGCATGAAACAAAGACTGGCATATCGTTTCAAGCCAGTACTTTTGACAGAAATACACATATACATCCTGTTGAGCAGGATCTACAGTTTCCAGTATTTTCCGTTTCGTAAAATGATCAAATATGGCGAAGATATTCAAATATGTGCTTCCATTTTCTATACTTTTGAAATGCATTAACTTTATATTATCGTATCTCCGTGTTTACTGGGTCTTTTTGCATGAAACAAAGACTGGGATATAGTTTCAAGCCAGTACTTTCGACAGAAACACACGGCAATGTTGTCCGGACTGTTGTTTTTATGCGGCACCGACTTGAACAGGTCATGTGATCTGATCACGCCGGCGTGACGGTCGACTCCAAAGGGTTAATGGTTTTTATTCATTATTTTAAAACCAAGACACCCTCCACTGAAAAACGGACAGAGCAAAAACTGTCAATTTAAGAACATCATGACACATTTCAAGCTAAACTAAGTATAGGATGCACATAATGTTTGTGTGATATTATAACATGCTTTCCAATAATAGGCAAAATATGATATTTTTGAAGAAAATAGAAAGAATAATTATAATTATCATCAATTGACATCAATGGACATGGAATGTACCCTAAATTGTAGAATCACTCTGTTATTGTTTCACTGAGCGGACCCGCCCCTTTTTTTTCAAACGCTTCCTTTTTTGGTCCATCTGCGGCGGTAAAAGTTGTTGTGCGCTGTGATGATTCGGCTGTACCTTTAATAATGACTATTAAATGTTGTGAGGAAATCTTTCCACCAATAATTCCAATAAGTAATCCAAAATGTATTCACTTCAGGTTTACGAAAGTAACTGTAATCAGATTACTCGTTTTTCAAATGTAACGCAAGCTGAATACAGTTGGGCTACTTGATTTTTGTATTCTGATTACGTAACGCCGTTACATGTAGGCCTATTCCGTTACAACCCAACCCTGGTTACACAACACATAACTACTGTCTTTTTTAATAGTGATAGAGTGATACAGTAGCACATAAAGAGATATTAATCGGGCACTTTGTTTTTGCAACCCTTGGTTATTTATCTGATGGTGTTCATCTCAGCATGTAAACCTTTATTGTACTGTTTAATTACAGGTATCAGATGGTGAGTAAGCATGACACCAGGACTTGTTTCCTGGACAATTGGACCAATCACTTGCCAATATGTGATCGTAAGTCTGGTAACAACACAGCAACAATATTGTTCAACGTTCTGTCGATTACTATCAACTTCATTGCTACAGTTCTTTTCATGGTTATTTAAAAAGAAAGATTTTATTTTATTAAAGCACGGGTGCTTCTTCGGTATCTTAGTAGGCAGCCCTGCGTTAATGTTAAAGGATTCAGTTGGCACAAAACTCTCCCGGTTGAATCCTCAGAACCAAAGATCAACAACTAGAAAGTATGTGTTTCTTTGATAAAAAGTTGATGGTACAAGACTGTAGTAAAAACAATGGGAGAGAGGTTAACACAACTCCCAAGGTGCATTTCGGTATAAAACATCCAAGCGTCAATGCATTCAGATTAGATTTTTGGGGTTCATTTTGGATTATCTATGTGATGTGTTATGTTTCACAACTGCAACACCAAAGCTTTTTTTGTGGTCCGTGCCTCTCACTGTCTTACCTCAATTGCAACTTGTTGATGATACAACAATGACATTCAAAACGTTGTTTCTAACCTATAATGATTACAGTGATGGTCATAGGAAAATATTAGTCTTATTTTCAGGCTCACATTGTATTTTGGGTTTACTAAAACGTGTTTTACACACTTTGTTTTATTTTCCTTCATTGACCTAACTGAGTGTTTGTGTTTACTCAGCTTTGAGCTGCGAACTCCCGCCTGCAGATGGAGGGTTCATTGTAAAAGGTATTCCAGAAAATGATGACTCCATACTTCCTGACCGCTTCCTCGAATTCAGCTGTGACGGTCCTTGGAAATATCTGAATGGCAGCTCAAGGCTGATATGTCTTAAAGATGGACAGTGGGACAATGCATTCCCAACTTGTGAAGGTAAAATAAAAAAAGTATTTTGTGTACTATATCTAGGTAAATACTTTTTATATGTTTGACACTAAGTTTTTCATTTGACAATATTGATTTCTATTTCACCCAGACATCACCTGCAAAGTTGTATTAGCGATACAGAAGATGAATGTTAACTTATCAGATACATTAACATTAAGCTCAAAGTTTGGTGATCAATAATTACAGAAATGTTTCAGCATAATGTCCTCTCAAGAATCTGCAATATATTTTGTCTATACCAATAACTAAACCTACCATATAAAAAAAAATGTGTCCCTTGGCGGCAGTAGAAACGAGCTGACATTGACATTAGTAATTATCTTTGAGTTAACTTTGTTTACTATAGCTATTCTATAACTGTTACTTCAGTTAGCAGTCAGTGCTGTTTATTTCCGACCTCCCTAATGTGATTTATTGTTGGCTTAAAAATGCTCGTTATAGACTCATTAAAATCAAACATCCAACATACTCTTCTGTACATCTATATGGTTCCAATATAAAAAAAGAAATCCAAAAACTCAGATCTTAGGTCATTCTATTGTTTATGCTGTACAAACTCTTGATTGACCAGATTCTCTTCTCCAAACAGAGAAATGCAAAGTCACGGGTGTATCTGACAATGTACACCTCGACACAGACCCCGAAAAGTTGAGGTTTAGTTGCCATGAAAATGGAGACACTCTTTTGGGGAATGCAGAAGTGACATGCTTAGCAAACGGACAGTGGAGTGCTCCCTTCCCAACATGTGGAGATGAATCTTTTCTTTCTTGCTGCTTTACAATACATCAACGTCTTTCTTTTAGTATAGAGTAGTTATTCTGACTGTTTCATGGTGACTCAACTTTCATAAAATACACTGCAATCTGGACATATTTCCGCCTTGTTCATGACCTGAACATTAAAACTTGCATTACGGTATGGTTTGTTGCAGAGCTGTGACAATAGACTGTATTTGATTTAAGCTAAGTGAACCTAGTAAAATGGCAGTGTGTACAGTATGTTTACAGACTTCTAAACCCTAAGATTGTTTATTTATTTGTGTGGTTTTTTTTTTTACATTCTTTTAGCTCTTTCGGGTTGTGGAAGACCAACACCCCTTGAAGATGGAGACATTGAGGGAACTGTTGGACACAGGAACAGGCACGGAGACAGGGTTAAATACATCTGTCCGAATTACTACAAAATGCAGGGTGATCCTCACAAAACCTGCACCAATGGTGAATGGATTGGACAGATGAGATGCCTCAGTAAGTTACAATTTCATTTACATTTTTTTCAGTGGCGGTTCTAGAACATTTTACATGGGGGGGAAAAGGGGGGGCAAGAGGTCATGCCAGGGTGGCATGGGAGGGCGGACAGTACGTGGTATTTTATACTGTATATAACCTATTTATGGTTAATTCATGCCCTAACACAAGTGTTCTTAATGCACAAGAGAAACAAGGTGTTCAGACAAACAATCGGGTGCCCTTTGAGTCCACCAAGCTTACCTCAACCATTTTAAATGAAAGGAAATTACAAAATGTATTTTAAAGCAATGAATTAATGGAACAGGTTTTTTTGCATTACAATGTACAACTAAATATATATTTTGTTTTTAAAAAATTGGTTTTCTTAGTATTAGACAGACATATTTGTATGTCCTCACTAAGCATTATTACATATTAATTTAATATCAAACCAATCAAAATGGCCAATTATCCCAAAATGTTGCTGCTAATATAATCATATGCTTTATCAACTTTAACTGATCAAAAATAAATTCTGAAAAAATACTTGAATTATCTATGAAATTGCAATATTGTCCCTCAGTTTGTTTCAACCCCGTCACGCCATATCATTTACCCTCCTATTAAAATAATGGATCAGTCCATGTGTGATCTGCATTGAGGGAATTACATCAGAAAAGTGTCAGTTTCTTCTCTTACCTATATTTCAGTTTTTGTATTTTCAGATTAAGATTGACAAGCTCAACATTTCAATTTATAATTAAGTACACAAATGACATCACCCATCTCTTCAGAGAGCTGAAGGTGACCTGTGCAGCAACACATTTCAATCAATATTTGTCAATACTAAGAGCTGCTAGATTGTGCTGCTGTGATGGAATATGTAAGGAGAATAAGAACATACCATGTGGTCCAGCTGGAGTTTCATCTGCCTCCTGATCCCTGCCTCTGTCCCTCTTTCTGATACTTCATCTTTATTCCTCACATACATTTCTTCTTCTTCACTAATGTCTTCATCTCCTCCTCCTGCTCTGACCCTCCTGGTCTCTTCATCTCCTCCTCTTCCTCCTGCTCTGACCCTCCTGGTCTCTTCAGTGAACTCTCTTTTCCTCTTTCTGTTCGTCCTGATCACTTCTCATATGTCTTTGTGTTGTTGTTGAATCACTCCTATACTCTGGCCTGCAAGAGTCTACTTGTGAAAAGCACTGGTACAAATGCTTGTATAACTTTACACGTTAGGGCCATGTAGCCTAGCTAATATGTAGCATATCATATAACATCAGAAAGTATTGATCAAGCGCACACAGGCAGCTGTGTTTGGATCCAGTTTTTACAGTAAAGGATGTATCCTGGTTTCATTGATCTGGCCTCATTGCTGTGATGTGTAGTTTACGTGGATTTAATAGTAGGCTACCGCGTAGTTTAGCAAAGTGATCGATCTCCCAGCTAACGCTGTCTGCGTAGTATTTTGTAACGTAACGCCCCAAACAGCGCCCGTCTGTTAAACGCTATCGATTCAAACGGCAGCGTTTTATTAATATTTAGTTTCAAGCTCTCGTCCTTAGTAAAAACAAAACTAGTGGAAAGGGAAATGCTCCCAGGGGAAGCTGATCCATAGGTGCTGGGACAGCTCACTCCCTCTCTGCAGCGGTGTGAGCCGCGGTCTGTGTGAACGCCGCTCCGCAGTTTAATGCAGGGCCGTAGCTGCGTTTTTATCGGGCCTAAAATTATATTTAAAATGATTCACTTTTAACTAATATAATGCTTGTTTTGTTGCTTGAGAAGCTTGTGGAAATAGTGTAGGTTTATTTTAGTACAGTTTTAGGGAAACAAAAGTTAGGGGGGCAGCTGCCCCCCCTTGCCCCCCCCCGTAGATCTGCCCCTGATTTTTTTATTCTGTGAGGTTTTTGGTATAAGGCAATATAACTTCCTGTCTGTTTACCAGTATGCTAGCTAGTAAGGCTTTGAATGTTGAGTATTGTAACAGAACAAGATACTGATTACATTTTGGACTATAGTTTTCGAGCCCTAAATATATTTGCAGTACGTACTGTATGAATCAGAATCAGAATCAGAAACGGGTTTATTGTCAGGTAGGTTCACACATACGAGGAATTTGACTTGATGTCATGGTACATAAAATATAAAACAAAAAAAATCTAATATAAAACAAAAAATCTTTAAGGACACTGTAATAAAATATAGTTAAATAGCAATACAAATAAATTAAATTAAATAAAGCAGTTATTTACAGTGAAATAGAGTGGAGTGAATTATAAAATATAGAACTAAGAATATGTGCAGTAAGCAGTATTTGAGCATTGTGTGCATTAATGTAATGCATATAGAGTCTACGTTGTGGCTGAGGTAAAGTGTCAGTGGTGGGGCCGGGCCTTGTTTAAGAGGCCGGTAGCAGAGGGGAAGAAACTGTTCAGGTGGCGAGAGGTTTTGGTCCTGATGGAGCGCAGCCTCCTGCCAGAGGGGAGGGGGGTGAACAGTTTGTGTCCAGGGTGGGAGGGGTTGGCCACTATCTTCCCTGCCCGCCTCAGGGTTCTGGTGGCGTAGTCATATGCCATTAACAATATACCCGCCCCTCTGAATGACTTTTAAGTATTAACAATATGCTGTGTATCCATTTTCTCTTGCAGAACCCTGCACTGTGAATAGCCAAGACATGACTACACATCATATTGACTTCAGACATGTTCAACAGAATAAATTGTATTCAAAACCTGATGATACAATCGAGTTCAGGTGTACCAGTGGAAGACACGACGGCGCAGTGGACATGCGTCAGAAATGTAATGATGGTGTGATCCTCCTTCCTACTTGCCACTAAAGCTTTTTAGGCAACTGGATGTGATGACCATGAACTAGCTGGACAAACATGTACATGATTAACCAAAGTAAAGAGTTAGACCAGTTCTTTCCTAATCAAGTGTGTGTAACCCAGTGCTCTGTGTGGTCATTCTAATAAAACAAATATGTTGACTTGGTCAGATGTCTGCCTCTATTTATCAGATGAACTCTTTATCTTTCATGATGATATCCAAAATATTAATAAAGCACAATAAAGGACCAAACTGGGCCAAGTTTCCTAATAATGATTGTCCTTAAACATAAAGATAATTTTCCATGAATGTTTCTTCAACAGTTTTTAAGGAGCAGTTCCCCAGAAAACAGAAATACATATTTCTCTTCGCTCCTGTAATGCACTTTATCAGTCTGTATCGTTTTGGTGTGCTGTAGAGATGTCTGCTTCTTCTTGAATATGATGACACTAGATGCCACTCGGCTTGTGTTGCTATAGCCTCAAATAGATACGTTTTGAATGTAGAATGTAAAAGCAGTGTTTCTTTCCGGAAATCAAAATAATTCGCAGTTGTGAGCAGTTTCATGTAGGAACTATTTTCTATATACCGAGCTACATTTGCCAACAAATAGACAAATAAATATTTTATAGTTGGATTTGTTCATTTTGAAAGTAAGAGTAATGTTCATTAAAAACTAGGCTTGCTGCCTGTAACACATCAAGGTCCTGGTAAGGAGTTTCAAGAAGTACACTTTACCTGCTGGAGATACACGTTACCATTATGATCATATTAACCCTGAACTGAAGCCATGTCTTCACAATACACGTAATCTACTGTTGCATACTGTACATTTATACTTGTATATACTATACATGTGTACTGGTATACAGTGAGTATATACTGCAATATACTGTTAATATATACTGATCATACACACTGTTATATAATGTTATAAGTTGACCTAATTTCTGTAGTATTATAAGATATACAACATAAGCACCATAAAAAGAGAAGATATGGAACCTGAAACTTCAAAATCAGAAGGAGGAGGAAGACCTGTCGGCACATTGAACATTGAACATGAGATGTGTTGATGGTGTGATGCTCCTGCCCACTTGCCAGTGAAGGGGTTATTTCACTCAAAGTAACTGGCCTGATTTGGCTGAATACCATTTGAATGCTAATTAAAAGTACAAAAATTGAGCATATATAAAAAATACACGTTCAATCAGTCTGTTTCCTTCCTTACTGTATATGTATTATGAGAAAATATGTAAATACTCCTTATTACCATCTATATTTTCCAACTCTAAGAATGTCATTGAGTAGATGATGACGATACTTTCTACTATTATAAGTATTTCAAAGTATGTACCTTGCTTGCAAACAGTTTTTTTATTTCAAATGCCCCCTGTGCAGATGTGGGGAGAAGTACTCCGATCTTGTGCTTGAGTAAAAGTAGAAGTATCAGAGTTTAGGAATACTCTGTTACAAGTTAAAGTCCTGCATTCAACATGTTACTCAAGTAAAAGCACAAAAGTACTTACATTGTACTAAAGTACAGTACTTTAGTAAATCTACTTAGTAACTGTATACCACTGCCCCTCTCCCATCACTGGTATGTCACTGTCTGTCAAACGAATGCCCTTTGGTACATTGAGATGGGTTCGATGTTTTGAAGGCGTGATGACCCTGCTCTCTGCCAGTAAACGATTGAGCTAACTGGAAGTGACATGAGCTTGCTGGACAAACATGTTAATGATAAACCAGAGGAAAGAGATTGACAACATTTCATGCTACTGTAATCTGTACAATTCAGTGCTTTATACACCAAAAAAGTTTTGTAAGTTGTAATTTTGAAATATATTATTCCACAGACAGGAAGCCAGTGTACATTTATGAGAACTGGAGGGATATAGGTCTTTGTTGGGACCTCTTAGAGGGACATCATTACCGTATAAGCCTATAGAAGGTAAAAGGGGAGGACAAGTTATTCTAAACACTGGTCAGACTGTTGTCCTCAAATTCGTGGACTTCTTTAAATAACTGAAACTTTTTTTATATTTTATTTGTTATACTTACTCATATAACCTGCTGCCTGCACCTAAATCATTGTTTGCAAACTTTGCATGCTGAAATTTATTAAATACAAAATACGGTGGAAAAACTATTTCCATATCAGGGTTGTTATATAATACAAATAACATATATATAGGTAAACCAATCGGAGAGAGAGAGAGAGAGTGTGTGTGTGTGTGTGTGTGTGTGTGTGTGTGTGTGTGTGTGTGTGTGTGGTGCGTGCGTGCGTGCGTGCGTGCGTGCGTGCGTGCGTGCGTGCGTGCGTGCGTGCGTGCGTGCGTGCGTGCGTGCGTGCGTGCGTGCGTGCGTGTTTTAAGGGGGAGGTACTCATGTTCCTGAGACAGTTTCATTCAATTGTTTGTACTTTCCACTGTGTAGAAAGAGTCGATTTAAGTAATTACAGAAGTACAGCTATTCCTGGATCCTCACAATGACATATGTTTACTTTCTTGGGTTCTTTATACTATGCCTTAAAATGGATACGTCTTTACAACAGGAAGGTAAGCAAGAGGGGGAATTATTTATTAATCCCTCTGTTTCTCTATATTATATATGAATAAAACCATATCCAGGACTTAATGTGAACCTATGTGTGAACTGAGTAACTCAATTGACTTGTTATATCAGACAAACCACTGAAAACTGGTTCTGTGACGGACAGTGCAACAATAAAATGTAAACTATATCTGCCACCACTGGAAGGAACCAGCAATGAACCTGCAGTTAAAGAACAGCAACAGATGTTATACCACCATGCCCTCCCACACCCCATTGTTACAGGCTGCATCAACTCTACGGCTTTTTAATTAGCCTTTTCCTAAATACATTTGTATTCTTGCTTATGTGTATTATGCAACAAAGATAATATGTTCAGCACCCAAAAACTGAATTGCTGCTCATCAAAGGGTGATCTTATTTTTCTTTATTGGAGACTAGTATTCATTTCTAAATGGTTTGTTTCACTTTATTTTAACTATTATTATTTACAGTTTAACTGAAAATTCAAGGGAAATTGTCATTCTGTTTATTTCTGTTTCATTCCCTAAATTATTTTTTAAAACGCTACATTTAAATGTTTTTGGGGTTATGTTTGTTGGGAGCCCCACACCTCTGTGTGAACGTAAGTAAAAACTGAGTAATGCAGTGTCTGGTGACACTTAGTGACAATGGATCAGGACAAAAAGTGAGCCAATCTTTTTTCCTGAAACTTTCAGAATTTCTTTACACATGTTTATGTATAAGATGCATGAAAAAGTGGATTTTGCATAATAGGTGACCTTTCAGAAATCTTTATTCTTGCTTGTGTATTATTCAACAGAGATAATATGTACAGCACCCGAGATTGAAAATGGTGAAGTGCTTGAAGAAATCCAAGAGTACAAAGAACATCAAGTCCTGGAGTTTCAGTGTGATCCCTCATTTACACCTGCTGATGCCAGATCTCCAAAATGCACAAAGCATGGAGTAAGAGCAGAATGGAGCCCCACACCTCTGTGTGAACGTAAGTAAAAACTGAGTAATGCAGTGTACTGGTGACACTTCCCAATAAATATAGGTTCTGACGGATAATATGTTTATTTTCCAACAAATACAGCAATAACATGTAAACTGCCAGGGCTGAAAGGAACCAGCTATGAACCTGCTTATAGAAACACGTTTCTAGCTGGTGAACAAGTGACAGTAAATTGTGGAAACAACCACTGGATTTTTAGTCATCAACAGGTCTCAGTAGTAACTACATGCAAAGAGGACGGAGAGTGGACTATCACACCTGAATGCCAAGGTATGACACTGCTGTGAATGCTGTTTTATTTGTTTATATTTCATAAGCTCGATTACTTGAGATTTACAAAACGTTTTCTTATTCTAGAGGTTACGTGCAGCAAACGAGGAGTCCCACATGTGTCTTGGGACAGTCGTTGGCAGCTAACATTGAAATCGGGTGAGATGACACGTTATGGGTGCGCGAGAGGCTACAGGAGGAAAGATGACAGGAACGACATGGCCACATGCACCCGAGATGGATGGCACCCAAATCCACTTTGTCAAGGTATTGTGAAGTAAACCTTATGTTTATGAGTTTTTTCAGTGGTGCTGCGATGTCGCTGAAGTTCGGGATGAACTTGCCGAGTTAGTTAACCATACCGAGGAAACGCTGTAGTGAGACAACGTCTGTGGGGACTGGCATGTTAGTGATTGCATCTGTCTTAGAAGGGTCTGCCTTTAGGCCTTCACTTGTGAAAATGTGACCTACATATCCTACATCAGGCATCCTCAAACTACGGACTCCGGTCCGGATCCGGACCGAACCACCACTGTCTCCGGACTCTGAGCAAATTATACTTTTCATATGTATGATCTCTAGGATCAGCACCTCCAAATCTGAGGCCATGGTTCTCAGCAGGAAACCGATGGACTGTCCACTCCAAGTAGGGAATGAGTCCTTACCCCAAGTGAAGGAGTTCAAGTATCTCGGGGTCTTGTTCTCGAGTGAGGGAACAATGGAGCGTGAGATGGGCCGGAGAATCGGAGCAGCGGGAGCGGTACTGCAGTCGCTTTACCGCACCGTTGTGACGAAAAGGGAGCTGAGCCAGAAGGCAAAGCTCTCTGTCTTCCGGGCCATTTTCGTTCCTACCCTCACCTATGGTCATGAAGGATGGGTCATGACCGAAAGAACGAGATCGCGGATACAAGCGGCCGAGATGGGTTTTCTCCGCAGGGTGGCTGGTGTCTCCCTTAGGAATAAGGTGAGAAGTTCGGTCATCCGGGAGGGACTCGGAGTTGAGCCGCTCCTCCTTCGCGTCGAAAGGAGCCAGTTGAGGTGGTTCGGGCACCTAGTTAGGATGCCACCTGGGCGCCTCCCTAGGGAGGTGTTCCAGGCACGTCCAGCTGGGAAGAGACCAAGGGGTAGACCTAGGACCAGGTGGAGGGATTATATCTCTTCGCTGGCCTGGGAGCGCCTTGGGATCCCCCAGTCAGAGCTGGTTGATGTCGCCAGGGAAAAGAAAGTTTGGGGCTCTCTGCTGGAACTGCTACCCCCGCGACCCGACCACGGATAAGCGGGAGAAGATGGATGGATGGATGGATATGTATGATCTCTCTGTATTATATGTGAGACATCGCCACAGAGTCAAAATTCTCCGCTATGTCCACTGCAAACAGCGCTCTGCATGTCTGACTGTTCCACTGTGTTCCACCTGTGTGTGTCAACGCTTTGGTCCAATCACATTCAGCATCCAGTCAGCGTTTTTTCCCCCCAAACAATCTGCGAATCAGAGGCACAGTAGGGCGGGTCTTCGCGGAATGCGGGTGGGAAAAATGTGTGTGTCTCTTTCAACCTGTCTAAGTCAGAGCGAGAATTAAAACAAAAACAAAAAAAATTCAGAGCGAGAGTTAACAGCTCATCTAGTTCCATCTGTACTGTAGCTAGTAGCCTAGTTTCACCTACCGGGGTGGCAACTGACACCCTAAAAATAGGCCTTGCCACCCCAGCTGCCACCCCAGTTGGCAGCTTTGTTTTGAAAGAAAAGTTGTGGCTCATCGGACATTTATGAGAGAAAGTCTCTAATGTCCGAGTGCAAGTGAATGCAGCACAAGATGCACGTCATGTAACCCCTCCCCCGGTCCTGGCGCGAGCGTGGACATACGATTTGGCGGCGATTTCATTTTTAACTGGACGGCGCAAAACGAGAAGCATTCGGACCCAAGCGCTGAAGGAATGAGGTATTTGCGGTCTACACTGACAGAGAAGAGACTGTCAGTTTGACTGTACTCAGCATTGAATCAAAACGCACTAAAGCTGTTGATCTTAATACGTTTGTGAGGCGTTTTGCTGAACAAGATGGTAATCGCCGCATTCAGCTGTAATAGACATGTCAACTTGATGCTCTGCTCACGGATGAGCATACACAACTATTAAGATGATGACCTTACGTGTGTAAATATATTGTTTTCTTTGAGGGGGTCTGCCCCCAAAAAACTGTTTTAAGTCCTGAGAAAGTCAAATAAGACGGTGTTTAAAACTACACTGCCCAGCCAAAAAAAAGTAACCACTTTGATTGAACTAGGCCAGTAGGTAAGGACTTTCCACTGGATAATAACTGCAGTATAAAAGAATGCATGACTGAAGTGATGGCCACCATGTTGAAGGCAAACAAAAAGAGGAAATAACAGGTCAAATCAAGCAAATCCCCTCTCAGATTGCACAGCAACCAGAAGAACATAAATACTGGCTGGTGATTTGATTCATCAGCTTTGTGATGGAATAAAAAATGCACAGTGCATTTTCTTAGCTGTGGGTGAGTCCACTGACACCACTGACAATGCTCAGTTGCTGGTGTTTGTGAGTTTTTATGATGAGGCAAAGGGGGAGTTTGTTGAAGATGTGTTGGGCCTGACGAACCTCAGTGGACACACAAGGGGGCAAGACATTTATAAAGCAATAATGGGAATGCTGAATGAAAGAGGGTGCAGCTGTCTTTATTCCTAACTGTGCAGCTCTTACACTGCGACTCTGAGGGGTCAAGCACAGAAACAATAACAATGAAAACTGCTGCATACAGATTATTTTTGTTTTTGCAACCTCGTGTTAAGAATCTTGTTGCAATTGTTTAAAAGTTTGAATGACCGTAATAAACGGACCTTTGTCTTATTGAAACATTTATTTTGGACCTTTAAGATTTGTATTTGAGTACCCCTGTCCTACATGATCCAGGCGAAACTTGCACTTGGCTGGATTCAGCTTCAGGTTGACTTCTCTCACTCGTTCCAGCACCTTCTTGAGGTTGGCATCATGCTCAGCAACTCCGCGGCCACCAATGATGATGTCGTCAACGATGACAGAACATGGGTAACCTGCAAACAGCTGTTCCATCGAGCGTTGAAATACCTCACTAGCAGAGCTAATGCCGAAGGGCATCCGTAGGAATCTGTACCGCCCAAATGGAGTACTGAAGGTTGTCAACATGGAGGATTTCTTGTCGAGACGTATCTGCCAGAAAGAGCTTTTAGCATCTAGCACAGAAAACACTTTTGCTCCTGACATCAGTGCTGCAACTTCTTCTACTGTTCTCATAGGGTGATGTGGTCTTTTCAGCGCTTTGTTGAGGTCTTGTGGATTGATACACAGTCTTATTTCCTGCTTGTCTTTTTTGTGTGCTGCCACCATAGATGAGACCCAGTCTGTGGGCTCAGTAACTGGTATAATGACACCTATGTTTTGCATGCGGTTAAGTTCAGCTTTAACTCTGTCTTGCATTGCAATAGGAATGCGGTGGGCAGGTCTCACCACAGGTTGTACACTAGGATCAACTGTCATGGAGTAAGTGATTGGTAGTTCTCCAAGTTCATCATCAAACATGTCTTTGTACTGCATGAGTGTCTGTGTGGTGAAATCCGTGTTGCTTTCCGTAGTGATCTGGTGGACATCTTTGCTCAATGTGACAATTCCCATGTCTACGCATGCCCGAAATCCCAGTAGTGGCTGCACATCTTTGTTCACTATGAAGAAAGGCAACGAATGGTGCTGCTCAGAGGTTGCGCTAGACTTTTTCACTGCCCGTCATTTTGACGGACAGGATCGTAAAACTTCTGTCAAAATCCAGAATTACCCGTCGGCCTTTACACAACTCTGACGAAGGGGGGTGGGGGAAGCATGCTCGTGAACTGTCAACGGGGGGGAGACAGTTCACATGCGCCGTGTTATGCATGGCTGCTGCACCTCGCGGGAGCGTGCACAGCGTAAAGCCAAAACTCACAGACATTTCAATGATTTGTACGGCACAGTTAGGTTTGGAAACGGTATGATTTCCTTTTTGGAGGGCATGCATAACACGGCATAACACCGGAGCCTCGCTGCGGGGAAACTTTGGCGCTGTTCCGAGTTTGTTCTAATCTGTCAAAATGACGGACTGCTTTCAGATTTGTCCGTCATTGTTAAAAAAAATCCGTCATAGACGGAAAATATTCGGTTAATATTCTGGTGCTGCTCCTTTAAGCAGCAAGGCAGTGTGACCAGGCCTTTGGTCTCAATCCTGCTTCCTCCATAAGCAACAAGGTTTATAGCAGTCTCTTGCTTCACAAGTTGCTCGCCATTGGTCACTTGTGTGAACGTTTCTTGAGACAACACATTGCATTTAGCTCCCGTGTCAACTTTCATTTCAGTTGGTATGCCATTAATGTGAATTGTAACAAATCCTTCTTCTTTGTCTTTAGCTTGAGGATTAACACTATTAACTATTAACTATTAACACGTCTTTCGATATCTACGCCATCCACGTGATTATTTCTATTTGAATGACTGTAGCTGCGTGGTTTAGACTTGCAGCATTTTTTGTAGTGATTAACTTTTTCACAGTTATGGCACTTTTGCCCGAAAGCTGGACACTTTTCTCGCATTGCTGCATGGCTGCCTCCGCAATTATTACAGTTAGAGATGCTCTGGGAGTGAGTGAGTGACTGTGGCTTTGGCTGATACCTTCTGCTAGAAACAGGTCTCACTGCATCAACACTGGTAGCTTGAACGGCTAACGTCCTGCTGCTTTCCTCTGTCATTTTGTGTATACGGCAGACTGAAACAGCTTTAGCAAGTGTCAGTTCACTGTCTCTCAACAGAGTTTTTCTTAAAGAATCATTGATTATGCCACATACTATTCTGTCACAGATTAGTTCCTCAGCTAAATCTCCAAAATGGCAACTTTTAGCTTTTATCTTCAGATCGCTGATGAATGACTCAATACTCTCACCTTGCTTCTGATTTCTTGAATGAAACTTGTGCCTTTCCATTATTTTGTTATGTTGAGGGTTGCATATTTCACTGAATTTCCGTATCAAACAGTCTGGGTCCTCCCTTGATTCAGCTGGGGAGATCACCGCACCGTCGGGGCCTGGCACGCGCACTTCAGCTGCATACATAAAGGATCGTTCACGTTCAATGGCTTCTGGTCCAGCGAGATTGAGGAGGATGTAAGCCTTAGTCCTGGCAGCCTTGTCTGGGTGCGCTGCGGCGATGAAGATTTCATATTCCCTCTCGAAGATCCGCCAGCTCTCCGCGACGTTTCTTCAAACGTAACAGGGTCCGGACGGCGAAATCCATCCGCCATTGTAGCTGGGGCTAGCTTCAGCCAGCTAGTTAGCGTTAGCACGGTCCGTGGAAAAAAAATTCTCCAGACGAGAGGAGAGGCTCGTGCCGTCTTCTGACCAGTGGCGAGCCGTGACTTTTATACCTAGGCCCTCTGACCTCCCCCCCCTTCCCTCGAAAGAAAAGAAGCGATATTACGTCACAGCGTATACTTCAGCGGAATATCAAAACAGCGGCCCGGGGTGCAAAACGCATCAATGACAGCGACCCTCTACCACACAGAACAACACCATTTATATAAACACCTATCATGACAGGGCACCCACAGCCAAGTAACAATTACAAATGAATTAAGTCGGCACGGCGGCCCACATTGAAAATGACTTAGGCCTACCTTTGATGATCAAATCACTTAAACACACAGTCCATCCTCCTGTCCTATTGGATGAAGCACTTGCGGGTCATTCAGCTGATCCTTTGCCACTCCAGTTTATCATTGTAGGCTAACTCAATTTTGAAAATGACTCGATTAATAATTTCGCAACGATGTCATCATCACTATCACTGAAGTGAGCCATCATGAACAAACTATGCTAATCATCTATCTATGATTCGAAAATAATAAAACTAGGGTAGACATGTGGATATTATCCGGCTGAACAAAACGTGCATTTATCTAACAGGTTCGTTTTCCACAGACCTTATTTCAAGCTATTTTCCAAAATCCTATGGAGAAATCCCACTGCTTTCTGTCGAGGGAATCCGAGCGCAGCTTACTTCCGGGTTTTAGGACGCGTCACTGCACCACTTGCATAGACCTCACAGCGGGCAGAACTTGTCATAAAGTCCGGGAAAATAAAGCCCGCCCATTTAGAGGGAAGATATGATTGGTCAATTGTACTGTCATTTGACATTACTCTCTCGTTGAGTTACTATAGCGGGCCCTCTGTGAATGTAGAGAGGGACCAACAAGCTCTCCCGTCTTCACAGTAACGGCCCGTCTACACTACAGGCATCGAAAAAGCTTGAAGCTGGGCGTGTCTGAGGCTTGGCGATTTCTCACGCCCAAGGCGACCAACAACCAATCACATGAATCTCCCGCCCCCGACATACAAAGCAATAGCAATGTTAAAACGAAGTAAACTAGATATAAAATCCCCAAACAGGCGAAAACCTACCAGTTTCACCCACTGTCTCTGCCACCTCCCTCCATGCCTGGTTCCTCCGGTTTGTATCCCGGTAAATAGTTCTGGTCGGAAAGAACCGGGTGATTTGCTCCCGTAATTTCTCGTTTGGAATATGAGGAAATTAACTGCGGTCTGGCTCTCCCAGCTTGCACGCGGTTTGATTGGCTAGCGCTTGTACTGGCGGGAATTGCAAAAACGGGATTTGATTGGCTGACGCCAGCTTCGAGCAAGCATCGAGCCTCAAAAGTTGAACATTGTTCAACTTTTGACGCCGATAGACGCTCGCGATGCTTGCAACGCCTTGCCATGCTACCCACAATGCAGTTCGGCGAAGTTTGAAAATATCCTACGTCACCCCATTCAAATGAATGGGCGAAGCGTTGAAAGCATTTGTTGACGCCTGTAGTGTAGACGGGCCGTAACTCGCAGAGACGGCATTTAACCCTTCACATTCCAACAGAAACTGAACAGGCAGATTCGAAGGATTCATTTCTTTGGAAATATTATTTTAAATACAATTAAATCAAGTTATTTTGGTAAAACTAATGAAAAATGTAACAACAAAAAAATATAAAAAATAATATTTAAAAAAAAATGTTTTTTTTAATGTTTTCAAATATTACTTTTTAGAATATCTTAGGCCCTCACAGAGGGCCTAGAGGGCCCTGACGGCTCACCACTGCTTCTGACACCATGTAGAAGTTGTCAATACTTCTTAATACATGCATGTGTGTATGTACAAGGAATACACAATGCATAGGCAAGTGGTGGCTTTATTTATGACCACAGCATGTACAGTGAACATGTACGTTGCATGCCGACTAACAACTGAATGCCTATTACCTTAACACGTCACCGTGTGGCGTACCAGCTACGGTGGCCTGCAAAGGACAAACTTAATCATATGAGAATGATCTACAGTAGACAAAAAAAGCAAAAGGAAACTGAACGTGTTTTTACTGTTTTAATGGCGTATCAAGAGCACAACTGAAACATCACATCTGAAACGATGTAACAACATAATACACTTTTTGGGGATGCAGCTTGGGATGTGAGGAGTGAGGGACACGGCTTAGAACGGGCATTCTGTCCTGCCAGTGTTGGCAGGACATGAATTAAAATGTCGAACTCTGACTTCATTTTAAGGACATGTCGGCCAGGGGTGTAGAGCTATATTTGTTTAAGCACCGGATTGGCAAAACAGGAGACTCTGTGCACCAGTCTGCCTTGGTCTATGAATTAATGTCCGTGACACTCACAGTAGGCCTATCTGCTGCCCACAGCTCTTTTATAGAAGGAAAACCTCCTTCACTTCATGAAATCTCTGCAGCACCAGGAGGCAGCCTCTGAGAAGACGAACGTGCAGTGCCTTTCACGCACCGCCTCGCTGTGTTTATCTTCAGAATCATAAGGCTAAAGAGCGACCGCAGGCTGATGTGTTTTTAACCATACACACCTCTACACACACACATGACTTAAACGCAGACTTTTGTTCCTCCATGTTTCGTTGTTGAGTCATTCTATAATTTAGGGTACATTTCACATCAACAAAACTGTAAAAAAAAAGTTATCTTTCTCAATAGAACAATCAGTGGTTCAAGTTAGTATATTCCTCAGTGTAACATATCCACTAGCAAAGCTTAAACTTTTTTTATTTTATTTTTTATTTGAAGGGAAAGGATGTTTTCACTACTCAGTTTGTCAACTATGTTACGGACAAACTTGATGTCATTACAATCATTTCATTAAGTCCTGCACTTCAAGTAAAATCCAATTTGAAAGGCTCTTGAGTCTATTCTACCATATATCCAAAGATTTTTAAAAGATTCAAAAGTAATTGTATTAAAGTTTTGTTTTTTCATGTAATATGTTCAGCACTGTCATTAAGGATAGGGATATTTTCTATTATAAAACTACCATACAGGTCATTTTGATAGTTTTAAGAGATGTCACGTAAAACTCCAACCTGTGTAGATGTACATTATGCTATAAAGGATATCAGAAGCACTATTTTATATATTTTAAATTTGAAAAAATGAGGTGCAACATAGTTGACAATGAAAGTCACACATTTGACGCAAATAACATAGTTGACTGGACACATTATTAACCATCAGCACTATGTTTATTTCAAGGAAGAAGTGCAAAATTAAATTGAAACTTTCAATTAATTCAATTATGAAACACCAAATTCATACAAAATACATTACATTTGAAATGTACTAACAAGCAAAACAAAAAATCACACAGTGCAAATTAAACATTCCCTCTGATCAGGTTGGAACAATTTCTTCTAATTCAGACATTCAGAATTCATTTCTAATTCAATTCCTACAGAACAGTCTAAATAGTTTACATTTACATTAAGAAATTTGACGGTTTCATCGAAAGTGACTTGTATGTCAGACAAAGGTCAAACCCACAGTAGAGGAACAAATAAAGAACAGTTTTTAAAGTAATGGTTTTGTAATGGGTTCAAACCAGCACAGGGGTCCAAGTGAAGCCTTACCGAAAAACGAAATATTAAAGAATAGTACAGTAACATTAATATTCAACAGAACAGTACTATTCAATTGCAACATTCAGTTGGACCTTTTAGAAATTAGACCAGATGTCTTTGTCAATCTCCACGTGGCGTGAGGTCACTGACTTTGGAGGAGGAATCACTCTCAAAATGTCCTCAAAAGGGTACAAAAGCACATCCTCTCTTAGTGTCCAGAAGAACCGGTTGACTCCGGCAACGTGCATGCACTTTACCTGCACATGTGTGTCCATGACCTCCTGAATGACTCCTGGGTAAATGTCTTCATCATATTTAAGGGCACACCACTGGCCAATTGAATCAGGACCCCACAGCCTTTCATTCTCTTTGCTGTTGCCTTTAGGTGCTTGAGGCAGCGAAGGGGTCGTTTGCTGAACCTCAAAACTAAAAGTACGAGTGTCATCACAGCGACACTCATAACTTTGTCTGGCGGTGCAAGGGCAACTTACATCTCGATACAAGATCTCTCCTGGTGCCCCTGTGACCACCTGGTGGATACGCATAGTTGAAGGCACTGCTGGCAGATGACTTGGCATCTTGTTAATTGCTTCATCCACAAGATTCTCTCTTTTGTAGAACACCCTAACTGTTCCGCTGTTAACCAAAGCACTGTAGAGATGTTCTGCTGAAGGGATGTCATGACCTTGGCTAACAAGCCTGTCAGCCATTCGCTTCAGGAGGCCTCCCACTCCATCTGGAGCACCCTTCCCATGGCTTGCTTCAAAAAAGTTCCATGTCCCCCTTTTGAAACCACGGTTCATCAGCTCTGTGCTTAAGAGGAAGAAGTTTCCCTTCTGTCTGTATTGCGTGCATGGACCGTCACTGAAGAAATGCACCACCTCGACAGAAGGATACGAGGCCTTCACTTCATCCAGGATGGGGGACAAATGTGCCCAAATGGCAGGTGGGCCTTTCTCCTTTGATGCCGAAATTGTGCCAAAGCACATGTGCTCTGCTGTCCCACCAACATGAAGAATTCCTGTGTGGAGCGTTGCTTGCTTCTGGTTTGGGGCTAAGTGCATTGCCTGGATTTCTGCTGCAAGCTTACATGAGTAGTTCTCCAAAAAATCCACATGAATCAAGCATTCTTGGTTGGTCATGCTTTTTCTTAATTCACGGTAGTGGGTGAACTGGCTTTTAATGTTAAATGTATGCCGTTTGAAATGTCTCAATTGGCCTTGAAACATCTCCAGCAGATCCGCCAACACTATGTCCTTTTTCTTCTTCACAGTGATTTTCATGGGGACCTTGTCCTTTTTACCATCTTTGTTTTTCTTTTCTCTGATGACTGTTTCAGTTGACCACTGAGTGAGTTCGACATTTGCCTGAAGGTTAACTTCTGCTGCTATGGCAAACTCCTGTCCTTTGCAGTGGGGACACTCGTTGTACATGCTGTCCTTTGAATTTGGATTGCAGCTTATTGATGATGTCAGGTCTTCCATGTCCACGCTCCTAATTAACTTGAGAGTGTGAAGCTTTTCAGCCAGAAAGGAAAGATTCTCATGAACCTTGCAAAGACAGGTTTGTCTGTCTGCAAGTGTTCGGTTAACTACCCAGAAGGGACGCATACGACAGAACAAGGAGTAAGAGAGATTGTAATTCTCTTACTCCTTGGAGTAAGAGAGATTGTAATTCTCTCTTACTGGATGTTCAGTGAGAAATTTCCTGTGGAGGTTTCTCAGGGTATGATTAAAAACCTCTTCTGTTTCTTTATCTTCCGCCTGGTGATTGTTTGTGCTTTACCTGCTGTCAATCGGCTGCTTTCATCCCTCGTCAGGTAAGCAATGACGCTGTCTTGAATTCGGAAGCATAGGCTTCGGTACTTTGTATTGCCTTGAGCAGGATTCTTGTTCCTCTTTCTGGAGATGTGTAGTGCTGTACGAACTTCTTTTTGTAATCCATACTTTTTAAGGATCCACCCAGTTAGAATTTGTGACATTGCCTGCCTGTGTGTTCTCCTTTTTGTGGTGGCAAAGGCGTCCTTGATGTTGGCCATGAGGGCATAATGAACAAGCAATGATCTCCGTACTTCGCCAGAAACAGGGACATTGTGTAGCAGTCGCCTTGTTTTTGATGCCGGGGACTCTGAGACCGCACATCGTCTTTTGCGTAGTTTGTCTGTTTTTTTGGTTTGTTTCCCGAGCAAATGTTTCAGTTTTTGTATTTCTCTGTGTAATTTTGAGTGTTCTCTCCTGGCCTTTTTTCTTCCAGCTTTTTTCTGTCTGAAATAAACAAAATAAATTACGTTACAGATAATGTGCTGTGTATACAGCATATTAATGGAAACCTTCTACTTTGTTACACAATTTTCCTGTTGAAAACATAAACCTGTTTCTACCTTGTTTCCTGAGGTTGATGGACAACTTCAACTTGGCTGTCTGGACTGTCTGGTGGTGTAGCTAAGTTGTCAAGCCTGTGCTATCTTTCTCTGCTTCTCTGCTGTGCCTTCCTCCAATAGGCCCTCTTGCTTCTTTTATCTCTGTCACTCATCTCTGCCACTGTTTTCACCTTTCCTTCTGATCTGAACCTGTGCCATGCCTCTCTCTGCTTCTCTAAATATGCTGCCCTTCTTGCAGGATCAGCATCTCGACGAGCCCTGTATCTCCGCTGTTTCTCAGCTGCTGACATCTATTTTAAATAATTGGATAAAAAAGTGTGTTGGACATATGTAGAATGATAATGCTGTGTAATGACGTCTACATGTCATACAAATTGCCAACTAGGTTACCTGTCAACTAAGTTACCCAGTAACTCAGTTGACAGGTAACCTAGTTGACAATTTCCCTATTTTGACCCATCATTTCAATGGTAGGCCTTGCCTGGATGACCACATGTCATTTTCTTGAACAGGTTAACATCACATTTGAACATATCATTGAATTAAAATCATTAAACAACTTTAAACCATAACAATGTACGTAACATTGTTGATGGTCAGTTAATATACTCATTGACAATGTGCTATTATACATAGAATATTGTAAAAAATTAGAGGACACTCACCACAGTGTGTTCAAAATGTCAGCCAAAGAGGAACATGGCATCATGTGATGCTGGTGACATAGTATTGGGACAAACCATTTTTGAGTTAAAGGGGGGAGTTCTGTTTGTAACATAGTTGACAGAACTTTTGCGGACATTCATATATTAAGATATTTAAATTATTTAAATTATTTAAAGGAGGAAATCAATTAAAAAAATATGATTAATCTTTAGTATTTATACTTTTGAAATAAATGAATAATAGTTTTTATTTACTTTAACCCTTTGGAGTCCAGGGCTAATTTGGCCGTTTTCGCATACTTTTGATTTGTCTTACTAAACCCCATTAAGAAATGTTTGGCATGTCAATGTTTGGTATCTTTTTTTTAAGGACAACCTCACCTATATAACCTGATAGTTATTTCTGTCATTTTGAGATACTATATGAACATTTTGGACCCAAAATCACAAAAAAAACGTAAAAACAGATTTTGATAAATGATATTATTTTTCATATAGGTAACACAAACATACACAACGAAACCATTTGAAAGCTGGAAATATATACATGGGATGTCACTATGATAATGTGAAAGTTTGATTTAGGTAGCATGAACCTATATACAAATGTTATGAACAAATAACAGGTGAATCCATAGGCTTTTTTCCCTCGTTTCTCAAGTTCTGTCAACAGTGACACAGTAGGCACAACAAAACTAACTTTAAAAGCTTAAATAATGTACATGTGATTTCGTTCTGATATGGCAAAAGTGTTATTATAAATATAATACAAATATATATATATATATATATATACACACATTATGTACAAAAATCTGTTTTTTTCTGTCTTTATCTGTGCCACGCTTCAAAGCAGTTTCTGTCAACTACGACTCTTACCTCATTTACACCAACGGTGTTTCAGGGCCGGTTCGGAGCTGGAGCTTGAAAAGCACCGGGTTTTCCTCTTCACACCGCAGTGGAGCAGCCTCTTAGCTCCGGAATCCGGTTCGTTTCAAGCACCAAAAAATGGTCCGGCCAGAGCAAAAGCACCACATACGTCACGCTTACGTCGAGGCGGGGGCAGGGGCAGAGACAGATCAACTCCTGAACAACAACAAAAAGCCCGCATTTTATCCAGTTTGTACACAATGATGGAGAAACTTAACAAGAGTTTCAGCCATAGACTGTATAAAGGTTTCTGCTCACGGTGAAGCAACGTGTCTGCGTGTTAAGGTGGAACCTGAGCATTCACGTTGATCACCTCTCATTATAACTCATTATAAATCTATAAAACTATAAATATTAAACTTTACTTCACGTGTTTATTTGAGAACAGCTGTTAAATACCTGGGTGAAGGTTACAGTTAATGTAAATGAAAGATACAACGTTACTCCACACTCATGGTTCAGTCCACCTTAAGAAATAAGACCGACCTCGGAAGCAGTTGTGTTTTAAAAAAACCTTTATTGACACGAGTACACTTTTTTATAAGAATATAACTAAACCACAGAAATGACTCCGGAAAAGCTGCAGATAGAGCCATAAGAAATGAATGCAACTGATTTCATCCGCGCGGTTTGGCTTTATGAAGCAGGCACGCAAACGGTTACGTCATGACGCAAACGATGACGCAACGACGCATTACCAGTCGGACTCTGGGCGGTGTGAAAAGAGCCAGAGCTAAACCGAAGAACTGGTTCTGAACCTGAAAAGCTCTAGCACGGAGCTTGAACTGGAGTTGCGTTGGTGTGAATGAGGTAACAGAGGGCAACATCACAGGCTCCTCCTCCTCCTCCATGTCAAAAAACAAGCTTATAGCTTGACTCACGTTCAGAGTTCTCTTCATTATAGTTGAATCTTCAAAACTCTAAATCTATCTAACTATATCTAAATTGTCAATGTTTGTCTGTCACTTTACTTCAATCGCAGTCTCCCGCCGTCTCTCTTTGTCTCCCGCCACCTGTCTTCGTATATCTTCGTCTCTCTCCATTTCCCGCCGTCTCTCTTCGGTTCCCGCCGTCCCTCTTCGTCTCTTTTCGTCTCGCTTCGTATCATTCCGTTTACCTGATTCCCTCACCCCCTCCCTGGTAAATACATCCTGTTGAGCAGAATCTACAGTTTCCAGTATTTTCCGTTTCGTAAAATGATAAAATACGGCGAAGATATTAAAATATGTGCTTCCATTATTCATGCTTTTGAAATAGTAGTATTAACTTTATATCATCGTATCTCCGTGTTTATTGGGTCTTTTTGCATGAAACAAAGACTGGCATATCGTTTCAAGCCAGTACTTTCGACAGAAATACACATATACATCCTGTTGAGCAGGATCTACAGTTTCCAGTATTTTCCGTTTCGTAAAATGATCAAATATGGCGAAGATATTCAAATATGTGCTTCCATTTTCTATACTTTTGAAATGCATTAACTTTATATTATCGTATCTCCGTGTTTACTGGGTCTTTTTGCATGAAACAAAGACTGGGATATAGTTTCAAGCCAGTACTTTCGACAGAAACACACGGCAATGTTGTCCGGACTGTTGTTTTTATGCGGCACCGACTTGGAACAGGTCATGTGATCTGATCACGCCGGCGTGACGGTCGACTCCAAAGGGTTAATGGTTTTTATTCATTATTTTGAAACCAAGACACCCTCCACTGAAAAACGGACAGAGCAAAAACTGTCAATTTAAGAACATCATGACACATTTCAAGCTAAACTAAGTATAGGATGCACATAATGTTTGTGTGATATTATAACATGCTTTCCAATAATAGGCAAAATATGATATTTTTGAAGAAAATAGAAAGAATAATTATAATTATCATCAATTGACATCAATGGACATGGAATGTACCCTAAATTGTAGAATCACTGTTATTGTTTCACTGAGCGGACCCGCCCCTTTTTTTTCAAACGCTTCCTTTTTTGGTCCATCTGCGGCGGTAAAAGTTGTTGTGCGCTGTGATGATTCGGCTGTACCTTTAATAATGACTATTAAATGTTGTGAGGAAATCTTTCCACCAATAATTCCAATAAGTAATCCAAAATGTATTCACTTCAGGTTTACGAAAGTAACTGTAATCAGATTACTCGTTTTTCAAATGTAACGCAAGCTGAATACAGTTGGGCTACTTGATTTTTGTATTCTGATTACGTAACGCCGTTACATGTAGGCCTATTCCGTTACAACCCAACCCTGGTTACACAACACATAACTACTGTCTTTTTTAATAGTGATAGAGTGATACAGTAGCACATAAAGAGATATTAATCGGGCACTTTGTTTTTGCAACCCTTGGTTATTTATCTGATGGTGTTCATCTCAGCATGTAAACCTTTATTGTACTGTTTAATTACAGGTATCAGATGGTGAGTAAGCATGACACCAGGACTTGTTTCCTGGACAATTGGACCAATCACTTGCCAATATGTGATCGTAAGTCTGGTAACAACACAGCAACAATATTGTTCAACGTTCTGTCGATTACTATCAACTTCATTGCTACAGTTCTTTTCATGGTTATTTAAAAAGAAAGATTTTATTTTATTAAAGCACGGGTGCTTCTTCGGTATCTTAGTAGGCAGCCCTGCGTTAATGTTAAAGGATTCAGTTGGCACAAAACTCTCCCGGTTGAATCCTCAGAACCAAAGAGCAACAACTAGAAAGTATGTGTTTCTTTGATAAAAAGTTGATGGTACAAGACTGTAGTAAAACAATGGGAGAGAGGTTAACACAACTCCCAAGGTGCATTTCGGTATAAAACATCCAAGCGTCAATGCATTCAGATTAGATTTTTGGGGTTCATTTTGGATTATCTATGTGATGTGTTATGTTTCACAACTGCAACACCAAAGCTTTTTTTGTGGTCCGTGCCTCTCACTGTCTTACCTCAATTGCAACTTGTTGATGATACAACAATGACATTCAAAACGTTGTTTCTAACCTATAATGATTACAGTGATGGTCATAGGAAAATATTAGTCTTATTTTCAGGCTCACATTGTATTTTGGGTTTACTAAAACGTGTTTTACACACTTTGTTTTATTTTCCTTCATTGACCTAACTGAGTGTTTGTGTTTACTCAGCTTTGAGCTGCGAACTCCCGCCTGCAGATGGAGGGTTCATTGTAAAAGGTATTCCAGAAAATGATGACTCCATACTTCCTGACCGCTTCCTCGAATTCAGCTGTGACGGTCCTTGGAAATATCTGAATGGCAGCTCAAGGCTGATATGTCTTAAAGATGGACAGTGGGACAATGCATTCCCAACTTGTGAAGGTAAAATAAAAAAAGTATTTTGTGTACTATATCTAGGTAAATACTTTTTATATGTTTGACACTAAGTTTTTTCATTTGACAATATTGATTTCTATTTCACCCAGACATCACCTGCAAAGTTGTATTAGCGATACAGAAGATGAATGTTAACTTATCAGATACATTAACATTAAGCTCAAAGTTTGGTGATCAATAATTACAGAAATGTTTCAGCATAATGTCCTCTCAAGAATCTGCAATATATTTTGTCTATACCAATAACTAAACCTACCATATAAAAAAAAATGTGTCCCTTGGCGGCAGTAGAAACGAGCTGACATTGACATTAGTAATTATCTTTGAGTTAACTTTGTTTACTATAGCTATTCTATAACTGTTACTTCAGTTAGCAGTCAGTGCTGTTTATTTCCGACCTCCCTAATGTGATTTATTGTTGGCTTAAAAATGCTCGTTATAGACTCATTAAAATCAAACATCCAACATACTCTTCTGTACATCTATATGGTTCCAATATAAAAAAAGAAATCCAAAAACTCAGATCTTAGGTCATTCTATTGTTTATGCTGTACAAACTCTTGATTGACCAGATTCTCTTCTCCAAACAGAGAAATGCAAAGTCACGGGTGTATCTGACAATGTACACCTCGACACAGACCCCGAAAAGTTGAGGTTTAGTTGCCATGAAAATGGAGACACTCTTTTGGGGAATGCAGAAGTGACATGCTTAGCAAACGGACAGTGGAGTGCTCCCTTCCCAACATGTGGAGATGAATCTTTTCTTTCTTGCTGCTTTACAATACATCAACGTCTTTCTTTTAGTATAGAGTAGTTATTCTGACTGTTTCATGGTGACTCAACTTTCATAAAATACACTGCAATCTGGACATATTTCCGCCTTGTTCATGACCTGAACATTAAAACTTGCATTACGGTATGATTTGTTGCAGAGCTGTGACAATAGACTGTATTTGATTTAAGCTAAGTGAACCTAGTAAAATGGCAGTGTGTACAGTATGTTTACAGACTTCTAAACCCTAAGATTGTTTATTTATTTGTGTGGTTTTTTTTTTTACATTCTTTTAGCTCTTTCGGGTTGTGGAAGACCAACACCCCTTGAAGATGGAGACATTGAGGGAACTGTTGGACACAGGAACAGGCACGGAGACAGGGTTAAATACATCTGTCCGAATTACTACAAAATGCAGGGTGATCCTCACAAAACCTGCACCAATGGTGAATGGATTGGACAGATGAGATGCCTCAGTAAGTTACAATTTCATTTACATTTTTTTCAGTGGCGGTTCTAGAACATTTTACATGGGGGGGAAAAGGGGGGGGCAAGAGGTCATGCCAGGGTGGCATGGGAGGGCGGACAGTACGTGGTATTTTATACTGTATATAACCTATTTATTGTTAATTCATGCCCTAACACAAGTGTTCTTAATGCACAAGAGAAACAAGGTGTTCAGACAAACAATCGGGTGCCCTTTGAGTCCACCAAGCTTACCTCAACCATTTTAAATGAAAGGAAACTACAAAATGTATTTTAAAGCAATGAATTAATGGAACAGGTTTTTTTGCATTACAATGTACAACTAAATATATATTTTGTTTTTAAAAAATTGGTTTTCTTAGTATTAGACAGACATATTTGTATGTCCTCACTAAGCATTATTACATATTAATTTAATATCAAACCAATCAAAATGGCCAATTATCCCAAAATGTTGCTGCTAATATAATCATATGCTTTATCAACTTTAACTGATCAAAAATAAATTCTGAAAAAATACTTGAATTATCTATGAAATTGCAATATTGTCCCTCAGTTTGTTTCAACCCCGTCACGCCATATCATTTACCCTCCTATTAAAATAATGGATCAGTCCATGTGTGATCTGCATTGAGGGAATTACATCACAAAAGTGTCCGTTTCTTCTCTTACCTATATTTCAGTTTTTGTATTTTCAGATTAAGATTGACAAGCTCAACATTTCAATTTATAATTAAGTACACAAATGACATCACCCATCTCTTCAGAGAGCTGAAGGTGACCTGTGCAGCAACACATTTCAATCAATATTTGTCAATACTAAGAGCTGCTATTGTGCTGCTGTGATGGAATATGTAAGGAGAATAAGAACATACCATGTGGTCCAGCTGGAGTTTCATCTGCCTCCTGATCCCTGCCTCTGTCCCTCTTTCTGATACTTCATCTTTATTCCTCACATACATTTCTTCTTCTTCACTAATGTCTTCATCTCCTCCTCCTGCTCTGACCCTCCTGGTCTCTTCATCTCCTCCTCTTCCTCCTGCTCTGACCCTCCTGGTCTCTTCAGTGAACTCTCTTTTCCTCTTTCTGTTCGTCCTGATCACTTCTCATATGTCTTTGTGTTGTTGTTGAATCACTCCTATACTCTGGCCTGCAAGAGTCTACTTGTGAAAAGCACTGGTACAAATGCTTGTATAACTTTACACGTTAGGGCCATGTAGCCTAGCTAATATGTAGCATATCATATAACATCAGAAAGTATTGATTAAGCGCACACAGGCAGCTGTGTTTGGATCCAGTTTTTACAGTAAAGGATGTATCCTGGTTTCATTGATCTGGCCTCATTGCTGTGATGTGTAGTTTACGTGGATTTAATAGTAGGCTACCGCGTAGTTTAACAAAGTGATCGATCTCCCAGCTAACGCTGTCTGCGTAGTATTTTGTAACGTAACGCCCCAAACAGCGCCCGTCTGTTAAACGCTATCGATTCAAACGGCAGCGTTTTATTAATATTTAGTTTCAAGCTCTCGTCCTTAGTAAAAACAAAACTAGTGGAAAGGGAAATGCTCCCAGGGGAAGCTGATCCATAGGTGCTGGGACAGCTCACTCCCTCTCTGCAGCGGTGTGAGCCGCGGTCTGTGTGAACGCCGCTCCGCAGTTTAATGCAGGGACGTAGCTGCGTTTTTATCGGGCCTAAAATTATATTTAAAATGATTCACTTTTAACTAATATAATGCTTGTTTTGTTGCTTGAGAAGCTTGTGGAAATAGTGTAGGTTTATTTTAGTACAGTTTTAGGGAAACAAAAGTTAGGGGGGCAGCTGGGGGGGCAAGGCTCTACAGTGGGGGGGGAAGCTTCCCCCCCTTGCCCCCCCCGTAGATCTGCCCCTGATTTTTTTATTCTGTGAGGTTTTTGGTATAAGGCAATATAACTTCCTGTCTGTTTACCAGTATGCTAGCTAGTAAGGCTTTGAATGTTGAGTATTGTAACAGAACAAGATACTGATTACATTTTGGACTATAGTTTTCGAGCCCTAAATATATTTGCAGTACGTACTGTATGAATCAGAATCAGAATCAGAAACGGGTTTATTGTCAGGTAGGTTCACACATACGAGGAATTTGACTTGATGTCATGGTGCATATACATAAAATATAAAACAAAAAAAATCTAATATAAAACAAAAAATCTTTAAGGACACTGTAATAAAATATAGTTAAATAGCAATACAAATAAATTAAATTAAATAAAGCAGTTATTTACAGTGAAATAGAGTGGAGTGAATTATAAAATATAGAACTAAGAATATGTGCAGTAAGCAGTATTTGAGCATTGTGTGCATTAATGTAATGCATATAGAGTCTACGTTGTGGCTGAGGTAAAGTGTCAGTGGTGGGGCCGGGCCTTGTTTAAGAGGCCGGTAGCAGAGGGGAAGAAACTGTTCAGGTGGCGAGAGGTTTTGGTCCTGATGGAGCGCAGCCTCCTGCCAGAGGGGAGGTGGGTGAACAGTTTGTGTCCAGGGTGGGAGGGGTTGGCCACTATCTTCCCTGCCCGCCTCAGGGTTCTGGTGGCGTAGTCATATGCCATTAACAATATACCCGCCCCTCTGAATGACTTTTAAGTATTAACAATATGCTGTGTATCCATTTTCTCTTGCAGAACCCTGCACTGTGAATAGCCAAGACATGACTACACATCATATTGACTTCAGACATGTTCAACAGAATAAATTGTATTCAAAACCTGATGATACAATCGAGTTCAGGTGTACCAGTGGAAGACACGACGGCGCAGTGGACATGCGTCAGAAATGTAATGATGGTGTGATCCTCCTTCCTACTTGCCACTAAAGCTTTTTAGGCAACTGGATGTGATGACCATGAACTAGCTGGACAAACATGTACATGATTAACCAAAGTAAAGAGTTAGACCAGTTCTTTCCTAATCAAGTGTGTGTAACCCAGTGCTCTGTGTGGTCATTCTAATAAAACAAATATGTTGACTTGGTCAGATGTCTGCCTCTATTTATCAGATGAACTCTTTATCTTTCATGATGATATCCAAAATATTAATAAAGCACAATAAAGGACCAAACTGGGCCAAGTTTCCTAATAATGATTGTCCTTAAACATAAAGATAATTTTCCATGAATGTTTCTTCAACAGTTTTTAAGGAGCAGTTCCCCAGAAAACAGAAATACATATTTCTCTTCGCTCCTGTAATGCACTTTATCAGTCTGTATCGTTTTGGTGTGCTGTAGAGATGTCTGCTTCTTCTTGAATATGATGACACTAGATGCCACTCGGCTTGTGTTGCTATAGCCTCAAATAGATACGTTTTGAATGTAGAATGTAAAAGCAGTGTTTCTTTCCGGAAATCAAAATAATTCGCAGTTGTGAGCAGTTTCATGTAGGAACTATTTTCTATATACCGAGCTACATTTGCCAACAAATAGACAAATAAATATTTTATAGTTGGATTTGTTCATTTTGAAAGTAAGAGTAATGTTCATTAAAAACTAAGCTTGCTGCCTGTAACACATCAAGGTCCTGGTAAGGAGTTTCAAGAAGTACACTTTACCTGCTGGAGATACACGTTACCATTATGATCATATTAACCCTGAACTGAAGCCATGTCTTCACAATACACGTAATCTACTGTTGCATACTGTACATTTATACTTGTATATACTATACATGTGTACTGGTATACAGTGAGTATATACTGCAATATACTGTTAATATATACTGATCATACACACTGTTATATAATGTTATAAGTTGACCTAATTTCTGTAGTATTATAAGATATACAACATAAGCACCATAAAAAGAGAAGATATGGAACCTGAAACTTCAAAATCAGAAGGAGGAGGAAGACCTGTCGGCACATTGAACATTGAACATGAGATGTGTTGATGGTGTGATGCTCCTGCCCACTTGCCAGTGAAGGGGTTATTTCACTCAAAGTAACTGGCCTGATTTGGCTGAATACCATTTGAATGCTAATTAAAAGTACAAAAATTGAGCATATATAAAAAATACACGTTCAATCAGTCTGTTTCCTTCCTTACTGTATATGTATTATGAGAAAATATGTAAATACTCCTTATTACCATCTATATTTTCCAACTCTAAGAATGTCATTGAGTAGATGATGACGATACTTTCTACTATTATAAGTATTTCAAAGTATGTACCTTGCTTGCAAACAGTTTTTTTATTTCAAATGCCCCCTGTGCAGATGTGGGGAGAAGTACTCCGATCTTGTGCTTGAGTAAAAGTAGAAGTATCAGAGTTTAGGAATACTCTGTTACAAGTTAAAGTCCTGCATTCAACATGTTACTCAAGTAAAAGCACAAAAGTACTTACATTGTACTAAAGTACAGTACTTTAGTAAATCTACTTAGTAACTGTATACCACTGCCACTCTCCCATCACTGGTATGTCACTGTCTGTCAAACGAATGCCCTTTGGTACATTGAGATGGGTTCGATGTTTTGAAGGCGTGATGACCCTGCTCTCTGCCAGTAAACGATTGAGCTAACTGGAAGTGACATGAGCTTGCTGGACAAACATGTTAATGATAAACCAGAGGAAAGAGATTGACAACATTTCATGCTACTGTAATCTGTACAATTCAGTGCTTTATACACCAAAAAAGTTTTGTAAGTTGTAATTTTGAAATATATTATTCCACAGACAGGAAGCCAGTGTACATTTATGAGAACTGGAGGGATATAGGTCTTTGTTGGGACCTCTTAGAGGGACATCATTACCGTATAAGCCTATAGAAGGTAAAAGGGGAGGACAAGTTATTCTAAACACTGGTCAGACTGTTGTCCTCAAATTCGTGGACTTCTTTAAATAACTGAAACTTTTTTTATATTTTATTTGTTATACTTACTCATATAACCTGCTGCCTGCACCTAAATCATTGTTTGCAAACTTTGCATGCTGAAATTTATTAAATACAAAATACGGTGGAAAAACTATTTCCATATCAGGGTTGTTATATAATACAAATAACATATATATAGGTAAACCAATCGGAGAGAGAGAGAGAGAGTGTGTGTGTGTGTGTGTGTGTGTGTGTGTGTGTGTGTGTGTGCGTGCGTGCGTGCGTGCGTGCGTGCGTGCGTGCGTGCGTGCGTGCGTGCGTGTTTTAAGGGGGAGGTACTCATGTTCCTGAGACAGTTTCATTCAATTGTTTGTACTTTCCACTGTGTAGAAAGAGTCGATTTAAGTAATTACAGAAGTACAGCTATTCCTGGATCCTCACAATGACATATGTTTACTTTCTTGGGTTCTTTATACTATGCCTTAAAATGGATACGTCTTTACAACAGGAAGGTAAGCAAGAGGGGGAATTATTTATTAATCCCTCTGTTTCTCTATATTATATATGAATAAAACCATATCCAGGACTTAATGTGAACCTATGTGTGAACTGAGTAACTCAATTGACTTGTTATATCAGACAAACCACTGAAAACTGGTTCTGTGACGGACAGTGCAACAATAAAATGTAAACTATATCTGCCACCACTGGAAGGAACCAGCAATGAACCTGCAGTTAAAGAACAGCAACAGATGTTATACCACCATGCCCTCCCACACCCCATTGTTACAGGCTGCATCAACTCTACGGCTTTTTAATTAGCCTTTTCCTAAATACATTTGTATTCTTGCTTATGTGTATTATGCAACAAAGATAATATGTTCAGCACCCAAAAACTGAATTGCTGCTCATCAAAGGGTGATCTTATTTTTCTTTATTGGAGACTAGTATTCATTTCTAAATGGTTTGTTTCACTTTATTTTAACTATTATTATTTACAGTTTAACTGAAAATTCAAGGGAAATTGTCATTCTGTTTATTTCTGTTTCATTCCCTAAATTATTTTTTAAAACGCTACATTTAAATGTTTTTGGGGTTATGTTTGTTGGGAGCCCCACACCTCTGTGTGAACGTAAGTAAAAACTGAGTAATGCAGTGTCTGGTGACACTTAGTGACAATGGATCAGGACAAAAAGTGAGCCAATCTTTTTTCCTGAAACTTTCAGAATTTCTTTACACATGTTTATGTATAAGATGCATGAAAAAGTGGATTTTGCATAATAGGTGACCTTTCAGAAATCTTTATTCTTGCTTGTGTATTATTCAACAGAGATAATATGTACAGCACCCGAGATTGAAAATGGTGAAGTGCTTGAAGAAATCCAAGAGTACAAAGAACATCAAGTCCTGGAGTTTCAGTGTGATCCCTCATTTACACCTGCTGATGCCAGATCTCCAAAATGCACAAAGCATGGAGTAAGAGCAGAATGGAGCCCCACACCTCTGTGTGAACGTAAGTAAAAACTGAGTAATGCAGTGTACTGGTGACACTTCCCAATAAATATAGGTTCTGACGGATAATATGTTTATTTTCCAACAAATACAGCAATAACATGTAAACTACAACTGCCAGGGCTGAAAGGAACCAGCTATGAACCTGCTTATAGAAACATGTTTCTAGCTGGTGAACAAGTGACAGTAAATTGTGGAAACAACCACTGGATTTTTAGTCATCAACAGGTCTCAGTAGTAACTACATGCAAAGAGGACGGAGAGTGGACTATCACACCTGAATGCCAAGGTATGACACTGCTGTGAATGCTGTTTTATTTGTTTATATTTCATAAGCTCGATTACTTGAGATTTACAAAACGTTTTCTTATTCTAGAGGTTACGTGCAGCAAACGAGGAGTCCCACATGTGTCTTGGGACAGTCGTTGGCAGCTAACATTGAAATCGGGTGAGATGACACGTTATGGGTGCGCGAGAGGCTACAGGAGGAAAGATGACAGGAACGACATGGCCACATGCACCCGAGATGGATGGCACCCAAATCCACTTTGTCAAGGTATTGTGAAGTAAACCTTATGTTTATAAGATATCTGTTATTTTGTTTCCATATTTGGCTATGGGGGGGGAGTTTTTACTATATAGTTTACTGTAAAAGCTACTTTCAAAAAAAGAGTCCCATGAACTGCAGCTAAGCACAGGAACAGTCAGGAATGTACTTCTTTTTTTTAATTGCTTACACATGCTTTTGAAATCATGGCTTTTTTCTTTTGATCACACAAGTCTTTAGGGTGGTATAAACATCATGACTAACAAAAACTAAACAAATATATTTTTATTTTTGTTTTATTATGTGTCCTTTGTAGAGGTCATCAGGTGTTAGTTATGCGAAGCATAGTATACAAACAACATTAACATACAAGTACATTTAGACAACATTAGAGCACAACAACTCAATGCAACAAATACTGAGCCCTCATTTGTAGTACTCCATCCTTTTTTGAAATGCAGAGATATATCTGACACTTGAGGCACTTGATGTATGTTTTCCCACTGCATCCGTCTGCCATGAACCCTACAGAAACCTAAGTGTTAGTTTTGGCCCATAGTGGACTCCATGTGTGTTGTGTAAAATGGGGGAAATAAAAAGTTAGCAAATCCCCATGTCCTCCTCAGAGGACATTCCTAAAAACATTTCGTTTTAGGTCAAATAGGTATTACACTGCTCTGAAAACTCACTACACTAACTCCTAAGATGTTCCCTTACTATAATTAATTAAAAATATTGAACTCACAACACTGGTAATTACAAAATTACAAACTTACCATTTATCTTTCTATAAATAGTGCTTTTGTTGATGGACGCCATTTTCGAAATACAATGAAATTATCTTTTTCAAAGCCACACCCGCACATATGTCATATGTTTGAAAAGCCCAGGATGTCCTCTGTGGAGTACAATTGGACTTAATGCTGTGGCATGCATAACCTCAAAGTAACGGACCAAAACCCAATGTGCTCCACAGAGGACAAAAATGAATGGGTGGGTCTCTGGAGGATAAACACTTGAAGTGTGCACCAAATGGCACACACTTCATTTAAAATACGAGACGCTTTTTCCAACCAACTTCAAACTCTGGTGTTCAATCAAAAGCACACTCATTTCTTATGGACTTTGTTCTGTATGTAGATAGTTCTGCAGGACAGAAATATGTGCAGAAACACAAATATTTTGTTGAAAGTAAACATTTGTATTTGTATCCTCAACTAATCTGCGAAACATGAATGCACAGCAAATACAGTCACAGTTGTGTGAACAAAAAACATGCTCTCAATCTGATACAGTAAATGGAAAAGAAAACTTAGAGAGAGGAAAGAAAAACACTTAAGCTTCATTTCACCACCTAGCTGGGTCTGGCCACAGCACGTCATCAACATGCAGAAGAAGCATGCATCTATACAGTAGGCCTGACGGTCATAGAGCTTCAACTGTTAGGCTTCAAATCACTTTTCAATTTACTTTAATTCATCCTCCCTCTCACTCTTATCCTCCCTCCCTCTTGCTGCTATGTCCATATATCCATTGTTGTTGTAAAAAGCTCTTACATGAAGCCTTTTTCTTGTGCTTACATCCTGATTGATGAGTCAACAATGAAGCAGTTTGGTGTCTGTGGTCATTTGGCATGCGTATTTGTTAACTGCTTCATGTGTGTAGTATTTTTAATGGCAGTGTTTTGAAAATGGCAGACAAGTTAATATGTCAGATGTCTGTGTCTTACTAATGACGCATTTCCACTGCAGCGGGTAGCCCCGTTTAAGCGTCCTTAACCGTCTTCAAGCGGCCATGCCAGTTTTTGGTGGCCTTTCCATATAGCCTAGTAGGCTACCGGCCAGCGGGTACTTTTTTTTTTTCCGGCCCCATAAAATCGTGGTTCGATCAGACCAGCCAAGGCTGAACTAGTGACGTCAACACTCTCGACTGCTGATTGGTCAGAGAGAATCGTCACAAGATCGCGCGCGAGTTCATCCCTAGCGTCGCATATATATTTAGAAGCAAGCTTGCAGCATTTTTATAAACAGCGTTTTGTAAACGGAGGAGTTACAACAATGGCTACGTCTAATAAGAAAAGCACACCGTGGTCGACCGAGGAGGTGACGACGTTCCTTCATCTCATTGGGGATGATCAAATCCAGCGGGAGCTCGACGGAACAACTCGAAATGTGAAGCCGATCGCCCCGCCTACACTGCGTTGCTACCCCAGGTCCTAAACTGTAATGGTAATGCGCCACGGCCTCGGACGGCCAGCGAGGCAGCCCGAGGCCTGAGCGAGGACGCTTAGGGACGCTTAAACGGGGCTACCCCGCTGCAGTGGAAATGCGCCATTAGAGAACAGTGTGCAGTGTATTGAATTGTAAATTGGGTTCAGAGCTGAAAATGTGTTTAGAGTTTTGGAGATTTGAGCTGAGGTTTTGCACATGTGTATATCTCCAATCTTTTCATATATATTGGTTTTCTTTTCAGTGATAGCATGCCCTCAGCCGGGTTACCCGAATGCAGGCATTGTTGGAATCGACCTGGAAGAATATGAATACAAGGACAAAGTCAGGTTTATTTGCAACAACGGTTACGAGGGAGAATTCACTGTAACCTGTGGGGTTAACGGTTGGAGCAGAGGTTTGCAATGTACAGGTAAAAACGTTTTCCTTTTTGTTATGCTTAAAAGACACATTAAGAACTTAATTTATTTGTAACAGGCTTGCTGTTCAGTAGATTATCAAGAAATGGATCACTTAAACAGTAAAAGGGGAGGTACCTTGTCTTTAAACTCTTATTATATAGTTTCTATTTTTCTTTCTTTGTGTTGCCTCAACAACTGACTTTGGGGATCAACAAAGGCCTTTTCTTTTTCTTGAAGACATCATTTTTGAAATGGTTTGTTTGATTATGTTTTAATGTAACCGGAATAGCTGGAGGATGTGTGAATAACTTCAAATATTCTTTGAATTTGTTTCAGAAAGACGGTGCGAGAAACCTCACATCGACGATGCAAACTTTATCGGCGATGTAAGTGAAAGTTACAGGCAAAATGATCACATCCAGTATACGTGCAAGAACAACGTTGACATAATTGTTACTCTTACCTGTGAAGAAAATGGTTGGAATGAGACTCAGAGCTGTTCAGGTAAAGTCAAACAACAAATCATACAACAAATACAGCTTAAAGGAAAATGATAGAGGGATTTGGGTGTTTAATTAACATGGTCTTAGTGTGTTCTCTTAACAGCTAAAAAATAACATCTTCAGTGACTTTAAATTGCATAACTACTTCGATGACCCTGTTTCATCAGTTTCAAAATGCTTAAGGACACTCAATTTGATCCCTTGATGCACACTATCAGTAAGTGAGCATTTTTGCAGGGAGCTTTGTGAAGTTATAAAATAGATACAACCAGCCTTTTGCTTACACCTTTGCTGTAGCGCTATGGTGTTGCCAGGGTTTCTGCTCTGGTCACATGACTGAACACTATGAATACTCTTTTAAACACATGCAGCCTCTCACACTCAAGGCTCACATATTGGTATTAGGCCAAAATAAAAAGGGATCATCCCCACTAAAACTACATATGATATATATTTTAATTCCTGTGCTTATCTTTTAGTCTACAGTACATACAAATATAGAGTATATTTATGTTTTCGTTTGAGAATGGTTGTCACGGTTTTATTTATATAGCACATTTATAAACGATTTTTGGTCGAGCCAAAGTGCTGTACATATAACAATCACAATCCAGTACCTGAACTGTATGATATACTTTTTAGAAGTTCTAGGTTGTGGCACAGCACCAATCATTGCTGATGGAGACCTCAAGTACGCCAGGAAAAGTAATAACAGCCATAATGAAATGGTTGAATACATGTGCCAGGCATACTACACCATGGAGGGAGAGCCTTACAAAACCTGCGTCAATGGTGTATGGACTGGACACATGAGATGCATCCGTAAGTTACAGGTTCTTCTTTAAATAACATGTGCAATATTAAAAAGTGAAAATCAAACTTCATTTTAAAATGGTTAGTCGTTGCATGTTGTAATTGCATTGGAAACCTAATAGATAAAATCCATTTATGCAACATGTCATTTGTGCCTGACCTACGTTCATGGCAATAACAGAGTACGAAATATGGAAAGCTGTTTTAGCATTTGAGCTGTGTGGCCCTTTTATTTAACCTCCTCTGCCAGAGTTTAAACTGCTCAACAAAAGAGGAATGCTTTGTAAACAGTTGGGTGCCAAGAGGCAATATGTCTCTAATAAACTGTCAGCTTATTGTCACATTAGCAACCAAGCTAAGCTCCCAAGCTAACAGAGGGCTATATTTATGTACGTATTTATGTATATTTATATAATTCCAGGGGGAGAGTGAATGACACAGTACAGAGTAAATAGAAATAAGGTCAGAGTTAGTTTGAATTACTTGTGCTGGGCCTGCTGGCTGGCATGTAAGCAATCAGCTCTCCAATTATTTTAGCTCACCAACTAGCCCTCTAAATCGCTATTGCCCAACATTGGCAAAAGTTGTAAATGCAGTATGCTTTCCAGTCATTCATGCTATGTTTGTCTCTTGCAGAACCCTGTACCGTGAATGAAGACGACAATAGACAACATAACATTACATTTAAATATAATGGCAGTACATATTTCACTCATGATGAAATAATTGGGTTTAGGTGTGCCAGAGGAATACCTGTTGGTTCAGTATCATTACTTCAGAGGTGTAATAGTGGTGTTATTGTCTTGCCTACTTGCCAAGAGTTTTAGCCAACAGTAGATCAAAGTAAAAAACGGATTATGCAGAGTTATGAACTGATTCCGTCTCCTCTTTGATGTTGTCAACTGTATAAATGTTAAAACATACATGATCTGTCTCTTTTCTGCCTCCTAAATACAGTCTGTAGCATACCATGAGTAAAAAGAAACAATTAGAATTTAGCCAGTGTAGAAATAAAATCTGGTATGGATTGGAAGTCAATGGGTCTCATGAAATGAAAGCTATTGCAAAGACATTTGACTTTTCAATAAAGAAACAGCTTATTTTTCAAAGATATTAGTATACAATTAAATTAAATCATTAAACATATATGAAAGATAAAGAGATGTATCCAATGTTTAGTTTAGTTATATGATATTGAATTGATTTCAAGTCATTAGTTCCCATAATATAGGAGCTTATTTTCAATTTAAAAACTGCAGATTTCAGATCCTATTTAGTAATTTAATGCTGCATTGTTTTACACGAAATGGTTCATATGACATGAAAGCTTATAAACATATTTAAGACTTTAACCACCATCCAATTAAAATTAGAATGCCATAATTGTTATACAATTCTGCATTGACATGGAGACATTTAGGTCTAATGATAGGGAAGCTATTTAAAAGATGCAATAATCTTAATACAATGACGAACATCATTGTATATATAATTCATTCTACCAATGCTTTAACATACCTCATTGTAGAGTGCTTTGTTAACAGTGCTAACAATGACATTAGGTGGCTACAACTTCCCACCTGGGAGCAAGTTACCCAGAATTTCATTTAAACACCCACCTGTTCAGCCTCATTTCAGTATAAAACCCATTAGATAGATAGAAGAAACTGGCCCGTGTATAAGAAACATATCCATTTTAATATTTACAAGGAAATCATGGAAACGCAATAGTGAAAAAACAAAACAAAAAACACCTCAAACTATACAAAAAGTTATATTTTCTGAAGCACAAGAATGAGATGATAAAATGAAGATTTAAAAGCCTGTATTTACAACACAATAGAGAGTGTGTTTGCCAGCATCTGAATGGCCCTGAGAGGATCCACAATATCTTGGAGCTTGTCCTTTCTGAGAACCCAATCCGGTGCAAATCTGAAAAACAAACAGGATGTCAGTTACCACTACAAAACACATGAAATCTGAATCTCAGACAAATACTTTACATAGACACAGTCAAAACTTACTTTGGCACAGGGCGGGATTTACGAGGTGTCGCTGGAAAGAAAAAGCTCCCGTTGATTGATGCGTTCATTTTCTGTTTCGTAACAGTTCTTTCAGCGTCCATCTTGTGTTTGCGAGCGGTGAGGCGGTAGATACTGCGTAGCCTATCCAACACTTTGGGTAGCTTCATAACCTCCTATAAATAAAAGAGTTCACATTTATTACAAAACTACAATAGCAGTTTCTGTCAGATTAGAATTTGGTTGTGTAATTTCTATAATAACATATTTCAACAGTTTTTATGTCAGAGAAGCTACGGACCACAACGCGGTACTTGTCTTGCAGGAGGAGAGCAAGAAGGAAGCAGGCCTTTGTGAAGATACTGCCGCCCTTTTCTGCCACTTTATCTCCAGCTTTCTCACGGTATCTCTGCAGCAGGTCCAGCAGAGTCTCCACAGAGTTTTCCACCGAATACACTGCCTCAGTGGTCTTGTGGTACTATGGAAGGAATACCACGAAAGAATGGAGGAGAGGAAAGGAAGAAAAATACAGGGAATCAAACAAACTACATATTTTACTTTTTAAAACCATCAATGCTTTTGCTTCATCATTCCTTTGGAAGGCTCTGATTAAACCATCTGTTGGTTTGAAGCCATTGTATAATGTGGCATTACTGGCATTCATTTTCTTATCCCCACCTTCCTCCGTCTTCTTCCAATATAAAAAAGGTTAAAAGTCCAAACTGCTATTTACACATGAGGACAAACATCTAATTGTGGAGCTGTACCAACTGTTGAACTTCAGATTTGTTTGTATTCTTTTTTTAAAGTATAGCCATTAATGGAAAATGTTTCACTTTGAAAAAGCAGAATTTCTAACAATTTGAATCCACATTTTGTAAACTACACTTATTTAAGCCTGTAACACACAATTATCTGACAAAAAACAATTAACTTGTATTTAATACATCTAAGGGTCTTTCTCAAAAATTAACTTAGTTCAGGACATGTAATAGATTACTGTAAATCAAGTAGTCTCCCTAGGTTTTAAATCACTGGAAAACATATTTCATAGAACCATGTACTACAGTGTTTCCCCTAGGTTTACTGCTTTGGGGGGGGTGCTGCCTGAGCGGGGGTGGGGACGGTGGCATTGGGATATATATTGTTTAAATCATCTGGAACAGAGAGAGGAGCTGTGTATTATTGTTATTGATTAATGCATCAGTGTTTCTTAGGGTCAAAAACACTAAACTCACAACTTAAAATGAAAGTGTTTAGTTTATTTAATAAAAGAGCACATGTTCAATGTGAAAAGTGACAGTAGATATAGATTAGTTGCAATTTGGTGCTATATATATATATCTTTTTTAACACCTTGAATTTCAGGGGGGCGCGGGGCTCCATTGGCGGGGCGCAGCGCACCTCCAAGACAATGGTAGGGGAAACACTGCTACAAATGTTATAGTTAGACTTATTTCTTAATGTGTTCATTAAGACTGTGGGAAAAGAAACAATTACACTTAAAACATAGAAAAACACTTGAAACCCATCCATCTGAACTCTGTTTTAAGGAAGAGAAACTGAGCCTAACATGAAACAAGGAACTGACAAGCTGTAAGTTTGTGGGGAAGTGAGCCCTGTTGATGCTGTGGCTATCCTCAGCTTTACTCACTAGAGTTAAATGATCTGACATGAGTTATGTTCACATGTTTAAGGCGAGACACCCCAGGTGAATAGGGTAATTTTTTTAACTTAAAGATCTCAGCTAGAAATTTCTCCAGGTAATTACTTACAATAAGGCAATTGTTTTTTGTATTACAAGTTTTCTGAAATAGCATGTTTAAATATGCAAATGATCCATTATCTCATTAAATATGCGCATATGTTAACACATTTCAGGAACCGAAATCTGAACTTTGGATAAAGCCAGGTTCAAAATGATTGTTTCATTTTGTAGTCATATTAGTATCTAAGGCTTTTACAGAAGGGATTTTGGATATCTCTTTTTATCACTCCATAAATCAGAAATGACTGTCAACAGCCCTAAAATATCCATTTTCGCCATGTTTTTAGGTATAAAATGTTATACAATTCAGGCTATGAATGATATATATATACAAACCCTTCTTTAAAAGCCTTCATAATATTGATAGGAATATAACTGGAAGGTTTGGTGTATCTACGTGCTACTGAAGTGAACATTTTCGAAAACGACCTTTAAAGATTGCAGTGTGGCGCTCCCTAACCCCTCCTGTTCTTTGGATGACAGCTTGCGCATCGACGCACTCCGTGAAGGTATTTCATGTTCGGGGTCATTTGTTTTTTGTATAACCTTGCTTCGTGCAAGTGACAATTGTTGTCGTCTTCTCTGTGAACGTTTTTTTCGCCGTTCTTTTGCCATTTTGAGATTTACCAGGAAGTGTTTTAGCACACCACGTGACGCATCCGAACGAATCACGTTGTCAGAAATTGACACCAGCCAATGAGATTTTGTTTCTTGGTTTAAGACCCCTTTGTACTTTCACGATTGGTTTCTGATAAGGAAATGACCATATTTGGATCCTATGAGGTTGTGCAGGAAAAACTGAGCTTTCCAACGATATCTCTGATGACATTGTGCAAACAGTGATCGCGGTACTTTATGTTACGTTAGAATGCTAACTTTTGGTGAATTTAGGAGAAATCTACAGACGCAAATAGACAAACTATATTAAAATAAACACTTAAATGTGTATTTTGTACGTTTTCCTTCCAAAAGCCTGAAAGAAAACATGTTATGGAATCAAAATAGCACAACATCTCAAAATTGACCAGCGCATGAAAAACGATGTTTTTGCCTGCCGTGTCTCGCCTTAAATAATAACCTGCTTTTCAGCACCATGTGCAGTAGAACTATAGGTACTGCAACATGAACTAAGCACAATACATAGTTATATGTTGTGAACTTTTGTTTGTTTTACATCAACAATTGGCTACCTTGTGGCACGTTGCTACAAAAGTTTTGTACAGACGGATGTTGTCTGTGTCTTCGTTTGACTCGCTAACTCTATCTCACTGTGTTTCGAGTTCATGAAAGTTAGGTGTAAGATTTTAATCCCCTAAAAAAAAACGTTTTAACCTTCTTTTTTCAAACCAGGGGCCTCATTTATAAAGGGATATACGCTGAAAAAAATGGCATACGCCAGTTTCTACGCAATGTTTGCGATTTATAAAATACTAACTTGACGGGAAAATGTGCGGTCCTCCACGCAAACTCTAACCCATGCGTACGCACTAAGCACAAAAACGGGAGAGACGAGAAACTGCGACACCGTTGGCAGAAGGAAGAATGGAGAGAAATATGTGGAAATAATACCATAAATAAAATGTTACCTCTCATTTATCATATGAAGAATTCATTTTCAAACATTGATTAAAGCCAATCTTAAAATGATTAAACAAACGCCTGTTTGAGACTCCTCAGTGCACACAAAAACATAACTTGGAGAAATAAATAAATACGGATACGTTATTGAAAACCACCTCGAATATGTTGTGTTAATGTTATGAAAAGTTTTCTCATAAATGATGCGGTAAGCAGGAGGACAGAATTACGTCTAAACTGACGCCGTGTTGCTTTTCTATAGGTTGTAGATACGAGCATGGTTTTATATACTATCACGTTTAATCATGTTTTATGCCGTTTGCCAAGACTTGATAAGTCGCTCATAAAACACAGGAGGTATGGAAGCTAAGAACACCATATGTGGTAAATTATACAGCTAATATAACACAACACATTAGTTGTATTTCCTTTAACTGGTGGATATAGGGTTGCTGGGGGGGGGGGGGGGGGGGGGTTGAGACGCACAGGCTGCAGTGGAGACGCTGCGCACAGCTGATCGACAGCTGGAACACAAACCACCAAATACAAAAACATAATTCAGATCCAGTCGTCATGACTCCACTCCGGGGGTATTCCCCATTCACTTCTTACAGTTTCTCATCAAGGGGGTGTCTCCTGTCCCCGGTACAAACACACTGCCTGAGGAAGGCTATGTGTATTTTTTTTGTCATGAACCTTTTTCGGACCACTTATTTATTTATTTTGGTGACGATCCGACCTTCATGCTGCTACTCTGGTTCAAACTGCATCCACCAAACAATATGATTTATCTCGACCTCCACAAAATAACCAAAATCTGACACGGTGTGAGATGTCTTTTTTAGCTGTTCTGTCGTCATTTCCTGCGATCTTCTTCATAAAGTCAGTCAGAATGATTGAATGGGCGTTTCTTTGACTATTTATAGGCAAATATGGGCGTTACGTGAAGCCCGCAAAAGCTGCACCGCATTTCGAGTTGGTTGTGATTTATAAAGGGAAACCGGCGTAGGAAGTGCTGTACGCACTTTCCTTGCCGGTACGCAATGTTTGGTGAATCGGAAAATGTCGGATCATTTCTGTACCTATTTTTTGGATTTCTACTACGTAAGCAACCTTCCCACGTGAATCCTACGCACGGCGTTATAAATGAGGCCCCTGGTCCCAAAGAGCCAAGAGGGCACTGGCAAACGTGGATTTGAAAACTTCAAAACTCTCATGCTAGATAGATTTGTGTTGGAATATCATCTTATTATGCATTTTGTGACCCAAAAAAAAAAATTCAAACCAAAGTGTTAACTTGGCTTTGAAAGCCCAACTCTTTGTCCATTCAATAACTAGGACAAAATAGGAAAGACTCAGCTACATATTGTATATGTTCCTACCTTCCTATCAATAGAAGAAGTGTAGCTTTGAATGTTAAAGTACTGTTTAACAGATTACTGTTCTCTCCATTATCTTATTTTTTCACACCAAGAGCATGATAGCCAGATAATCTTTTTATGGCAACATTTCATGAGCAGAGCAGGCACGGTTTGTACCTTGGAGAGGTTGAGGAGGATCTGGATGGAGTAGGTGATGACGTCCATGCAGGGGACGCTCCTGTTGCAGCAGCGGACGAGTGTAAAGATGGTGTTTGTGGCTCCGCTCTCCACCAGCCGCTCACAGCACTCTGGAGACAGTCTGGTTGCAGACTCTGCGCACACACACAAGGAACAAAACACACCAAACGGTAAACATCTGGATATGGGAAGAGAATAAACACTGCTGTCTTTCATTAACTACCCAAATAGGTCATCTTGCTTTAAAAGCTACTTGGTTTTAGCAGGAATCTTTATGGTCGCATCATATGGATGCATTATCAGAAAATAGATCAAACCTCACCTAGGTTTCTCAAAGCCTCAAGGATGTACGAGAAGTGTTTGTATCGGAGGAGGTAGTCCAGGGCAGAGGACGTCTTGTTGCACAATTTGTCCTCCTCTCTGACGCAGGCGGAGACTTCGCGTAAGCGCTGTCTCAACTTCACCACCTTGGCATTGTCATTCAGTCGACGGGAGCGGTGTCCTCTCCAGAGAGCCTTCAGGGGAGAAAGACAATTAGAAGATTTCATCGTTACATTATATTTTCCTAAAAAGAGTTAGCCTTTTTGTCCTCATGAGATCAAGTTAAAATATCGTATGCCTTTGGGTCAATCATATTATTGACTACTGTGTCCACTAATGAAGAAAACAACAGGATGGAGTGAATTTTGTCCTTCATTCCTTCCGTTAAAAGCAGAGCAAAGCCAATATGAATAAGAATAATAACCACAAAAAGTATGGCCTCTTATTGAAAGACCTGCTAAAAATACAGTGAGCCTATCATTTAATTTACAGAAGTAATTTGTGGAAAATTAACCACTAGTTGAATCACCTGAGCTTTGACAATGCCCTGTTCAACCCTCTTCTGGCGCCTAAGGAGGAGGAATTTTCTGGCGGCTTGCTGGATGACAGACGCCGACTTGTGGCGACGAGCTAACCAACGCTTGACTGCTCTCTGGGCTACAACCACATTCCTCCTGTCCTCAAGATACCGTCTCCTCTGCTGCCTCGCCTTCACACATCGCTAGGAAAACAAAAGGAAATCATTGTAAGAAATGTTCACCGATTGTTTTTCAACATGTCATTCATTGCGGGTTCTGTGTCTGTCTGTACCTGTATTGTGATGACAGAATGGATTTGTTTTTTGGCTGACTCCAAAACCCAATGGGATCTGAGTGCTCGTTGGATCTTTATGGCACTGAGATGGTAGAAGACCGCTGATGTAAAACGGAGCCTCCTCTCTGCTTTGGCTCTCTCTAGTACCTGGAACAAAATAGAATGTAAAGGAAGGTAAGCTTTTTTGTGTATCCTACTGGCACGCTCACAACATATCAGATGTTAATGTAGTCGGCATCTTTCCAGGCAGACAGTGGTTTAATTACATTTTCTCTCACAACGATATCAACTTCTTATTTCTTAAAATATGTGATGATAATCTGTTATGAGCAATGTAACAAGATTAGTGAATACCAAATAAAGGCTGCCTGAAAGGTGTGAAAATTCCTAGCAAACGTACCTGTCGTCTTGCAATCCAGGCTCTGCAGTGTGTTTGAAGTGTGATGGTAGCCTTCTTCATTCGGATGTAGTTGTTTCTCTCCAACCTGCCGAGCTGCACTGCCCGGACCCGCCGCTGAAGCTTCACAGCAGTTTCCCGCTTCCTCTGGAAGATACGCTTCTGCACAGAGCATCTCCAGCACGACTGGATTACAATGGCGGCTTGATTTTGTCGACTTATATCCCTCCTGACACACCAGCTTCTGAAAGCTGCCTGAAGGGTGATAGTTGATTGCTTCAAGTTCATGAATGCTCCTCTTTCTTGCCTCTGAAGAATACAGGAGCGATAGTATCTCTGGATGATAATGGCGGACAGACGCATGGCCTGGAATTTGACTTCCTCTCTGTACTTCCTGAATGCAGACTGGATCACAGTGGCAGCCTGATGCCAACGAGCCACCTCCTTTCTGACTTTCCACCCTCTGTATGCCGCCTGAATAGTAATGGATGCATTGCGCATTTCCACATATTGCATTCTTTGAGCGTTAGCTGCAACAGAAGCCCGATATTTTCGCTGAATAGCAAGGACAGAAAACTTCAATTTCACATATTGTTTGCGTTCGAAGAAACATCTGTAAGCTCTCTGGACAACACAGGCAGCATGAAGTCTTTGTTTGATGATTCTTCTGGACTTCAGCCCACGGAAGGCGGCTTGTAAAACAATAACAGCTTTCCTGACCTCCTGATAATGTTTTAGGTCAGCATTTCTCCGCCTCTGAGCTCTAAACTTCTGCTGTAAGACACAGGCTGCCCAGCTTTGTTTCCTGAAGGCTGACTGCTGATTATGCCTCTTGAAGTTAGCTTGAATGACAGTAGCTGCCCTGTGCATTTTGGCAAGTCTACTTCGCACACGATGACCTCTGAAAGCTGCTTGAAGGATAATGACAGAATGTCTCGCTTTCAGGAACTTTTCTCTGTCCTGTCTTTGAAGAATACAGGAGCGATAGTATCTCTGGATGATAATGGCGGACAGACGCATGGCCTGGAATTTGACTTCATCTCTGTGCTTTCTGAATGATGACTGGATCACAGTGGCAGCCTGATGCCAACGAGCCACCTCCTTTCTGACTTGATTGCCCCTGCATGCTGCCTGGATAACAACAGCAGCACTGCGCATCCTTTGGTATTGTTGCATCTGTTCTTTTGCAGCTACAGTGGCCCGATACCGTCGCTGAATGGTGAGAACTGAAGATGTTAGAATCTGATACTGCTGGTGTTCACAGTGGGCTCTGTAAGCCCTCTGGATAACAATGGCAGCCTGATGCCTTCGTTTGACAAGTTGTCTGGATTTCATTTCACGATATGCAGCTTGTAACACAATAACAGCTTTCCTGACCTCCTGATAATGTTTTAGGTCAGCATTTCTCCGCCTCTGAGCTCTAAACCTCTGCTGTAAGACACAGGCTGCCCAGCGTTGTTTCCTGAAGGCTGACTGCTGACTATGCTTCTTAAAGTAAGCTTGAATGACAGTAGCTGCCCTGTGCATTTTGGCAACTTTAGTTCGCACACGATGACCTCTGAAAGCTGCTTGAAGGATAATGACAGAATGTCTCGCTTTCAGGAACTTTTCTCTGTCCTGTCTTTGAAGAATACAGGAGCGATAGTATCTCTGGATGATAATGGCGGACAGACGCATGGCCTGGAATTTGACTTCCTCTCTGTGCTTTCTGAATGCAGACTGGATCACAGTGGCAGCGTGATGCCAACGAGCCACCTCCTTTCTGACATTCCACCCTCTGTATGCCGCCTGAATAGTAATGGATGCATTGCTCATTTCCACATATTGCATTCTTTGAGCGTTAGCTGCAACAGAAGCCCGATATTTTCGCTGAATAGCAAGGACAGAAAACTTCAATTTCACATATTGTTTGCGTTCGAAGAAACATCTGTAAGCTCTCTGGACAACACAGACAGCATGAAGTCTTTGTTTGATGATTCTTCTGGACTTCAGCCCACGGAAGGCGGCTTGTAAAACAATAACAGCTTTCCTGACCTCCTGATAATGTTTTAGGTCAGCATTTCTCCGCCTCTGAGCTCTAAACCTCTGCTGTAAGACACAGACTGCCCAGCTTTGTTTCCTGAAGGCTGACTGCTGATTATGCCTCTTGAAGTTAGCTTGAATGACAGTAGCTGCCCTGTGCATTTTGGCAAGTCTACTTCGCACACGATGACCTCTGAAAGCTGCTTGAAGGATAATGACAGAATGTCTCGCTTTCAGGAACTTTTCTCTGTCCTGTCTTTGAAGAATACAGGAGCGATAGTATCTCTGGATGATAATGGCGGACAGACGCATGGCCTGGAATTTGACTTCCTCTCTGTGCTTCCTGAATGCAGACTGGATCACAGTGGCAGCGTGATGCCAACAAGCCACCTCCTTTCTGACTTGATTGCCCCTGCATGCTGCCTGGATAACAACAGCAGCACTGCGCATCCTTTGGTATTGTTGCATCTGTTCTTTTGCAACTACAGTGGCCCGATACCGTCGCTGAATGGTGAGAACTGAAGATTTTAGAGTCTGATACTGCTGGTGTTCACAGTGGGCTCTGTAAGCCCTCTGGATAACAATGGCAGCCTGATGCCTTCGTTTGACAAGTTGTCTGGATTTCATTTCACGATATGCAGCTTGTAACACAATAGCCGCTTTTCTGCACTTTTGATAATGTTTTATGTCAGCATTTCTCTGTCTCTGAGCTCTAAACCTCTGCTGTAAGACACAGGCTGCCCAGCGTTGTTTCCTGAAAGCTGATTGCTCTTTATGCCTCTTGAAGTTAGCTTGAATGACAGTAGCTGCCCTGTGCATTTTGGCAATGCTGCATCGCACACGATGACCTCTGAAAGCTGCTTGAAGGATAATGACAGAATGTTTTGCTTTCAGGAACTTTTCTCTGTCCTGTCTTTGAAGAATAAAGGAGCGATAGTATCTCTGGATGATAATGGTGGACAGACGCATAGCCTGGAATTTGACTTCCTTCCTGTGCTTTCTGAATGATGACTGGATCACAGTGGCAGCGTGATGCCAACGAGCCACCTCCTTTCTGACTTGATTGCCTCTGTGTGCTGCCTGGATAACAACAGCAGCACTGCACACCCTTTGGTATTTTTCCATTTGTTCCTTTGCTGCCACATTGGCCCGATACCGTCGCTGAATGGTAAGAGTGAAGGATTTTAAGGTCTGATACTGTTGGTGTTCACAGTGGGCTCTGTAAGCTCTCTGAATTACACTGGCAGCCAGATACCTTCGTTTGATAATTCGTCTGGATGTCATTCCTCGGAATGCAGCTTGTAAGACAACAGCTGCATTTCTCATGGTCATGAGGGCTTTCATCTCCTCTCTCATTTTCTTGTTGGCTCTGTAATGTGCTTGCAAAACACTGGCAGCCCGGCAAAGGGTCTTGTAGTAAGTTCTCTGCTGATACTTTCGGAAATGAGACTGAATTGTTATAGCTGCCGAATGTTGGATACGTAACTGCTTTCTGACCTTACATCCTCTGTAGGCTGCCTGCAGACAAATTACTGCCCTGCGCTTTGACATATAGACCAACCAGTCTTTTCTTGCCAGAGTCACCGCTCTGTACCTCTGCTGACAAACAAGAACGGCTGCTTTAAGAGCTAGGAACCTATTTCTATCTCGAATAGTAAGTAACTTCCTCTGAATGATTGTAGCAGCTTGATGCATCTCTACAATCTTCCTTCTGGCCCTTTGGCCACGATAGGCTGCCTGGATAACTACAGCGGCAGATTTCATTGTTCTGTACCTCTGCACCTGCTGATCTCTGAGCATGTTGGCCCTATAGCGTTGCTGAACAATGATGGCAGCACACTTGGTTGCAAGGTAGGCCATACGCATCATGTGCATCCTGAACTGAGCTTGGATTGCTCTGGCAGCGTTGTGCCTCTTCTTTAGATCTTCTCTCAATTTATATCCACGATAGGCAGCTTGTATCTTTAAGGTCGCCAGCTTTAGCGCTATGTATTCTTTTTGCTGTGCCTTGCATAACAGAAGAGCTCTGTATTGACTTTGAATGACAATCGCTGCACTTTGGAGGAGGAAATACCGTTTCCGACATATAAACATCCTAACTGAGGACTGAATGACAGTGGCTGCCTTATGATTTTTCCTCAGCTCTTTCCTAACTCTCATGCCTCTGAAGGCAGCCTGGAGTGTAACACAGGCTGCTCTCATGCTCAGGTATGTTTTTCTCATTTCCTTTCCAGCAACATAAGCTCTGTAGTGACGCTGTACAACCAAAACACAGGCCTTCTTGGACCTATACTCTGCTTGCGATTTGTGCCGACGGTAATGCGCCTGTATCAGAGTGGCACACTGATGCCGCTTCTCCATCCTCTTCCTGTCAGCTCTGCCTCTCCAGTGAGCTTGTAAGGCAAGTGCAGCATTCCTAAAGGCATCATAATCCTTCTTTGTTTTACGAGCCAAAATTGTGGCTCTGTACTTTTGCTGTATCACAGCTGCAGCTTGTCTCAGGACAAGGTAGCGCCTTTGGGTAGCATGCTTCCTGAAAGCTGTCTGGATTACTGTTGCTGCCTTGTGCTGTTTTTTCAGGGCCTCTCGAGCCACTTTCGCACGATAGGCTGCCTGTATGGTAATTGCAGCACATTTCATCCTCAATAACATTTTCCTTTCGACGGAGGCCCTGAACCAGCTCTGGATTAGGACAGCAGCACATCTCATCTCTGCCACCTGTTTTCTGACAGCATGCCCCCTGTAAGCACTTTGAATGACAATAGCCGAGTGGTGCTGTAGTTTTAACATCTGAAAGCAGCGCCTCTGTGCATGACCTCTATACTGGGCTTGAATGAGCTCAGTGCTTCTCTTTATCTTTTTGTATTGATGGAGACTTGTCTGCATTCTGTACCAAGACTGAATCTTTACAGCAGCAGCTCTTTTCCCAGCCATTTGGTCCTCGTACCATTTCCTGAACACAGTTTGTATCACTTTGGCAGCACAGTTTTCCTTCTCCGTTTTCTGGGTTTTCCATCTTCTGTACCCTCTTTGTATTTTCATGACTGCAGCTCTAAGGTGAAGATAATGTTCAAGGTCTCTTTTTGCCAGAGCCCATGCTCTAGAGTGCTTCTGAATGACAGTTGCCGCCCAGGATATTCTCCTATAAGCAGAGGCTGCACTCCTCATTCGCCATTGTGCTTGGACAACAATGGTGTAGTATCTGAGACGTTGGAAACCCCTCGTACACGAAAACATCCTCCACTGGGCCTGTATGGGAAATGTATTCAAAGACCAATTACACAAACAGGCTTCATGATAAAACAGCTGTTAGATTTATATAAATAAATACAAAGAAAACAGTTGTAAATGTTGGCTAGACAGTATTTAAATACAGGTCAACATTAATGTGTTGTTCAACAAGTTAAGACCATTTGAGAATACAAATTACGTACCATTTTACTTCTACTGCAATGACTAGTATTTGAATCCTTTATACATAATTTATGAAAAACTCTTATGTGTACATGTAGAATTTGGTCTTTAATATTGGTTAACAATCCTTTTCATAATGAAAACACCTACCTGAATGACAGTTGCAGCTTCATGCTGTAGAGCTTGAAGTTGGGCCTGTTTTTTTAGCCTCAGCCTGTTGCGGGCCTCATAACCTCTCCAGACTGATTGGATGATAATGACAGCTTGGTTCTGTCTCTTAGCTCTGCGCTTCTGGAGAAAACTCCTCACAACCAGCTGGATCTTCGCAGCAGCCATGTTTCTTTCCTGTAACCAGACAAAAAAAACACACACAAATAAACCAAGTTAAACATGACTGTTGATCATTTTTACGTTTTTATACTTTTCTGTGTTTCAGTACGAGAAAATACTTTATTTTCTTTGCAGTTTTAATCAGGTGTATCTTTCCATTTACTTTAGAAATACGTTTTCTTGTAATGTAATCATTAAGTATAATAAAAAATATGACTTTTGCACAGTATTTGTTTAATTAAATAACAAATTGTACATGCATGTACTTCATATCTCAAACAGCGGTAGCCCTACTCAAGTTTTCCACGTGGAAACAGTGTTTTTTGTTTAACAACTCAAAACTATAGAAAATAAAGCAGGAAAAGAAAATCAAGCACAAAAAAGTTGAAAAATGTGCTTTAGATTAAGTATGATTCCATCCAGACACAAATGGTCTCACCCACGACTGATTTCAATTTGCTAAAAATAAATCGAAAAGAAGTAAAACTCCAGCACTAACCAGCTGTACCAAACACTGAACCCACCTTGTAGAGCTGCAAGTCTTTCTTTAACCTGTATTTCCTCCAGGCGGCCTGTATGACTCGAGCGGCTCTGGTTTCGTTCCGAAGGTCCAGAAGACGAGCACACAGGAAGGAAAGGTAAGACATCACAACCTGGAAATAAACAGATGAGGATGAAGGTGGAGGTGTAGCATTTCATCACTTTCCATTTACAGAGTTTACAAATATGTTATGACCAAAGGTATAGCCAGTTGATATTGCACAGTGAAGACATTGTAAACTCCTAGGATTTATTGGGCATATTTTGCAAAACCACTGGTATGGTCCTTTTATTGTGCCTTAAGGCAAAACATAACTTTGGGGCTAAACCTATGAAGGGATATTTATGAACATGAACAATACTAGCTAAGATGTGGTGGGCTTCCATGCAATAGTCTGCTGCAGTGTAAAATGTATTATGCACTGTAAATATGGACTGGAATGTTAAGCAGCTTCTTACAATCTGCATTAAAAAAAAACAACAATGATCTGTGTTCCCGCAGAGGGAGGAGGACACATGTCTGCGCTCACCTTCTCGTTGGGGATGGTGTTGGACATGTCCGCTGGGTTGATCATGGCAGGAACTCCGCCCAGGTAAGAAACTGCAGTGTTGACCTGTCTGAAGTTATTCTTCTCATTCTCCAGGAGCTCTTTGAACTCCACAGACGGAGAGTCTGGGCCTGTTCACAAAAATAACAGATAAAGTCATCACAAGTCTGTTGCGGTATCTCCAATGTCTTCAGATTCTCTTAAAAAAAGGGAGACTCTTCAGGTTAAAGGTTATAATATTTAGCTAAAGGATATTACCATGAAACATCCCCAGCTCGTTACTTTTAGACACAGACCCCTGAATATTAAATAAAGCAAGTTTAAAAATACTCGTTTCATTCTGTTAAAATATGAATCACATTTATTTTTTTGGATATCTCTTTGCATCTTTATCAATCTGAAAATACTGTCTTAAAAATTGCACCCTAAATGTCTCAGTTCAAGCAATGTACTAATGCAGACATTTGCCCTGAAGACACCGCACACAAGTACCGTTCAGTCCCGTGGACGGGTAGTCAAAGGAGTTGTCAGAGTCGCTGCCTGAGCAGTTGAGCTCCAGGCGACCCCTCGGCGAACACTCCACCGTCTGAGTGGTGCTGTGACTGACGGCCCTCTCTGGCAGCAGGCCCGGGTGGTAGTGGTGGATGAGGTAGCAGAGGACGCGGCCATCCGAGAACGACACGGTGAAGTTCTCCACCTGCACAGACACACGTAACGTTTTATTAAGGAAGCACTTGTGAGGAATTGTATGATTGTGATTGCCTAGGGAAATAAAAAGTCCTGAGAAAGACTCTAGGCATTTGATATTTCTTCTGATGATTAGGTTAATATGTGGTAAAGACACTTTGACTATAGTATAGTGTATAATGAGTTCAATTTTGTTTTGTAGACGAAAACGTTTTTTGTTTCTTGTTACTTTTAAAGTGTATTTTTTATTGGGGCCGAAGGTAGTACCTAAAACAGAGGAAGTGTCAAACAATTCAAAGGAATAGACAAAAACGGGAACATAACAGGAACAAGACAAAACTACAAAACACAGCAACAAAAATGAAATGTTTTTATAAATATGAAACAGTTGTTGTGTTGTGAGCACAGAAACAGAGTATCACTGCATCCTGGCTACTAGCAAAAATCATTCAACTAGAAAGTCTGGGCTGAAATTCAAAGTGTAAAACTCACCTTCAGATTGTAGAAGTCACACACAGCGTGGACCCAGTCCATCAGCAGGGTGATCTTGGAGCTGCTGTGTTGGTACGGTGCCTGGCTCTTTGCAGGACTCGGCTGAAGACCCCGGTCGGCCCTCAGGCACGCCAGCCTCCGCTTGGCCCTCAAGGATCTCTTCAGGAAGCCAATTTCCTCTATCAGCTGTTCGCCATCCAGAATCACCTCCACCTTAAGGATCATTTGATGTACAGCATATCAATTAACTCATTCCCACACGTGAACATTGTATCAAAATGTTGTGCCCTATTGGAAAGTGTACACACATGAAACGCAAAGATGATTTTCCACAAGAGGCTCAGAGTCTTCTCTCTGTGTCCATCCACAATGTCCCTGGAATCAATGTTCGAGCCTGGAAGTGAAGACACAAATCTTTAATTTCCACAAATCAAATTAAGTTTATTGCACTCAAATCATTTGTCTATCAAAAATGTCAAAACATCCTTTAATATTGTGAGGATTACACTGCTTTAATGCAATTCCTATTATTGTAAATTAAATATTTTGAGGTTTGACTAAAGGAACAATAATTAAAAATACATTGTTTTGAGCTTTAGGAACAAGTGACGTGAACTTAACTAATTATTTGTAGTAAGTGCAGCCTAATATAAAATATACTATACATATGAGGAGTTATTTTCCAAAACGCTATAAACGCCAAATTGAAAAAAATTGAGTTTGCTGTGTACTGAACCTATTCACTGTTCTATCAACGTTTCATGCCAAATCGCTATATATCCTTGTTTAAAATGTACGGCAAGGTGCAGTTCCTTTCCAAACCGCGATAAGCGCCGAACCCATTTTGAGCCTAAGCGCGATATGTCCTCTCTACCAATCAGAATTCGGTGAGCGTTCTATGCAATCCAACATGGCGGCGCTCTGAGTCGAGGTTTGTTTATGTTCATTCAGTCTTCGAAATAAGTCTTTAAATGTCTTTAAACTGTTGTAACACCTTTGATGGCCTGGATGAGCCAGTGAGACCTACACCTGGGGGTAGAAAACGTCGACTGGACAAAGAAAACCACAAAAAACAACAACAAAAGAAGGTTCGTCACTTGTGTGGCGCGTTAATACCGACTGTGGGATGTCAACACAAAGCTGCTGCGAAAGGTTTCTGTCAGGCCGAGAAGCTGTCACCGGACGACCTGATGATGAACTTCAACCATTTGTATGAAAAACCAAACAAGGTTGACCAGGACTGGGCTATACTTCATCTCCTGGACATCACGCAAGTGAAAAGGAAGCGTCCGAAAGTTCAGGACGTAAACAAACAAAAAGACCGGAACGTATCTGTCAAGTACAATCTCTTGTGCAACAGTCACCCAGAGAAGGTTCCCGTTTGCAAGGCGACCTTCATTAAAGTGTTTGGTGAGTACAACTTTCGTTTCAGAATTTGCTAGTTTAATACCGTTTTGTAGGTTTCTCCCTTGCGACAAAGATCTTCTGCTGTTAATAAGCATGCTAACGTGTTGTTGTTAGCATCTGGTGCTAGCGAGCTGCGCTAAAGTATATAAGGAGCTTTTTCAACAACAAGGTGGAGGGAGAGTCCTCTCCTGTCAGACTGAGAGACTGATAACTACAGCTCAGGTGAGGTAAAGGACTCTCTGAGTGTTTAGATAGTTAACTTAGTCTGAGTTATCTCAGTGGGTCTCAAACGGTTTGGTCACCATTTATGTAAACACATATTTCCATTTGAGGGGGGAGTGATTAGTAAAATATGCATGAATAATACCAAAAAAAACGTTAACTAGGTGAAAAAAGGCAAGATAAACTATTAAAACTTGTTGAGAGCTAAAACTAGTCTTTGCTTCTGCCTCAAAGAGGAGCAGGGGGGAGAGGGGGAGACAGATGAGGCTGGTTCAGGAGCACAGACACACTCACAACTATAAATGAACCAAAAACAAATAAATAAACAAGTTTCAATGTTTTTTCATATTGGATATGGTATTTTATTGGTTATGGCCATGTTCTTATGATTTTATGATTATTTAAATGTATACAGTTATGTTTCATATGGGTGTAGCCTCTTTATTTCCCCCTCAAAGTGCACCAGATTGATGCATTATTTTATTTTACTATTTAGTTTATGTTACTATTTATTTTATTTGGGTTTTATTTATTTCATGCATTTGCACTTATTTGATTTATATTCATTTATAGTATGAGTCCCTGATATCATATGTTGCATGTTCTCGTTTAAATAAAAAAAAGACATAAACCATCAATTTAAAAAAAATGCATGGATTTATAGCGTTTTGAAAAAAAAAAGAATTTGATTTAATCAACAATATTGTTGTTTGATTTAATAATCATTGTTCAATATGTTCAGACTGAACCAACAAACCATTTTAACAGGATACATTTAATATTAACAAAATGTGTGGGTCTAGGTAAAAAATGTCATTTTCCTGAAAACTATTAAAATGGATATATAGCGTTTTGGAAAAGAACTCCTCATATATATATTTATAAAAACAGACAAGTCAAATCAAGCAACCTGATTGGTTCTTAGCCGTGATATAATGAGCGTATATCACGGGTAGAATTGTAGTTACTTTTCACAACACGTTAGAACCGTTACAGCTACCGTTACAACAGTTACCGTTACAACCGTTACATTGCGTCCGTTAAGAAACTAACTAACTAACAAAGCTTAAGATGGAAACATGTAAGGGATAATGTGCAGCAAGGACTTATTGACCGTGGTTAAGGACGCTCACATCTGCAGAAAGAAGTCCGGTCGATTTAACTGTATACAGTTAAATCCGCTTCGCGTCGGGCCGAACTGCGCCCCTTAACTGTGATATAATGACCATATACTACGGCCTGTCGTGAGCTATTGCTTAAATATATTATACATTTGTTCTTCTTAGGTATTTAGTTACAGGCAAAGTTAGTATTTCATTTTTGTATTTCCTTGATGTTTGTGAAGCACTTCCCTTCATCGTGGACTGCTTAGTCACACATGTTCACTTCAAACACTGTCACATAACAGGCCAAGCAGTCCAATGATGTCGCTACGCTGCTGAGCAACAGTAGCTGTTTGTGATCAAACACAAAAGCGGTAACAGTGAAATGGCAGATGTTCATGCTGAAGTGGAAAATGTCAAAATAAAACAATTAAACTATGTAACACTTCTTTTAAAGAAGACATCACGCGTGAACATAACAACTTATCATTTAGTGGAGGACAAACGTTCTTCCAGGTTTAGAGTCTCTGTTTTGCGGTTTGCTCAGGAAGAAAATTATAATTACCAAGTTCATCTTTGAGGTCCACCCCCTTGCTTTTGAGCACTTGCAGAGCCATGTCGACGTTGTGGACCTTCTGCAGGCGGCTGATGGCTGGCAGGCGGAGTTTGGCCGACATGCTCCAGTCCTGGATGAGGAGCTCCATCACACGCCTGCGAAACCCAACATGAAAAAAATACTTTATAATTAAGCTGCACAAGAATCTTTGTCTGCCTTTCCTGGCAACTTTAAGCACTGTAAAATCATTGAATGCTGATGTTTTGAGACCCAAATCACTAATGACAAGAGTCTACAAACACTTTTTGATGAACCATTTGGATATAAAAGCAAAAAGGTCATTCATTTTTGCAGGAAACAAGTTTGGAAAAAGCTACTTGAGTACATATGTTTAAAGGTGACATGTCATGCTTTTCCGGTTATTACCCGTCCCCTTGTGTGTTATGAAGGTTTATATGCATGTAAACGGTGTGCAGAGTCAAAACCCTCAAAGTACACCCTGTAGGGAGTAAAACTCTAAAACAGAAAATACCTCCCCAAAACGCCTCGTTGGAGATAAGTCATTGTCCATTTGATTCTTCCGGGTACATCATGATGTCATGTCGTCCCGGAACGAAATGGACCAATCCGTGGAGCCGTTACGTTACGTCCGCGGAGCCGTTACGTTAAGCCCCCGCTGATTGGTCCAAATTGACCAATCCACGGACTTCCTCACACACTCAGTGCAGGCAGCTCTGCTGATCTCTCCTCCCTGGCTGCAGGCTGATAACAGACAGTTGGGATCGCGGCGAAATTCTCTCTGCAGACCCATTCTCACAGCGTTTATCAACCCTTTTCTTACTCAATATCAAGCCACACTTATTGTTTTTACTTCGGCTGTGACTTTGTGTGTGCTCAGGGTGAGTTTGGCTGTGTTTCGCTGTATCCGACCAATCGGAGCACACTGGGCTCACAGGGACGGGGGGGGCAGGAGCTGCAACGAGCCGTTTAGTGGAGAGAGTGAATACACGGAGTTTACAGAGATGCTGTATGCGAAACCAATGTGAGTTTGGAAAATTGCACAGTATAAATCTATTCTAGTAGACCTCAACAATGGAATTATGATCAGTGGAAATGGCCATGACATGTGACCTTTAACATTTTGACAGAGATAATATTCAGTATAAGTTCCTGCATGTTACTGGGTAAACAGCCTGTGATGGAGCCCTTGCTTTGATTGTAATACAATAGCTGCTATTGATTGAGAAGGTATGGATTTTTCAATTAATTAGGTATGCAAAGGGCTCTGTAATGGGCAGGGGCAACAAATAAATGAAATTAATGAATAAATTAAAAACGATTGAATGTTCATTTATACCCAGGGCTGCACATAACTGGTGCGCACCTCCGCCAAAAAAAGAGCATTTGCATACCAACATTGAGAGAGAGAGAGGGAGAGAGAGAAGAGAGAGAAGGGAGAAGAGAAAAGAGAAATATATTTGCGAGTTGCATATGAACCTATGATATGAACTCAGGGCCGGCCCGTAGCACTGGCGAAATAGATGTTCGCCTAGGGCGCCAGATCTGGGGAGGCGCTGCGCTGGCAGCTCTGGGAGGGAAAAAAACATTTTTGACCGTTGGGGCTCATCCTAATTTTCGGCCTTGATGTAACGATATTCACAATTAAGTAAATGTAACACCCTTTTCACCCCGGTTACGCGTTTCATTTGCCCTGTACGATGGGTGCTGTAAGTGATGAAAATGGGGGATGTTGGCTTATCTGGCACCCGCAGCTCACAGCCAAAATGCGAGTGAGCGAGGGAGGGTGCACCGGTACCTGCGCTGTTGTTATTAGAATCTGGTGCTAGCTGCTTTAACGGATATAAGAAGAAGATGTTTCTACAATAATGTGGAGGGAGAGTCCTCTCCAGTCAGACTGAGAGGCTGATAACTACAGCTCAGTGAGGTAAGGACTCTGAGTGTTTAGATAGTTCACTTTAGTCTAAGTTCAAACAGTTTGGTTACAATTTATGTAAACACATATTTCCAAGGCACTCCTTTATAATTATTGGGATAAACAGGTTTGAAATCATTCCAATGTATACTATAGGACAGTAACCAAAAATATCCTTTAAAACTGAAGATAAAAGAAAATGCATAAATAAATAAATGTTAAGGTAAAATAAGATATGAATGAACAACATAAATAAAATAAGTTACATTAATTTGTTATTGGCTATGGTAGGTTATTGGTTATGTTCACATACTTATTTGATTACATCCACTTTTCTAAGATGACAGAGACTTTCGATATCCCAACAGAAATCAGAGCATCACATTTCAATTCAGGCTGTGTCACTCACACTAGACGTATGCCGCATTTCAAGTCAACCGCTAAGTTCTTCACAGCGAAGTTGAACTCGTCCAGGGGCATCTGCACGTGGGAGACTGGTAAACCCAGGTAGCCCAGGTGGCGGGGGAGGATCCCCTCTCCGCTCAGGAAGTCCCTGGAGAAGGCCAGGAGCAGGTCTTTACTCATCTGAGAAGGAAGCAACATAAGGCATGGCAGAGTTAAATGACGTCGTGACACCAGAGTTCCCGTTAGCCGGTAATTACCGGACTACGACCGGTAAAATATGCTGAAGACCGGCAAATCTAAATCTCTCAGGTCAAAGTGTCCGTTCAAAATAATTTCCCTTTAGCGCAATACCGCTTCACTTGCGCCATTTATGTGACTGACAAGAATAGTCCATTCTAATGTCTAAGACGTAATGTGGAGAAAGAGATGTCCTGTATGGGTTGATTGTGCGTTGATCTGTTGGTAATGCCTTGGGGTTCCGGTGGGCATGTAAACAAATGCATAATGCTGCGCTATACTTTGTGGCCTCACCCGGTTGCATAGCGACACTTATTGTTTAGGTGTCTTTTAATAAGCAGGTAGTCATATCATTAGCTAGAACTAGCTGGATCTGATTGATATGGACATAAACGCGAGTGAAGTCTAATCTGACGGGAGAGAGAGATCAGCTGCTGCTGACGAGTCAGTTCTGCATGATCACATGCAGCGGTGAGCGGACAAAACACACACTTCAGGTTAGAATATCACACGTAGTTATTTTAATTACCTCTCAAACTACCTAAACTAGTTATAGATATGTTTAGTTTTACTGTCGGGTCACTCATTACTGATCCGCGAGCTGCATGATACTGACGGGCTGTCAGGAGAGGGAGAGCGCTCCGTTTATTATTCCCGTGTTATTGTAAATTACTGTACACTTTTGAATAATGTAGTTAATCTACTATAATTAATTTGTTTAATATCGAATCATCTCAATTTGTTTTAAAGCTCAATAAATAACAAAGAAGACCTTTGACCGGCACTTTTCTCATTTTGTCCGGAAGATTTAAACTTTAACGGACATGTTGACCGGCGAAAAAATATTCTAACGGGAACTCTGCGTGACACGTGACTTGAATTTTGAATTGAGCCGTCCCTTTATAGATACTATCTATTTACGTATTAGTGATGGGAATTCCGGCTCTTTTTAGTGACCCGGATCATTTGGCTCGGCTCACTAAGAAGAGCCGGCTCTTTCGGCTCCTAAACGGCTCTTCACAGTTTACCACGGAGCCTCAGTTTTGCAGCTGCAAGGTTCCGGCGCTCGCAGTTGACGCGCGTGCTCCACTAGCACCCCCCGTCAAGGCTCGCCGGCAGTACACTTTCCGTCACAGGAACACACTTTGCTGGCAGTGAAAATAATCCCACCAGACTCCTTTGCCCCTCCAACAGAGGGATGTCCTTGTCCTTTTTCCTTTTCGTCATTTCAAGCTATGAAAACTCTTGATCTTCTCTCGAATTATTTATTTTTTTGGACGGTTGTTTGAATGACGGCAAGACGCGCCCCTGGCGGAAACGCTGCAGCGGAACATCAGTGATTATGTGTTAAAATGTCGTTAGCAACCAGAAAATGACACCAGTAATGACAAACAGATGAGAATGCTGCGTGGGGTCTGGGTGCCATGTTGGCGGGACGTTGCGAGGCTCGCTGCTGCGAGGAGCGGACAGTGTGAGCTGGCTTACTGGTGTGATTTCCTGGTTGCTGCGTGGGGTCTGCAAGACAGAGCGAAACCCAGCCCGAAACCAGCCCGAGCATACACCCGCAGCCTGGCTGTGAGTCTGTGTGTGTGTGCTCACACAGACTCACAGCTTTACCGCGTCCCGCCGTCTCAGGCTGAGAAATCTGCGGAGCTGCAGCTGAGAAAAGATTGAGTGTGTGTGTGAGGACTTAACGTAACGGCTCCGCGGATTGGTATTTGGAAGAGAAAAAAATGGGAAATGAAAAATGTCCAACGAGGCGTTCTGGGGCAGCATAGACAGGTATTTTCTGTGTTAGAGTTTTACTCGCTACAGGGTGTACTTTGAGGGTTTGTGACTCTGCAGACCGTTTACATGCAGAAAAAGCTACATAACACACAAGGGGACGGTTAATAACCGGAAAAGCAAGACATGGGACCTTTAAGTTTAGCTTGTCCTTAAATTGGGCCATGTAACACTTATGTTATGCTTAATGTATACCTACTGTTAATTCTGATATCTGAGGGTGGTAAGCCAAATATGTTGATATATAACATATAATGTCCTTGAATGCCCATTATATGGTTAATAGATATGTATGGTGATAATACATAGATGTAAAGTAATATTTCTTATTATTATCATTAAATCCATCTGTGGATAATGATCTTATAATACATATATACAGTGAGAAGGCCTAAACTAAAATGTAGACACAGTATGACACTGCAGACTAACTTAGAGTAAGAGTGTCATGTATTTATATATTTGTAATCACATTTATCCATGTTTCTTACTTTAATAGCTTTTAATCTTTACTAAGAATACCCCAGAACATGATGTTAAAACCAATTCTGATGTTATATAGTGTCATGTACCAAAGTGCATTTGTACTTATTTGAATAGGCTGTACCTTTGGCATCAAATAAAATAATCATGCAATGTTTATTTATGTTTTGTTGAAATATTGGGAAATAGCCTACCTTGAACTCTGCGTCCAGGCAGAACAGACACGGGTTGTGTTCAATCAGTCGCGACTCTTTGGCTTTGTCCAGGAAACACACCAGCAGCAGCAGCTTCTTCAGCGTGAAGCGAGACAGCGCCTCCTCGTGGCCTAACCGAGAAAAAGTAAAGAGATGTTGACCATTCCAAAGAAACACATGCCTCACAATGTACACAGCATACACAACTCTCATGGGGAACTACGTACAAAACAATTGTTTTGTGGTAGTACTACAGAGTTGATTGTACTGAGTTTAAGATACATTTCCCTCATCATAACATGAGGCGCATTCACACCGCAGTACTTTTCCCACAAAGGTTCATGAGAATTTAGTTCAAGAGAACTCTTTTGTCGCGTTCACACCAAAAAGAGCCGGAACTAAAATGAGTTCATGAGAACCTTTTCACCCCCTTTTCCATCCCTGCTAGAGAGCAGGGACTTTTGTGGGAGAAAAATGTTCCTATATCTGATTGGCTGGGCGGATTGCAAACCACGCCCCGTAAAAGTCCCAAAAAGTTTTGTGAAGCCGCCATTTTATTATCCTCGCATTAGCATTATTAGCATTAGCATTAGCCCAGCGCAGAAACGCAGAGAGACTAACTTATGGCAACACAAAATAAAACATGGGAGTGGTGGAGACGAGGAGGTGTCGGCGTTCTGGCGATTTACTCTGAAGGCTTCAGTAGAAGCTGCTAGGAGTCCCAGCAGCTTCTACTGAAGCCAGTCCCCAACTCCGGGGACTTCCGGCCGGGGACTTTCGGCGGCAGTATACGCCGTGAAGTGGTTTGCGGCCTGCCAGTAAACCCAAAGCAGAAGAAGAAGAAGTGACGTCAGCGGCTTCATTTGCCTAATCCACCCCCAGGGACTTATTCCGGTGTGAACGCGATCTGTACTTAGTTCATTTAAATAAAAATAAAATGTTTAAACCTTTATTTATCCAGATAAATAGAACTAAAGAGTTCTCATGAACCTTTGTAGGAAAAGTACTGCGGTGTGAATGCGCCTATGGGTACTGAACTCTTAAATTTCACATTTAAATGTGTACGAGGGATAAAAAAAAAAAAGGGAAATCAATAAAATGCTTGACCATTATATTTATAGCAACGGTAATTTTAACAATATACAATTCCAGTAGAGCTGCAAAGATATGTAAATTGTTTAAACAATTTATGATGGGGTTCAATAAAGTACATCTAATCTAAAAATCTAATCTAAATAAATGTATGCATTTCACTTTCGATTCAATTCATTACTAAATGAATATATAATATGAACGGCAAAAATACTCTTTAAAAATAAATAGATTTAAATCATAGACTATATATAAATGGACGTAGGGTCCGTGACGTCACCCATAGGATTCTGCAGAGTTGCCGTGAAGCCCTTAGTAGGCGGAGTCGGCCACTAACGGCTCGACAGTGACGCCAGAGTTCAACTCCCGCCTTCTCCAGCCTGCTCCAAATAAGGGCAAAGAGGCGGAGCCGAGGCAGGACCTGCTGCCACCGAGCTGGAAGTTCCAGAGCTAGCTGAAGCTACCAAGCTACGCTAACATGCTCCCCATCTGCACGCTGCCGTCGCATTTTACGTTTCTAAGGTAAGCGGACATGAAACTATTCAGCAAAACTATAAATAATAATCTAAGTTATTGAGCTTTTAGCATAATACTTCAGAATCTTAAAACCCCTTAACGTTTGTATGCAATTGTGCTAAATTCAACACTGGAATCAAGCAAATATTAATATGTTTGCATGACATTAGTTATTTATATTTTGATATCACTTAACTATACGTGTAATACATTTAAGTCAAGCTAAGGTACATGTGATGGTAGCTAGTTAGTGCTCTTACCTGTGAGGCCTCCTCCAAACAGCATAATAACCAGACTATCATTAAAACTAAGTACCAGTTATAGATCCTTGACTTTAGACAAACAATTCAAAAGACAAAATGTATTTAAAGACCAATCTTTATTTGAATGTGCCTCTTAACCTGAGATATTAGTTATACAGTAATAGTATTGACAATCTAAAAAAACTGAGCAACTCAACGGTCAACTTTATGTTTCTTATTGTCTAAAGCATTTATTATTTTCATTTTCCCAATCTCATATTCAGTGTGGACGGATTGAGACAGTCTGGTGTCCAGAGAGCTGCAGAGACTTCAGGGAGAAACCTCCGTGTGATGGACGTCCTGTCTGTTGGTTTGGAGAGGACTGAGGGTCTTTCCTCAGCGAGGAGGACCAGGGTTGATGAAGGAGCCCATGCTGGGCAAAGCTGATACCTACTGCACAGGCCTAGTCGGTCACTTTATTTGACTAAATGTGTTTAATACATTTAATAGGTTTACACCTTCTGTCCATATGTGCTTTTTATTTAAAACATGTTTGATTAACTTTTGGTTCACATTTCAATAAATTGTATTTGCACTCCTTTTGTCCATTATTCTTACTGAAAATGTTAGATTACACATTCACATCTGACTGACTGGCAAATAGAAATAATCAGCTGATGGAGTGTAGATGTAGAAATAGCTGCATTCGATCAGCTGACTGTTTTTACAATAAAAGTAGTTTCTTAGTGAATGTCCTGTAATGGTCTTAAAATCTCATAACATCAGCTTTTAATGTTCCTCTTGGATGTTCTTCTTGACCCTCAGAGAAGGAGAACATGTCCTGTCTTTCAGGCATGTCCTTTCCTAACAAAAATGACAGGAAACATAAAACATATTATTGCAGAACAAGTGTGTTATTTATAAAAGCGGTGTGTTTGTGTGTTTAGGGGCTGTAGATATAATTATTTTGTAATTGTAATGTTTTTTTTTTATTTCAACAATGAGCTACAAAGACAATCAGATTATGAATGAACAGTATGAAGTTCATCAACATTGAAATATATGTTATTATCAAAATAATATTTAACTGTTATCAAAACGTAGTGCAACTGTAGAAGCTTGCTCTGTTGTTTCACTGAAAGAATAACTTTTACCACGTTTTTTTACAGACAATATTGAGAGATAAATAGTAGCAGTTCTCACTATGTGTTAAATATCTTTGCCTTCAATACATTAAATTAGAAAGCTGACAAAGTCATATTGCTTGTTATCATCTAAATGTAACTTTTTGCATGGAAAAAACCCTCAACTTAACTGATGTGTAGGTGATCTAGTATTTAGTATTGTTTAATGGAATATATATATCAGTGTATTCAAGTCAATACTTCATTCATTTAAACCAATATCTTTCTTGATTCTTTGTACAGTATGAAAAAATAGTCTTTGTACCTGTGCTGAAGTTCACTGCTGTGAGGAGTCCAGTTCTGTCTCTCACTCTCTGGTCCAGCCTGTCTGCATCACCTGGACCCATTTGGTAATGCAATTAATAAAAACAACAAGGTTTGGGTTCGTTCTTCCGATGACTGTGACGTTAACGTGTAAGCTCGATAATGAACTCCAGCTCAACCAACCATATTGTAATATCTAAGTAATCATCTTGAAATATGACATTATTAATTGTAATATACACACATCTTATTGTGAGGTTGATTTCACATACACTACTTCGACATTAGGTTGTCTACATACTTGAGGATAGCCAATTTAAATTAACCTTAGATGCATACAGTTCTACCTACATAATAAAATATCTCTAAGTTACAAGGATGTAACCTTATTTTATCAACCTCAAACAGAAGCCGTTTGTTCAACAGTATTATCCCACTTAACACTTGTCTATTTCGTTTTAACCTTTATATACAGTCTATGATTTTAACTTGGAGGCTACGATTACAATCGTTAGCACCGATGTAGCTACCACTAGCTTACATGCTAACCCAAGCCTTACCATTCATTACGTAGCTGATTAAAATCATTAACACATAAATAAAGCACTAGAATTTCACTTACCGCAAAACCGCATTCATGCACCGTCTGTTTTAACCGCAGAGCGAGTCACAATAGTCCGATATATAAGCATGAAGAACAAACAACCACGGCCGGCTACAAGTTGTGTTTCCTGGATGAGCTGAGCAGGCAGAGTCCCTGTAGCTTCACGGAGCAGCTAGCAGAGAGACAAGAAGCTAACAGCGGCAGGCACTTGACAGAGCCGTCACTCAATGTGACCACGCCCTAATTTATGCAAAAACGTTAAGACCTAATATAAATAAAAGGGTCGTGTTAGAAAACAATTCACTCACAGATTCATAATCATGAAGGTGGAATCTAACTATATCGACGATAATATTTATTGCATCCATGGGTAGAAACATGTTTTTTTCTGCTGTAAAGTTGGGCATTTTAACATGGGGGTCTATGGAAATTGCTCCTTTCTGCAGCCAGTCCCTAGCGGCCCATGTATGAACTGCAGTGTGTGGCACTTCCGTATTGGCGTCCCGGCTGTTCCCCAGAGTTTGCCGCTTGATTTAAATAGATGAAAATATTCAACTGTGGGTTTTTCTCCGGAGGTTTTTCCTTGTACGATGTGAGGGTCTAAGGACAGAGGGTGTCATATTGTCATACTGATATTCTGTACAAACTGTGAAGTCCACTGAGACAAATGTAACATTTGTGATATTGGGCTGTATAAATAAACATTGATTGATTGATTCAAAGCTTGCGGCTTTAAATGTCAGGCAAATCTAGAACTTGCAAAATATTTTTTGAAGTTTGGTTCATGTCAGAGAGAGAATGGTAAGGAGAATGTACTATGAATATATAATATATTACTATGAATTAAAGTAACTAAAACTAAAGTTCTCAATTTCATTTTTTCTTCATCAGATTTCTGTCTGCTTATGCTATGGCAAAATAGGTTTTCTGCTTTCTAACCCAAAAAATAGCCTTTTACTCATTTGGATTCAAAGATTCTCATGGAAGAAAGTCTCCAACTCAGTCTTGAGCATTTTTATGACAGTAACACGCAACAGTCTCCAGTTCAATGTTCTTAACTTACCGTCTTTGTAAAGGTTTGGCACTTTGGCGTGTCTGAACTGCGCAGCGATGTCTGGGTTCCAGAGCAGCCGCTGGAGGATGAACATGGCCAGACCCAACGCGTCGCTGTTGCTCTCCAGGGAGATCAGCTCCCCGAAGATCGTCTGTAGGAGAAACATTTGTGTTAAGCAACTGTTGCATTGATAATGAAGAAACTTGCAAGATTGTCTTGGGGGGAAAAAGCAGATGGAAAATATTTGTATCAGAATACCTCGAGCCCAATCCGTAACCACAGCGGATTGTATGAAATAAGCCAGTTGAGCACTTTTCGCCGTTCACCTGAAATATGGCAAAAACAAGGAAATATAGTTACAAATCCGGAGGTTTCACAGAGTAAAGCTTCAGCAGATATTTCTTTGCTAATGATATAGCAAAAACGTCTTCCACTTGTGTGAGAAAAGGGAACTAAAACTTGACTGATAAGCCCCCTCAGTAAATAACGCTCAGGTACCTATGTCCTTCCAAAGATGGCGGTCTTTCCGGACCAGCAGCCTCTTGGCCTCCACCTCAATTTCCAGCTTCTGAATGGCCTTGACCATGGCCTCAGAAGTGAACAGCTGACAGGCTGAGCGACGGAGGCGGTTCAGCTTCCGCCGGGCCGTGTAGGTGCTGAAAGACATCTCCTCGTTGGTGGGAGCTTTGGGAACGCTGTACTTATGATCGCTGCCAATGGCAATGGACACAGCATTAACTACAGAGGAAACAAATAGAAAAGCGTTTAGTAATCACCATGTGCAATCGTCTTGGGCTGAGATAGTCCTATATAGAAATATTCCACACATTTTTTATCTGTTCTAAATGTACCTTAGAGGAATATTTTTCAAGTTTTGAATACTCTAATCAACATATGAGCGGACAAATATGCTTTATGCTAATGTTTATTATCATTTGAACAATGAGAAATATTCTCATGAATATTAAACACAACAACCTCTGAACATTACAAATATACGCCTCAATTCAACCTGGAACCTCTCTCATACAATAATACAATACAAATGGTGTGTGTGTGTGTGTGTGATGGATCGTTGGAGCTATGTGCAACTCAAGGCATATGCTCGAACGGGAGCTGGCTGGACGCTGCAATCATGTTGCGCGCACTATCCGTGCTGAGTGTGCTGACTTTTCGTACAATGTCCCACTGTCTGGCTTCCTGCATAAAGTCAAGTGCTCGGCGCAGTTGTGGCGAAATTTCGCTCCTCTGTTTTCATTGAAACAGCTCCATATCCGTTAGCGCAGCTAGCTAGCACCAGATGCTAACAACAACAATGCACGTAAGGTCTCTCTCTCGCTCACTCAGGCCACACATACACACACCCTTCCGGTCCTCCCAATAGCCAGTCGGTGCCTGCCGGTGAGCGTGGAAGTGTGGTCTGCCACAAGCGGGCGACAGGAGCGGGGCTGTCAGCATCAGCTTGTAGATGGTATTTTAAACTTGATGCGCTCTGAAACTACGGGGCGGTCGAGGAAAAAAAATACACATGCGTTAATCGCGTTAAAATAATTAGGGCCGTTCAAATTTGTTTGCGTTAACGCGTTAACGCGTTAACTTGACAGCCCTAGTAAAATATATTACACAGTAGTATTCATGTGTTAATAAGCCCACTTTTCTAATAAATTCAGTCAATTAAAGTTGGGAACATTTTCTAACAAATCTTAGTTTATAAGTAAAAAAAGCCCAATAACTTATTTACCCAACAAGCTTGAAATATACCCTTCATATTTCTCCTTATTATAAGAAAACTGAGGCTCCTGTTTTAGGGAACGAGCTACCAACAAAATAAATGAAACCCTCTGGAGAGCTGTGGTATAACCTGTTTTTTTCTTAAGGCATTATCAAGTATCAAGCATAATTTACCTACACTTGATTAATGTTGCTAACTTATACCAGCCCTCGTATATTTTTCTGTATGTGGCCCTTTGTGAAAAAAGTTTGGACACCCCTGTTTTAAGTGATTAAACTGTATTGGAACAAAACACTACACACTTAAAGTTTTCCCAAGCATATTTAAGCAGTGACAGCCCGCTGAATGCTACCTTTAGCGACTTCAGTGTTGACTTTAAAGTCATCAGGGGTGAGGACATAGTTGATCCACCATGTGAATCCCCTCTCCTGCTTCTCGATCCACCTCTCATCGTAGAACATGTTCTTTGCGGCAAACGGCATCGGGTGTCTCGGTATGGCTGGAAGAAAAAGAGAAATTGTAGAACACTCATTAACATTTTTTAGATGAACAGACAAGCTAAATAACTTTACACACATAAAAAATGTGCAATGTTCTTCCATCAAAATACCTGTTTGAGCCGCCGGCTTGATGAAGGTCAGCTTTGACTGCGCTACAGCAACAATCTTTGACGTCTTCATGGAGGAAATACGAGATGACCTCAGAGACTGGACACCTGTCAAAAGAAAAAACATAAATGTTTACTCTTATACAAGATGTATTACCCTTCTTAAAAAGGCAATAATGCATAACTTCATACCTCGTGATGAGGTGAGTTTGGAGCTTGGTTGCTTGGCCTGGGCAGGAACCACAGACCTCGCCATCTTTAAAGATGATGTTGTCATAGATCTCACTGAGCCTAGAAAAAAATAATAATAATTCAAAACAGTAAATGAAGAGAGTCCAGAAACCATGCAAACCTTCAACAGAAGTTAGATTTTTAGAAATAAGTAACACATTTATTTATTTAGGTCAACGAAAGAAAAATTCTGTGAATATTACATTTATCATGGCTATAACTTTAAAAAGGCTTTTGTGTTATGATACAAAAGTGGAAATTCACTTCACACTGAATTTAATATACAGGTCTTTAAAATCACAATGTATTATAACACACATCCTAACATCAATGAATGTTTTGCCCACCTGTTGTTCTGGGCCTCTGTGTTGCACTCCTCCTCTCCTGGACGGATCTTAGGGGCTCCTTTTTCCCAGGTACCACCTTGCTCCTTTTGACAGGCTCAGCTTTCCCAGCATCCTCAATCTTCACATCAATTTTGAAATACTCCTCACTCTTTCTCTTCTTGCTATTCACGGCCATGTAAATGGGAAATGATTCTTCCTGCATGGACTGAGATACAGACAGATTTGGAGACGCGTGTGGTGTCAGGTGACAGTGAAGAGGAGAAGATGAGCACAGGGGCGGCGGAGAGCTGACAGTAAAAACAAACGGAGCGTGGGCTGCTGGGGGCGTGGAAGTGGCTGAGAAAGAGAAGCGAGCCGGGGCCAAAGACGGGGGGGAGGTGACGGGGAAGGTGATGGGTGTAGGGGAGCCATCAAGGCGTGGAGTCAGGCTGGAGGAGGTTAACCCCTGGGCTGGATGGCTGTCATCACACGGGGAGTTTGCAGAGTTTTGCAATCCTTTGGTTTCTGTTTCTAGCTTTATGATAGGAAGGATAGGGGTGCCTGGTGCAGAATCACACAGACTGCTTCCATCAGACAGCTCCAGGGTTTTCTCTAAGAGCCTTCGTCTTGACTTCTTTATCTTCCTTCCACTCGAAATAATTGCCTCCACTGGTGCTTTGTTCTTGATCACCGTGGCAGAAGTAAAATAGGTATTTTTGACCCATTCCGTAGCCTTATCAGCCTCTAAAACCACCTTGCTCACAACAACCTTTTTGCTGACAAAGAAGGTCAGCCTCGGCTCGTTGGAGTCCGACCCATACGGGCTATCAGGTAACACTGGAAGGACATTTTTGTCAGGTCCACAGCCACGAGTCCCACTCTTGGAGTCCAATGAATCTGAAATCCACAGCTTGAACTTGTGTCTCTAGGACTGGTGTTCATTCTGGTTAGATCTGAGTCAATGAGGGCAAGTGCGTCTTTCAAAGAGGGAACTGGGGTTCCAGTTAACCCACTGTCAGCAGAAAGTGGGCTGTTGGACTGAATACTTGGCATACACTTCTTAAACATCTCCAGTGTCCCGATAGGTGACAGTGTCTTGTTGAGCATCTTGGTTAGATCTCTATATTCGGGTTTGCCCACCTGCAGATGTGGACTAGCAGACATGTTGCCAGAGTCCACCAGCTTCCCGGCTGGGACGAGTAGGACAAGAGGAGAGTCCTTCTGAAGAAAATCGATATTCTCCTGGTCAGACAAATTATAGGCCTTCTGCTCCTCTGATTTCTGAAAGTATTCGTCCATTGGAGTAGGCTTGGAGAGGGACCGCTCTCTGACAGCTTCGCCCTTATTGAGAGCAGCAAGAGGGCTACGTGGCTTTTCCCGCTTGTACAGTGACTTTCGAGACACTTGGAAGGTTTTGTTGGCTGCCATCTTCAGTGGCTGATCCGTTTTGTTTCTCCTGGGTACGCTTACGTTTTCACCGTCCCTTTTGTTTTTGATTGTGTCCCATAAGCTTTTCTGAAACACAAAAAAACAACCAACATTTTTTATTTATCATGTCAGAATGAAAACTACGTGATGAAACCGTTTCAAAAAGTTGTTCACTGTTTAACAAAATGACCAACTAGGAAAATCAGGACTGTTGACTTGCATGCATTTCTTTTTAAACATTATTGTAGGGCTGTACCCGATTATCCGTTCGTTGGGCTGTACCGGATTATCCGTTCGTTGGAGTACTATTCGGGTTTCAATTTCGTTATAAGGATATTCGGTTTTTTTCTTCGTTTTTTTTTGGCACTGCGGCTGTCAAATTGAATGTATTGAAAACTCCAATATCAATGTAAGAGCTTGTGCCTCTTCGGGGGGTGCTAACACTTAGCCATAAACATTATCGTTTACTTTCTCCGTTGTAATATGTAGATATTACTTTTTCTCTGTTAATCTCCGTCAAGTTGTTTCCATAGCAACAACAACTTCCTGTCAACAGCTAACTCTCCTTCAAAAATAAAAGCATGTCCATACAAAATAGGAAGCCAAGCCAAATTACTCTTAAGACTATACAACTGCAACGAAAGTAACAAACACAATGCAATATCCCTTTCAATTTCAAAGAACACGAAATTGGGTTATACACATTAACAAATAACTATAAAACAACAATAGTACTACTATAATAATAATAATATAATAGTAATACTGTAGAATAACAAAATGAATGCCGTGAATAAACCGAAATACACGTATTGAAGCGGTTATTACTTACTACCCCATCCCGCCCCCGCCGATTATTCGCTGCTGACTACTACCGAATATCCGGAGCCCATTTGATACATTTGTAATCACCGATACAGCTCTACATTTACCTTTTTCTTTCTCGGTGCTTCTGCTCTCCCCAGCAGTACAGCCTGTTGTTTGAGGATCCCATTGGCACTGAAGACGATGAGCTCCCTTATTCCACCTTCTTCTGATGGAGTCCATGTTACGTTCAAATTGAATGAGTCCTCGGGCTGCAAACACAAAGCACAGGGGAACATGATCATTCAATGAAACAACATTTAGTCTATATCGATCGATGTATCCTACTGGGAAAACGTTAACGATGGATAGCAGAGATACAATATGTTAACTTGGCACAACGAAGCTCCAGAGCGTACAACTCTTGAGACATGGGAGTTGTATCCATTCGTGCAGAGAAAAGCTAACGTTAACTGAGAACATAACTTACCTGAATCGTGAAAGTCCTGTATTCCACAGAAAATCCTTTACTTGCAGGGATCTTTTCAATTGTAACCTCCGCTTCTGAATCCGCTATTGGGTTCTCAATACGCAGAACAGCCGACTTTGAGGTGCCCAACTTTACATTTCCAAAAGTCACAAAAGGAGCCTTTGAAAACAGGGTTAAAACCAAAACTGGAACATCGTTCTCCTTGTTAGCGTCGGCTCGCTTTACCGGACTGGAGTCCAGAAATCCTTTCCATGCTGAATTATCCGTTTCAGCCATGAAAGATGAGATACAGTAGCAGTAGCTAATGTCTAGCTACAAACGCAGTTAGTTTTACGTTTTAAAACGTCTACCATGTGAGCTGACGAGCTGACACTAATGTTGACTAGAAAACGTTAAATCACCCTTCCTTCCAAAACACGCTGAATGACGGTTTGAAATTCGGCGTGGTGTAAATCCGCCAATGATACGCGAGGGATGGCTACTATTGTCCAATGGGTAAAGAGGATAGTTCAAATCCATATGAATACAAAGCTATTGGCCAATCAGATATCAGCTACATTTTGTAACTGCCCAGGCCACGCTCACATTTCCAAATACAATAAACGAAGATATCTCACTCTAATGTTATTTAGTTCGAGTTAACTAAAGTCAAAGGCTAATCTATGCTCTGATTTATGCTATTAATTTCCCGTTGCACTGAAAGTAATGCTTAGAACCAAAACTAAGATTTAAGATCAGTATAATGATGTAATGTGTGGCGAAGTCCCTCCCCTTCCGGGGGAGCCTCTGAACCAGATGACGGTCCTTCATTTTACTTTTGAGTAAGGGATCTGCAAACTAATACGATCTTCAAATGTGCACTTTATTTCCACGATTTCTTATTTCGGTTATGTCTCATTCAAAATATAACTAAACGTGTTGATGCAAATAAAAGAATAATATAAAATTAATATTCGAAGTGGCTCAGAATTCTGAAAGAACGAAATGTTCACTTTTATATGAGAGTAGTAGTAGCCTACAGCCTGTCACCACCAGAAGTGCCACCTGGCCAGTCGAACATCTCGCAGTGATCGTATGGTTAGTTAGGTCACGGCCGTCTCCTATCTCCTTAATAGCAGAAATTAGCAATGACACCTTTACCGTTAACGTTATTAATGTAGCTCCAAAACGTGTTGATTTCCAATTCAAAGGGTCAAGATAACTGCAATATTTATAAACCTACTATGGATAAGTTGTGTTGTAGCCTACTCTTACATCCAAACTATACCTTTTGGGAAATGCGTAACAACCGTAACAGGGTCATTCTACAGAAAAGGTGGAAGTACTGTCACCAAAATACATTACGTTGACCTAATACTCACATTCATTATATATGTTGAATAAATAGAGATTGTCTTTGATCATACATGGAAGTGGAGCCTATAGTTTTCATTTAAAATATATTTTTTTCAATAAATAAATCTCATTCATATTTACATAACATTACATACATTAAATATAACACTGAAATGGTAAAAAAAAATCATAATGTCAGTCACCCAGAATTACGTCATTAGTGTTACTGCTACACAAAACGCTTTTATTTTTGAAGTAATGTCTCTGACGTGCCTCCTGTAACAAGAGATCATTTGAGGCAGTGCAGTGGACAAAGACATAAGGAAAGTAAGATACTTCTTACTTTGTTTGTTAAAGGTGTCATTTTATCTTCAAATGTTACGTGCGTCTTTCAAGTCTGTCATTAGTGTTACTCATTGCATAGCCCTAGGGGTGAACATTTAAATGGGAAAATGTATTGTATTGAAGAGTTAAACGATTTTGATATTGACTGAAGCCACATTTGGTCTGACACATGGCAGCAATTTTGTTAAAATTGTAGTGTTTTCTCCAAATTGTCACTGGTGTTACCGTCACTGGTGTTACTCTTCTTCCTGGTAACACGTAACACCAGTGATGTTCCTATATAATTAAGCTTTGTATAATGTATACAAATAATAAAAATACTTTAAGCTCTGATGTGGATTAATCAAGTTAAGAGTTAGTTATTGCTATTTAACAGGTTTTAGATGTGTTTAGAAGGAATATATTTCAGCAGATTTGTATCACCCAGATTCCACCTTTTCTGTAGAATGACTCAACAACATCCTAAAAGTCATACAATTATCATTTGTAGCAGCTCTTTAAAAGACTCACTGGCCAGCAGGCAGCTAACAGTCTGTCTGCAAGAGAACATTTATTGTGCTTTTTAATCAATTATTAATCATTATTCATACCTGCATGTTTTATATTAAAGGTCCCATGGCCATTTCTACTGATCATAATTCCATTGTTGAGGTATACTCAAATACATATATATTGTGCAATTTTCCAAACTCACATTGGTTTCTCATACAGCATCTCTGCATAGTATATGTAATCACTAGGCTTATTTGAGACAAGCGAGACCTGCGCAGACCTGCGCAGTTGCGATCAACGTCTTGCTCGTGCGTTGCATGATGGTTAGTCATTTTGTCCGACTTGCTCTGGAGGCTCGCCAACATGAGACGTTGCAATCTCGCGGGACAAAGACGCCCGCAGCCTTGAGAGCGAGGCGCGGCGAGGCGGCGCAGTTCCTCTCCACGTGCTGCGGAAGCGAAATGCTTGATGGGAAACGACTCGCTGGTATCTCGAGCTGAGCGCTCATTGGTGGTTTTTTCCACGTGCTGGTGATGAAACTCTCCAATTGGCTGGGCAAAATGTTGTTGTTGTTTTGTGTCAGTTTTACGTCGCCACTTCCATTCACATTTTTCATCATTGTTCCACAATATTTATCATCATTAAATTAATATCCATATATTTTATACTATACTTGCACTGCTTACCGTTTTCATACTTTATATATCTTAGCATATATAGCACTGTTCATACTGCTCTCAGGCTGCTGTGTATATCTAGTGTATTCATACCCCTCACTGTTTATTCATCATTCAATTCATTCTATATTTTATTCTGTAGATTGTGTACATTACTTTTCACTTTACTGCTTGTTGCACCTGGTTAGAAGCTAAACTGCATTTCGTTGTCTCAGTACCTGTAATATGTGCAATAACAATAAAGTTGAATCTAATCTGGAGCAGGAACAAATGTATTTACTTAGTACATATCTGACATTAACGATTAAACACATGTGTGCATTCTTTATAAATGCAAACCGAGTCAAGCCGACTCCGGAGGTGGCGGTATGCACCTTAAAGTTGTTTGCAATCCGCCAAAAAACCGAGAGAAGAAGAAGAAGACGAAGCCGACTCCGAGCATGGACTCCGAGCTGTCCGACTTCAGGCGAGCTTTTTGAGACCTCCCCCGGCTGCGATCGGCTATTCTCGTCTACTTTCGAGGCGAGCAGCAACGCGTCTCAAACAAGCCTAGTAGGCTTGGAGTCCATGCTCGGAGTCGGCTTCGTCTTCTTCTTCTTCTCTCGGTTTTTTGGCGGATTGCAAACAACTTTAAGGTGCATACCGCCACCTCCGGAGTCGGCTTGACTCGGTTTGCATTTATAAAGAATGCACACATGTGTTTAATCGTTAATGTCATATATGTACTAAGTAAATACATTTGTTCCTGCTCCAGATTAGATTCAACTTTATTGTTATTGCACAGATTACAGGTACTGAGACAACGAAATGCAGTTTAGCTTCTAACCAGGTGCAACAAGCAGTAAAGTGAAAAGTAATGTACACAATCTACAGAATAACATATAGAATGAATTGAATGATGAATAAACAGTGAGGGGTATGAATACACTATATATACACAGCAGCCTGAGAGCAGTATGAACAGTGTGTATGAATATGCTAAGATATATAAAGTATGAAAACGGTAAGCAGTATAGTATCAAATATATAGATATTAATTTCATGATGATAAACATTGTGGAACAATGATGAAAAATGGGAATGGATGTGGCGACGTAAAACTGACACAAAACAACAACAAACTTTTGCCAGCCAATTGGAGAGTTTCATCAGCAGCACGTGGTAAAAACCACCAATGAGCGCTCAGCTCGAGATACCAGCGAGCCGTTTCCCATCAAGCATTTCGCTTCCGCAGCCCGTGGAGAGCAACTGCGCCAACTCGCCTCGCCTCGCTCTCAAGGCTGCGGGCGTCTTTGTCCCGCGAAATTTCAAAGTCTCATGTGGGCGGGCCTCCAGAGCAAGTCGGACAAAATGACTAACCATCATGCAACGCACTAGCAAGACGTTGATCGCAACTGCGCAGGTCTGCGCAGGTCTTGCTTGTCTCAAACAAGCCTACTCTCTGTCCTAAACGGCTTGTTGGAGGCGCTCCTGCCCCCCCTCCCTGTGATAAACCTATTAACCCCGCCCCCTTTAAAAAAAAAACGGCTCTTTTGAACGGCTCTCGCAAAGGAACGGAGTCAGATCCGGCTCCCTTCAAAGAGCCATAATTCCCATCACTAGTGCCCGCTCCTTGCAGCAGCGAGCCTCGCAACGTCCCGCCGAGCAGGCACGTGCACACATAAGTGGGCTTGAGCCCCTGCCCTGTTTCTTCCTCCAGAGAAAGTGCGCTTTTTATGGGGTGCTTTATTAGGGTCTGAGACCAGAGGTTGGCTGGCGACCCAATTGAACAGCGAGCGATAAACCTGCGAAACACACACAAAACTGGGAAAACGACCGGCAAAGGCACAGAAAAGATTAGGAAATCATTACGTCAGATAGTCCGCGCGAGCCCAGCGCCCACGTGACTGCAACTCGCATGATTGATATCGGTAGGATCAATTTAGTCGCTCGCAACAACAAATTACTAAACTGCCAGTGCTTCGAGTTTACAGCTAATTAGCTAAAAGACAAAAACAAATATAGTTAACTAGGGTAGGCTACTAGCTAATGGATAAGTTAGCTCAAGGTTTAGCTAAGGCATTTTATCATGGGCATACAGGCTAATGTACTGAACTTAAGGGGAGACACTAAAGGTGAATACAGTAAAATGTGTATCTAATAACGTCATCACAATCACCACATTGATATGCAAATTGGCGTTAACTAGGCCTAATTAAAATGCGTTAATTTGCATGAAGTTACCAAGGTGAAAAGGATAAAACTAAAATGTTTTTTTTTTAAAAACACATCACCACAACTTCCCCAGATAGTTACTTGCGTCAAGTCAGTATTTCCCCCCTGAAATGTTATGTTTAAATGCAGATTAGCTTTATCTATGAATTCAGACATAAAGATATTTTTGCCTGTAATGTCCTTAAACAGTAACTTCATAATTTTGATTGTTGGCTGCTCATTTAATAAGTATTATTTTACTAGTTTGTTGTCTGCTCTTGTGCGTAGTGAATACTAAAGAAGACTATTGTCTCTGCGTCAGCTGATTATTTTGTAGAATTCTGTTGAGTATTAAACAATTGTATGAGTGTGAGGGTATTAAAATAAATTGGTCAGTAAGTCAGAGATGTGCAACTATATTTAACTTTTAGTTTTAATAAAAAAAATTATAAATGATTATTGGAAGTGCCCTCTTTCTCACTTGAGCTCCTGCCCCCCAAAATGTCTGTGCACGTCCCTGCCGCCGTGTGTGTGTGTGTGTGTATGTGTGTGTGTGTGTGTGTGTGTGTGTGTGTGTGTGTGTGTGTGTGTGTGTGTGTGTGTGTGTGTGTGTGTGTGTGTGTGTGTGTGTGTGTGTGTGTGTGTGTTTGTGTGAGGAAGTCCACGGATTGGTCCAAACGTAACGGCTCCGTGGACGTAACGTCACTATACCCGAAATACGTCACTATTCCCAAGAAGTAAACAATGGAAAAAGAGAAATCCCCAACGAGGCGTTCTGGGGCAGCATAGACAGGTCTTTTCTGTGTTTTACTTGCTACAGGGTGTACTTTGAGGGTATGTGACTCTGCAGACCGTTTACATGCAGAAAAAGCTACATAACACACAAGGGGACGGGTAATAACCAGAAAAGCATGACATGGGACCTTTAACATATACACTTTACTTTTATTCTATTTTACGATTTATATTGTTTTACTGTATTTTTTTCTCTAAACTCCCTTTTAGGGTATTTTTTAAATTTCCATAATTTCCTAGTTATATAAAGGTATTATGTTTTGATTACACATGTCCTATAATTGAAATCAGAGCAGTAACATATTTAATTGTATACTTTGAACACAAATTGACAATCATTCATTGCACATTCTGAATACAAAGATGTCCACATGGACAGTGTACAGTGGATACAAAAATCATTTCATTGCCCACCCCAATGAGCCAAACCCTTTTTATAGAGCTGGTAGAAACTTTTAAAATTAGCAAGAGATGATCTCCTTTAACATGCATTAATTGATTTAGCCACTTGGGGGCAGCACAAGAACCTGTAAACACAACAATTGTAACAACAGTTACACAGGAGCTGTATTACTCATTACGCATGTCCTTACTACGTTTTTTTCTGGATAATTTAGTAGGATATACAGAAATATATATATTCTTCTATGCAAATGTATTATCACAAGTATACGTAAGTCTATATTACTGTTGCTGTAGTATAGTATTTTATAGAACAGTCTAACTTAACTTGAACATTATATATTGAGTATTATGTGTGGTTCATGTCCATTCTACTGTAGATATGTATATATACCTGCTGTTTATTGTTTTTATTTTATTATTTTAATACTTTTTGTCCGCCTTTTAATTTTAATGTCTGAACACATTATTGTTTCTGTAACAAAATATTTCCCAATTTGGGATGACTAAAGTAGATCCATCTTTCTATCAATCTATCTTATCCCAGAAGTTACCTCTCTAAATGATATAAATCTGCTCTATGAAATAAAAAAAAGTTGTATTGTGTTTTTATTTGTATACTATAAAGAAGCAAATTATGCAACCAGCTTTTTAAATAAATGTTTTAAATATTGTGTTTGTACATGGCACCTGCTTTACATAAACTCATACACAACATGCAGTAATTATTTTTTAAGTAAACTCTCTGTACACAGTCACTCCACCAGCTAAAAGATACTGTTAAATTGTGAGCCAGTTTGCACCAAAGGGTGGAAAAAACATTAATTCCATTCTATTTAACAACATCGTAAATGTAATTTGTTTTATCAGGTCCCAATGGCATGGTTACACAAATTATGTTTTAATTCAATGCCAAAAAAAGCTACTTTGTGGATCCATGTCTACTAGTTACAAATGTAGTGTGCTGGCAGGAAAGTGAAGGCGTTGTGCTGTACATAAGGACGTGTCTTGGGTTTTATAGGTCGAATGTTGGAGTCACGGTTTGTACAGGCCGTGGAGGGTCACGGGTATGATGATGTTGACCTCGGCCCGTGCCAGCTCTGTGAGTTTCACGGCATCCAGCACCAGCAGGAAGCCCGGTCTCTCTGCACCCGGCTTCACCACGATGCTCAGCAGCACACCTGGAACACATAGTAAAACATTTGAGTTTCCAATTTCAGACATGGTCAGGATTAGGTATTAAATAAATCTAGGGATGAGGTTTGAATACAGTATAAATTACATTTTTGATCAGGCATATTTTTGAGATATGAAAGGGTTCACTGGTAGAGATATCAAAATAATTGATTTTAAGAGAACAACTTTTGTTTCCTTCAGATTACATGTCAGTATAATTATGTGTGTCGTACCATCGTCTTCCTCTGTGGCTCCAGGTGTTGGTACAAACAGCGGCTCGGATGGGTAACAGTCCTCCTCCTGCCACACCAAGGTCTCTTTGGTCTGTACATTCAGCTTGACTATCTACAGCAAGACAACAATAAACACCCGAAATCTTGATCACCAAAAAAAATCATTATCATCATCAAAATTCATTCTGTGAATTATGAAAGCACTCCTTACCCTGTCAGGGATAAAGTGGTTGAGTCCCAGACCGTACGCAAATGAATATTTCTTCCCACTACACAGAGAGTAGTTTATCTGGGGAAACTCAAAGGCTGAGAAAATGACAAAAAGAAGGTGGCAGCATCTGAAAAAAGTTAGTTGGATCACAATTTTGTTTTGTCATGATTTTAAGAGCAAGAATGATCCCTGAAGATACATTTAAAACCCTTTTACTGGTGTGAAATGCTTAGTTTGTCTGTATGTGTTACCCTGTCTTGGTCCAGAGAAGAGGACTTCAGGCTCGAGCCAAATGGTGCCATCGCTGTTAAGAACAGCAGTTGCTGTGGTGTAGGGAAGAGACACCAGATTCTTTCCCTGCTCCTCCTGAACACACATGAAAGCAAACACAAATGGATGTACACACATACACACAAACAGTCTACTCTGAGGGGGTATTTTATACAGTATAGTGTGAGAACTGTGTGCTTTATGTGAAAAGTCTAACTGGGTAAAACACTTATCCAGAAAAAGTTGCTAACAAAGCTAGCTCAGCAGTTAGTTTCAGTTGAACATGCTGTTGCTAGTAGCAACAGCTGACTGACAACGACATCCACTATTTTTGTCAGATCTTTGTCTGGGCCTATATTACCAGGCATCTTGTTATCTACTCCTTAAATGCCAATTTGGAGCAATATCTGTAAGGGCTGTAGCCTAAGTGTTGTTATTGTTACAGCTGTTTTGTGGTTTTTGGTTTAGGAAAATTACTTTTTTCTATGTTTAGCTGACTGCTAACCTAGCTAGCTGTGCTAACCTCAGGCTTTCAACTTTTGTAATGTCTTCTGTTCACCTTATCATTATTCTGTTTGGTTGAAATGTGTGTATAGTGTAAATCTTTCTCTTTATCGGTACTATTATCAGTTAAATTGGTACGAAGCAACACAACTATACTTCAGATTTGCCTCTCATATGGAGCTATTTTAATACAATTTTATTTTTATTCTATGTTTAGGACATTAATACATTCAAAATGTTTGCATTTACTGTAGGAAATTACAATTATATTTTCATGAAGTGAGTTCAAAATAATTTATTAGCTTTGATAAAAGATTTTAAACACCAATCAAGCATTGTCCAAAAAACTGATCAGACAATTTAATAGTTTGTACATTTTATGAAATGTATGACCAGTTAAGACTACTTTTAAAAGAACACCTCCACACAAATTCAAGTTCATTAACATTACCATTACCCACCTTGTGTATATCCAGTGGCAGTACATATCGTCGGACCTCAGGCTGAGGAGCTCTCATCGCAGCTTTCTTCACTTCCTCCCACTCCTGCTTTATGTTGGCCAGGTACAGGTAGTCGTACACAAAGTCATGACTGCAAAAAAACACAGAGATATTTCATTATGACACAATTAATTATACGATTGGTATAAACCTATACAGACACGCTCACACTCACCCTTTCCACGTGCAGAGGTCAACCACGATGAAGCCCTCATCCTCGTAGGCGTTGATATGGTGAAAGATGTTGAAAGCTGATGTTCTGAACTTGTGGCTGCTCAAATATTCAGCTGGGTCCTTAGTGGCCAAGTGAAACCATGTCTATAGCACACAAACACAAATACATGAAGAGACACATACGTCAACATACTGTATGAACAAAGATGCACATGCACAGGCACAGTCCCATGTAACTATACACACTTCCCTTCCTACCTCCAAAAGTCAAAATATACAACATCCCTTGAATGATTATAAGACAATGGGTTCCTGAACACAGACATGTAACAGTTGCTCCATCACTCCTACTGCATAGAGACACCAAGACTGAAAGAGAAACAAATCAGCTGCACAGCTGCATGTCCTTGTGGTGTTTTCGTATCATTTTGTGCCTTTTCGTGGTGGTTTAGCAACTTTTTGTGGTAGTTATGTGTATCTTTATGGTAATTTTGCTACAATTTCTGTTCATTTTGGATTTTTGTGGTAGTTTGATTTCCCTTTGTGCTAGTTTGTGTCTGTTTTTGGTCATTTTGCATTGCGTATGTTTGTTTTTTGCCTTTTCTGTCATTTTGCTCTTCTTTTCAGTCCTTCATTATCAGTCTTATAATTTTGGGTCACTTTGTAGTTGTTCTGCATCTCCCAGTAGCTGTTTTTTGTTCTCATCCGTCTCTTTTTTGCTCCTCTTTGTGGTTGTGTTTGACCACCAACAAATGTTAACACTTCATGCTGACGGTCTCATCCAAAGGCCCCTGAGTCTGTAATCCATTCATGGTTCACAAGCTTCTTACCACCACCCTCTTGCGCCACCCCTTGCTTACCCCCATGCTTTCGTTGGATTCAAAACAGTCCATGTATGTCGCCCCTCTGACGCTCCAAGCCGACAGGAACTTGAGCAGGTTGATTTTTACCGGCTGCTCCACAAACACAAAGTGGTTGTCTGTCATACCAAAGCTACAGAGAGATAGACAAAACAAATCCATAAGCAGCAGTTTTCAACTTCCACAGGGTTCATAGAAACAAAACTGAGTTAATGTGTTTGGTTAGTGCAAAACAAGTACAGATGCAAAGCTCAGATTATGATGAATATGATGTATTGTGTATTGATCTTGATAAATGAAGTCGGTACCTGTGTACGTAGGAGGGTTTTAACCTCTCACTGCTGGGTAGTTGAACAACAACCTGGGATTTCTCCAGGGGATCCGACCCATCTGAAAACACACAGTTGCAGTGGGTGATGTTATCATTCTGTAGTGAGTGGGTGCATATGATGAACTACAATTTTACTCCAGCTCATAAAGAAGAAGGTCCATTTAAAATCACTCACAATCAATCGGATGACAGTTTCAATGTGGTACAAAAGTCACCTTTCTGAGCAGGTGGGATCTTGACGATGTTATAAGCCAGACTCAAGTTCTTTCCAAAGCAGTTGCCGATGTTATAGACTGTACCATCTGCTTCAATATGGGGATGGGCTGTCAACCCATTCACTGAGAGGTACTTACATAAGTCAACCTAATACAAATATGTACACAAGACAGGACATAATTGGAGAGTCATTTTTATAAAGCATGACGTCATCATTTATAAGTCTATCAACAATTATATAAACACATAATTACTCAAATAAAAAAATTCTGTAGCACCAAAACATTTAAATTGAAAAGATTGACTGAAGTAAGACTTGGTACTAGTTGTGTTGTTTCTTTAGTGTTATCTGTTTCTGATTCAGCAAGATGTAAACCAATCAGCTCTCACCCTCTTCAAAGTCTCCAGCGAATCAGGATCAACCTTAGTGATGAAATTTGTCTCTGTGACGGCATAGAAGTCTTCACCGACTGGATAGATGTTCACCATGCAGTTATCAGTCACCTCAATGCCTCTGAAATAAGTGAAGAATCTAAACAGAAACAAGGCAATATTTTGTTAAAATATTAAAACAGTATTTTGAGCCATTGGATGTTTTATCATAATACAGTATATAGATTTTTTGTTGGGCCATAAAAGATCAGAAATTAGTACAAATAAATTAGCATTACTACTACCATGACACCAGTTTGCCATTTTTAAACTGCTTTGTTGTCCAACCAACAGATAAAAAAAACAAAATGCTCAGTTTAATATCTTGATAAACTTAGAATACAACCATTTATTAACATTATAGGAGCTAGAATATGGGCTAAAAAAAAGACGAATTCATTGAGAACATTTAAGGTACTATGGGTTAAACATGGAAGAAATGTGAAATGTTCATAAACAATTTTACTAACAAGAATGTACCATCAAATGTTAAGACAACTAGCTGTTGACAAATATTAAAGTAGTTAACATCATCATCTGATGAGCTGAAATACTGTGCAACTTTATCTAAACTGAAACTATTATTTATCTATTATTTTATACCTTGAACGTTTTCTTTTTATTCGTTTATCTTTGTTATAATAATTATTATTATTATTGTTTGTTTTGTTTCTAACATGTTCAATAATATGACTAATAAAAATAAATCTAACTCTCAATCAATGCAGCAAGTGAGCATATCACCCAAAAGGTCACCTGTGTTCCTTTAACACACTTGGCTTCATACATTAGGCAGAGCACCTACAGTATGTGGTTTCGGGGTTACCTGGAGAAGATGTTTTTGCAGGGGTCTGGGTAGGCTGCTGTGCCAAACTCAGTGATGACTATTCTGTTCTCTGTCATGGCACGAACATACGCATCTGTCTTGATAAACCTGAGAAGAGAAACACATATCATGCACATATCATACCTCACGAGACATTTCTGGTCTATTAATCAAACTGTCAATGTAGTTTTGGAATTTCACAAAGCACATTACTGATTCTGCTAGGTAGACAAAACTATTAGAGTTGGATGAAGGCTTGTGGTCTGCAGCTGAGTATTGTTGTTGTCTCCTCCCTTGCAACATTCCTGTTTGGAGGAATTTACTGTCAGCTTTTTTATTTGGCTGCACAAAACTGCATGAACAGAAATCAGATGCCATAAAAGATCTGCGTCTGGATTTAGATCTATAAAATGAAGGTCTAGAGTGCTGGGAAGTACAAACAAGTACATTGAAAGGGTTTTTCTCTCAGGAACAAAACAATTTAAAAGAAAGGTCTGGCAAAAAGTTAGAAAGCCTTTAATCAGATGGCTATAACCCAAATGTAGCGACAGAGAGCTTTCTTCAGGTTGGGATTTCAGATTTATATATATTTTTTATGTAGAGAAAGAACGTATTGGTTAAAAGATGTGCTTTTTTCCCTGATTTGGAAAGGTAATGAGAAGTGTTCTTACTTCCTGTAGTAGGTCACCTGACCGTCCTTCAGGTCAAACTTGTGAATCATAGCCTGTCCATCAAACAGATGGTGGAAAGGCTCATCTCCCACCTCAAAAAGACCTGGACCCATCCGGAGAAGACTGCCGCCCAGCCATGACGGTATGACACCTGTGAACAGACACACAGACACACGCACACAGACACACAGACACACAGACACACGCACACAGACACAATTGACACGTGAATCCAGTACATAAATACCCTTACAAATAAATTAACACAATTGTGTTTTCGTACAGATTGAACAAGCAAGATATAACGGGTAAAGCTACAGTTTTTGTCATATTTCTTACAATATGATTTGGACAACACAGAATAGGACAGACCATTTAATCAAAATGTGCCAAAAGGTTGAACTAAGATAAGATGGACCTTTATTAATCCCCCTGGGGACATTCAGTAGTTTAACAGCAACAGGGTAAGATTGAAAAACAGGACAGCACAGATTCACACAGATTAATCAAATTAAGGATACAATCCAAGATACAAATTAAATATGATAAATAACTATAACTATTCCTTAAATATAAATCAATCAGGCTTTTTGGAAGCTATTCTGGAACATGTCTTGGAGTCTTTCTTTCTAGACTTTCTCTTAAGGCAGAAATGCCAAAGAAAAGTAGATAACCCACTCTCTTCCTTACCCTTGATCTCGGCAGGAATAGGTTCGTTCAGCTCCTCCACCGTCTCAAAGATCTTCTTGTAGCCTGCAGCAGGATGCTCCACTCTGGAGAGGAAAACAAAGATATTGATTTGAAAAAAAATTACTAGTAAAAGTAAATTAGTGAAAAAACAAAATGTATAGCATATAAATCTAGTCGTATTACACATTTAGTTGCAGAAATGTTATATCATTAACTCTGGTGGTGTTATAAGCTTCTAATGAAATGCATACTGTGGTGAGATTGTCCTGCCAACTGTTGATACCTTGTTTCTGTGCTGCCCAATTTACAGGTTCCTTTGTTTGGTTTTTACCACTCATTTATCCAGCATTCACCTTGATACCTGGGTCTGTTTTCAATCATGTTTTTTTCTCTTTTGTTTTGTTTTACTATTTTAATTAGCTATGTGTGAAATGCTAAACATCTCTGTTAAGGGATTTACACCACAGGGGTGATAAACAGGCAAAGCAAACAGTGTTTGGAGACAGTGGTGTTTGCTCTTGAGAGGGCAGGCTCTGATGGAAGGAGAGGAGGCATACTCTGTGTCACAGTTGCTTGATGCTATAATCTCGTAAAAGATGGATAATGTTTCTCTCATGTCGATATTTTATGTCAAAAATACTGGCCATATTATGTTTAGAAAATTCCCTGGTATTTTTGTTGGTGCTCTTTATATTTCTCCTGCTGTAAATTCAGAACAATGTAAAAGGCAATTGTAAAATAAATGGGTTTCCCCCCCCGTTCTTGTCTTATTTAACGTAAACGGAATACAACTGCATATCTCAACAATGTTCCTTGAATCCATACATTTAATATTAAAGGACTTTAGCCGCAAGGAAAATCTTACACTGTTTGGACTGCAACAAATGAAAGTGTCTCACTGCTGCAGCAACAACCTTTTCAATGGAAAACAAATCCAGTGGAACATTTGACATAGTAGACTCACCATCAAATATTTTTCAGGGAAAACAACAAGAGTCACTGACAATCTGGTTTCTCTTATTGCATTTCCAAGAACCAATATATTTAGACCACGAAAGGTATTTCTAAAAGTTTTGTCTTTCAGTTTAAATCTTCACACATTGGACAAAAACACAGAAAGTTCCACTCACCGGCTGGCCATGCTGCTGAATGTTCCTCACCAGTTACTCAGAAGTATCCTGCAAAACCAGACTTGCATTTAAACCACTCACACATTTCCTGTGGTGAGAGATGGAAACGAGGTCCCCTCCTCCCTTTTTCTATTCTACCTTGCCTCCCCCAATCCCTCCTCTTTTCCTCTGCATCTTCCTCTCCTTCATGTTTCCTTTCATGCCTTTTGCTCCCCCTTTTTTTTACCCTCTTCCTCCTCTGGTCTTACCCAGAGCAAAACAAGCCAGCTTTGTCTCAGCTCCTTTCAGGCGCATGGCCATCGGCTCCATGCAGAATGTTCTTTTGGCCTTGAAACAAAGTATTTCTCAACCTGGGGGCACAAACACTGACAAACAGGCCGATGATGAGGGTCCAACCAATAAAGTCAGCTTTTAAAGGCAGAGTGTGCTGGTATTGTTTGTGGAAGTAGAAGGAATCCTGTCTAATAAGTTCCAGACCGCCTGGACAAACCCCTCAAACTATTTTAATTGGCTCGCTCTGAGGGGGGAGAAAGAGCAACAGTTTTCTCTGGCAGGGAGAGTGAATGATTAACCCTGTCTGTTTCTTTGGTTCTCTGTCATGTTGATAAATGAAAGTTGAATGGAAGACTAAAGGGGTAACTTAAATGGTATGGTTGCATTAATAGGAAGTTAAAAGGAGCAGCAATCGATCATCTAGTGTGTGTGACAGCTAAACAAGTACAATAACTACTGGTTGGCTTGCCATTAACTTTTGTAGACATTCATGGTCCCCAGAGGATTAATCCTTAACACTATGTTCAAGATCAACATTAAATGTAATTCTCCAGAAATCATGACTTGTTTACTCCAAATAATCTGCACAATTTCAAAAAGGGCACAGTATTTGAATCCTGACAAGGATCTTGAATTCAGCCGCTGTGAAAGGTAGTATTTTGTTGAGGCCTTTGCGTGTTAGGCCTATGCTCCACCAGCCTGCTGTGACTTTGTTCATGATAATTAGATTAAACTGATCTACTTAAACCTGCCTGGTTTCGGTTTGAACTGCCAATGACTCTCAAACCTAAACAATGAAGCTGGTAAACAACACGTAGAAATAACAAAAGCCAGTCACATGTGTAGTGCCTGGTCAAATATACTTGATGTTTCAGGATTTATGTCACATCGTACGAGGGCTGCAAGATTTGGAAGAAATGATTGCAGTTATGACTGAAATTTGGAAATTATTTCTTTATAAAATAAAGAGAATGAACCATTGATCACTTGATGATAAGAGTGTGCTTTTTCAGAGGATCTGAACGCAGGACATTTTTTAAATCTAATCTTTACTGTTTGTTGGGCCAGACTTCTCTTCAGCACCAGTAACCTCTATTTAGAATTGATATTTTCACATCTTTTTTTACATTATCATTTAAACAAAAATAGAGCTTACTGCGATTAGGATTTTGCACATCACTACATTTCTATCAAATGTTGGTTAACTTTGCAGCCCTACATCGAACACATGCTTTCACACACGGCGGCAAATAGAAACAGGACTATGGCATATAAATAGAACAGCTGAACATTTATTTCCCAGGAGTTTGCATAGTAAACAATAGAAAGTAAACAAAGGGTAAAACTGTGTAAGTGTACAATATAAAACACTGCTGATGAATGCATATACGGTGACACACACACACACTTCGATCTGAGGTAAATAAACCAAACATATCATGGTAGAACTAATACTTCATATAACATAAATTAAAAAGGAATAGCTTGAAATGTAGAGTTACAAATCCTCAGATAATTGACATAAGGGTTCTAATAAGCACTTGTGTTTACCACAAGTTCTCATTCATCAATGAATAGATGACCAGTTTCTCTCCTTAGAGAGTAGTAGCTAATAGCCACTTCACTTTTGACATCAAATGCTGTAGGAGTTCAGAAAACACTTCACATGGTTGTTGACAGAAGCAGTAGCAACAGTTTACCCAAACGATTACAGGTATTTGGTGGAACCTTCGTAAGGGAGTCTATAATGCATTCAATATGTATACATTAGCTATTCTGATGATTTGCTATTTGCAATTCCTTAATCCAGTGCAAAACATGTCTTTATCCAATAAACTATGCAGGGATGCGATCAAGGTGAAACACACATGTCAGTAATACAAATCTAAACTGTGAAAGAAGTTTAATCTAACTAGAGTTGTAAATGAAAAACCTGAGATCCCTTTATCCAAGATCTCTACGAAACAACCTTAAATGGTTCCGTTAAATGGCTTTAAAAGCAGAACGAAGAGAAAGAGCCAAAAAGGACAAGAAAGAGAAAAAAGAATAAAAACACATTTCAAATAAAACTTGAGATTCTATGGTATAACATTTTTTAGTGATATCTATAAAAACAGTTAAGACATTTCACTGCTCCCAATGTCATCATTTATATAAATTAAAAAATCTATAATCTAATTATTCCCATATGGACCAGGGACCTTAGAATTGCATATTTATATCTCCCAAAATGCAATCTGCAGTTTGTTTGTCTGTCACACACACACACACACACACACACACACACACACACACACACACACACACACACACACACACACACACACACACACACACACACACACACACACACACACACACACACACACACACACACACACACACACACACACACACACCACACACACACACACACACACACACACACACACACACACACACACACACACACACACACACACACACACACACACACACACACACGATAAGACAGGTGAGCGGATAGAAAACAGATAAACAAAAAAGGGAACATTTTAACAAAACAAAAAACCTCCTATATTTCAACTTCTCAAAGAAGCAACCCTCTGTCTATCCGCCTTCATTTTACTCAGCTGTCAATACAATCACACACACAGGCAAATAAACACATTAACTATTGTAGAAGTCTTCCAGCCTGCATTAACTCTAACATTACTACAAACCAAGTATGTCCAACGTAACACGGAAAAGGTTAATGGCTGCAAAGAGAAGAGGATTCTCCAGATCTCTTAGTATCAGTGCGGTTATATTGCAGTGAACAGGGCTGTGGCTTCTATAATGCTGCCAACCTGTACGGTTAGTTCCTGATGCTGAAAGCTTTGGTCTTCTTGATGGTGAGGAGTGGAGGTTTAATCTTCGGTTTGGTGTTGTTCTTACTTTTCTTGTCTGAGGAGGGGCACCGGCGACTGTAGATGTCTGGGTACTGCTTCTGAAACTGAAGGAAATGTTTGAAGTAAAGCTCAGTTGCAGGTAGACTTGATAAGGAGTGTTTGTTATACAATGGGACCTCTTTTTGTTACCTGCTTCAGTTTCTTGCGTCTGTCCTTCTCGCTCATGTTTTGGTTGGTCAGCAGCATCTCTAGCAACTCCTCCATGGCCTTCTGGGAAGATTCCAGCTTTTGCTGTTCAAACTCCGCGCCGCTGATCTGCCGGCAGAAGGCGTAGATGGGCATCGGAGCGCAAACCTCATCGGAGGCTTCGACGTTAGAAACACCATCCATCGGGACCTGGGTCAGGAAAGAGGAAATTACAGTCACTGTATTCAACTATTTATTGATCCTGGCCCTTACCTAAACAAATGATTGATCCGCTTTTTATGAAAACGCTTTTTGACAAAGTAATTCTGTCAATTTGATCTGAAGGAAAATGACATACACTGAATTGTTATTGACGAGCATGCAATCAATAATACATTTTGCAGTAAATGAGGCTAAAAATCGAAATAAGAATCAAATAAAAATGGATTTGCTTTCTTTTTTCAAGTTTTTTGCATCGGGGTTTGGGAAGGGTGCAGGCCCTACATAAAATACTGCAGGACACATATAGTGTAAGAGTTTCTGCGTGTACCTGTACGGCACGCAGGTACTGGATGTGGTCACTGATAGCACTACGCAGGTACTCTGGGACTGAGAGGATGCTTTCTTGATGGTCCATTAGAAATGACACCAGTCTGGTAGCCAACAGCTCGTCCAAATCACACTCCTCAGCGCTGCCCAGGACACAGCCGGAAAACGTGTGAACCATCTGGAATGACAAACATAACAACATGGTTGAAACAAGATCAAATGTAACTGATCCCTAGATAAGACAATACGAAGGCATGTAACAGTACTATAAATGTACTAGTCAATACAAATACCAGTGAATTTCAACTATTCTAAATGTCCAATAAAAACAAAAAGCACTCATTTAATATTGTTTGCAGTCAACATTTCCTCTCTAATATAAAAGTTATAATGCTGTGATAACATTTTCTTGAAACTGTATTTATTTATACCCAAAAAATACTTTTTACAAAATACATTTGAACAGATCACGATAACACGAATGCACCATTATGTTACTCAGTGACTCGGGTGCTAACTTAGAGCTAACAGCTAACACTAAAGAGCTCTCCTCATGCCTAGTTCCACATGACTTGGTTAAAAATCATTGGTTCTTGGGACATCCCCAAAAAGAAGTGAGTTATAGGCGGGGAAACAAATGTAGGTCTTGTGAGGCATCATTTTGTCGTCTCACCAGTGTGCGGGTGCCTATAGCGGGGTGGAGGCGGGGCATGTCAACGTTCTGGCTGATGCGTGACATCATCCTCATGAGGAGCTGCAACTTCCTGCGGGAGGATGGGGGGAGGAGGAGGGTGCAGAGCTGCAGGGCCTCGATGGCCACGCGCTCACTCTGAGGCTGGAGAACGCCTGTACACATACACACACGGTCACACACTGATAATAATGGAGTCCGTAGTGCAAACGGTACAGAAACAAACTGCAGTAGAATCACTCTTTGGCCACATTCATCCATCACTGCTTCGTTCACTAAATCAGAGAAATGGATGGATGAATGGATGATGGGATTAATCAACTACAGCTACGGTGTGAGAAGAACATATTTATTGTAATATGCTATTAAAAGCGTGTGCACCCCTGTTAATAGCGTTGATTCAGCACTGTATTATGTGCATTATGTTTCCTGGAACTTGGTCATTTCAGTCAGTCCACTCTTATTATGGCCATGATTTGGATATTACAAACGTGTTCAGTGTGAGAAAGTCTTTGATTTGACAGTTTGTATTATCTTTAATGAATGAAAAGAATAGCACGATTCTTCCATCGAGTTT